TTCAAGTTCAGAAAAATTACTGAACTTGATAGTACTTCAAGTTCTACTATAGATAGTAGTTGCTCCTCAACTACTCATATTCTGTCAGCTGCTCACCTCCAGTCAACCAGGTCTTTGTGGTGTAAGGAATAAGAAATCAAGAGGCAATATAAACCCATTATTTCAGTCTCTCATTTCAACAGATCTCTTTAGGAACTGCATTGCTTTAAGAGAAGAGAATTTATAGAAATGTATGCTAGAATGAATAAACTATTAACAGACTCTGTGCTTGGATTGCAGCCAAGGATCATTTGAGAATGCAGAATGCTTGACCCAGTGAGATGAGTCTGCATCTTCGGAAGGTATGCTTGTCCCTTTTGGATATGTGTAGAAGGTGTAGGCCTTGCCTTTGATGGCATGTTAGTAATATCAGGTGGCAATTTCACTCTTTGGTCGTTCCGCTCAGATTCATAAATGACCTGCACAAATGACCGGCAAATCTTCCTGTGGATCAGTCCTCAGTTTCCTCCAGTTGCTGTAGCTCAAAGCTCTTTCATGGGTCCTTCCTCAAAGCACAGGAGTTGTCAGTCAGTAGTGAGCATGTCTGCCACACTAATACATTGTCCTTCCAACAGCAGAAGCAGATGGTACATCAAAATTGACTAGTGCTGAGTGATTATGCAAAATGAGAACATATATTATTGGGAAGGGGCACTGTTGAAACTAGGAGGTGGTAAAGCTGGGGGCTTTCTGAGGCCTCCCTAAGTGAGACCCCCAAAGTCCCCAGTGGATTTTGTTGCTGCTGCTGCTACAGTTTCAGACAGGAGTGGAGCTCATCACTGGGTTAGGGTTAGAAAAATGAGGTGTCCTGGTATGATTTCGATGGTTGGAATGTGTTTAGAATGGGCAGAGATGATGAGCTGTGCAGACAAAGCTACTCAAGGAAGGCTTTTTCAAAATCGCCCTCTTTTCAATGGAACTTTCTCCCTCTATTAGGGTTAGGGGAGTGCACCACGGTAAGGTTAGGGCAGTGGTGATGAACCTGTGGCATGCGTGCCACAGCATGCAGAGCCCTCTCTGTCAGCACATGAGCCATGTCGCCCCAGCATTGTCCCAGCAGCCGAGCGGCAGATAACTGCACACACAGGGGCCATGCGCATGCTCGGAAAGGAGTAGTGGTGCCAGGGGATGATGTCACGAGCCATGACTCATCAGCCGCGACTCATCTGAGCTTTCAAATGGCCGGTCAGTGCACTGCCAAGGATATATATATATATATATATATTTACTTGGACTGGCTGTGAGTTGTTTTTTCTAAACTAAAACCTCAGTTTTTCAGCTTTTATAGCAATGTTGACATTTTGCGATAAATACATGGGTTTTGGGTTGCAGTTTGGGCACTCAGTCTCTAAAAGGTTCGCCATCACTGATCTAGAACAGGGTCCTCAAACTTTTTCAACAGGGGGCCAGTTGACAGGTGCCAGCAGTGGGCGCAGGCCGCCAATCATTTTCTCCAAGCGAGTCCAAAACTACCTCCTTGCGAGCAAGCTGCACGCTCGCATGCGCCCATGCGCATGCCCAGCAAGTGCAAAACCTTTGGGGCGGGCCAGTTAAATGGGTATGGTGCCCCGGATCAGGCCCACGGGCCTTAGTTTGAGGACCCATGATTTAGAATATGCCCTACAACATTCCTGCATTGTTACAGAGAAATCTGGAATTGCTCTCATTAAACGCAGGGAGCTCATCACACTGGAAACAGTGCAGGAAACACAGAGCTTCTCAAGTGATTGGAAAAGCAAAGCAAAACCCCAGCCAGTGTTGAACTGAGCAGAATGGGCAAGTAATTAAATGTTTCCAGTTCATATCTGACCACACCAACTTTGCCAAGGCACAAAGCACATCACACATTACAAAACCACAACTTGGAAGTGCCTTCCTGAAACACATTTTAGAAATGTTCTAATAATAATAATAATAATAATAATAATAATAATAATAATTTTGTAACTTATGTAGTGGCTCTTTTGCCTTCAACCATTTTTTCCCATTTCTTACTCACAAGGTGCTTCCAGATGAGGTTCTTATGTAATTGCATTGCTTCATTGATAGACTTTAATCCCCCACATTGTGTGTTCCATCTTTTTTCTTACCCCAAAAAGGTAAGATGCTTTTGATTAATAGAACATGGACCACTCCCTGTGAAAACATCCAAAGCCCTTAATAGGGAAGAGTAGCATAAAAACGACTGTCTGGCAACAGTGACACACACATTGGTCACTTCCCGATTAGACTTCTGTAACGTGCTGTATGTGGGGCTGCCCTTGAAGACAGTCTGGATACTTCAATTGATGCAGAATAGAGCTGCCAGGTTGCTGAAGGGGACTGGGCGTTGTTCTCATATAACTCCAGTCCTCCGTCAGCTCCACTGGCTCCCCATTGAAGTCCGGGCCCAATTCAAGGTGCTGGTTATCACCTGCAAAGCCCTGAATGGCTTAGGTCCTGGTTACCTAAAGGAGCACCTGCGTCCATATATGCCCTTCCACCCCTTAAGATCGGCAGCAGAGGCCCTTCTCCAGGAACCCTCCGTGAATGATATTAGGAGGGTGAGTACTCGGAGGAGGGCTTTCTCTGCGGTGGCACCCAACCTATGGAATGCGCTCCCCAGAGAGGTCCGCCTGGCACCGCCAAGACCTTTTTATTTAAACGCTATATTAATTGTTAAGGTTTATTTGTTGATTTTAAACTGACCAGGTTGTTTCCACTATTTTATGTATTTTATTTATTCTAAGGTTTTTTTTTGTATTTTTATGCGGGATTTTAATGATTGTAAGCTGCCCCGAGGCTTATGTGAAAGGGGCAGCATATAAGCTGTCTAAATAAATAAAATAAATTTAAAAAAAACCAACTGTCTTAACAACGGCCTTAGTTGTCCTGAGAATAGAGAAACCTTACACCATGAAGCTTCCTGCATTCATTACTGAGAAGCACTACCTAACATCCTGTATAACTGACTATAAAACTGAGGACAGTGTTGAGTTGCCATATTCAGTCCTGACATGCTTTTAAGGGCAGCCTAAGTACTGGGTGCATGAAGTCTGGCATCTATTGGGTGTCATTGCTTTAACTATTTTGGAAAAGCTTGCACAAAATGACAGTGATTTTTATAGGTTTATCATCAGTCAGAATGGTTAAACTATTAAGGGGGAGATACATCTGGGCTTGGATTGCGATAACGGGGAGGAGCCCAGGGCTGGTACAGTGGCAGGAAGCAGGGGGAATATTAGAGAAAGTGGGGCAGAGACCAAATAGCAAAGTGGTGGCACACAGTGAGGATGGTTTGTTTCTTTAGCAGTCAGTGACTAGGTTCAGATGACATGCTAAGCCATCGGAGGTGGGCTGACTTAGCATGTTATGCGAACTTACCCTGCTTTCTGAAGGATGGGTTCATAAGCTACCCCAAGTAGCCATGGCCAGTAGTGTGGCTTAGGGAATTAGCCACAGTCAGGCCAAAGGGCTAGAGAGCCCTGTGGTCAAAGTGGCCGAAAACGTTTGCCCCTCTGGCCAAGCGACTTAGCTGCTGACAGCCAACAAAGGGCCAAAGCAGCACTTTGGGCTGTGGTGCCTTTCTCTCATGATCCTACTGATGCCTGCATGGAGGCGGATGGATGGGATTGCTCATGAGCAATCTCATTCTCCTCCCAACATTGGCGGGAGTACAGGGGAAAGCCACCAGGTTTCCCCATGTGCTGCCCCCTCAGACCTCATCTGGGGACTGGGGAAGTGGCCAGCCACTCAGTCTCCCTTCCTTGAGAGGAAGCGGGGCCAAGCAGCTGGATAGCACCAGCAGCTGCAGCACTGCTGATGGGCAAGAAGAAGCCACTCTGCTTTCCTTCCTCCACTGGGCAGAGGATGAAACGGAGCAGAGGCCATCTCCTGCCGCCTTGGTGACTGGTAGAGCTCCACCAGGAGGAGGAGGCCTGCAGAGTGGGCAAAGGACATGGGGAAAGGGCCTCCTTTCCATCACTTTGGCCAAGACAGGGCAGGTGGTGCTGCTGCCAGTGCCTGCCACCTTCTGGAAAGGGATGCACCTTCTCACTCAGGCTGCTGTGACCCCCATGGCGGGGGGGGGGGTCATTGGGCAGAGGGTGTGAGCAGCTGGTACAACAGGAGGGGGATGGGCATCTGCTGCTTGCATGCCCTGCTCTGGGTTCCCCACCTTGTGCTCCTGCCTCTTCTGGGAGAGTGGGGACACTTGCCAGTAATGCTGCTCTGCTGGCATTGCAGGGACATGAGGCAGCAAAGCGGATGACAGCTGCCCCAAGTGCCCGCTTTCTCCACATATTATCCTGTCCCACTGTTTCCCCAGGGTATCCCCCCCCCCCCGATACCGGCAGGAGAGCTGGGGGAGGGGGGAGAGATGGTGCCTGAGGACCCCTGCTTTGTCGGATCATTATCTGGCACTGTTGTCCCCCACTAATGAAACTGTAAGGCGGGGTTGTTTGTTTGAATGCCTTAGCATTACGTTTAATTTGGTCCCCACGAGAGCTCAGGATAAGGAATTTCCGTTCTTTCGCACTGAGCTCCTTGGGACAGTCTTGGCGAGCCGCCAAGCTCCACTCTATCAGTAGGCAAGCAGCCGCAGACGCAAGACTAGAAATGTGATTTATTTTTATTTTATTTTATTTCCCATGGCTTGTGCATCCAAGCTAGAGCAAAGGAACAATCATGATAACGAAGAAAAATGTTTGAAAGGAACGAATAAAGGAAAGTTGTCTCCTCCAATTAGGCGGTTTCAGTTTTGGAGATGCGGCACCGATAATTTATCGTACCCAAATAAGAGCTTGGAAGGCATGCCTAATCCAGGAAGCATTTCGCGGAGAGCGCCTCTGTGGGTCGCCCGCAAAGCGAAAGCAGAGCTGCCATTGGCTGCCGCAGAGCGACAAGCGCAGCTCCTTAGCCCGGAGCGGGACGAAGGCTGGCGGATCGGCAGCGCCCCAGCGCAAGCCGCTTCCCCAGCGCGGGACCCCGGGCGGTGCGGCGCCGCTTGTGGCGGCCACACGCGACGGAGCTCCTGCGACTCGGGGGCATTTATTCCGGGTTGGCCTCCCGCCGCCTCCGCAGGCCAGAGTGGCTCAGCGCCCCAAGGCGCTCTTCATTTTTTAAATTGTTTGTCAGGTATTAGGACAAAGGGGCGTGCACGGAACTATCCGGTGACTGGGCAAGAGAGAGGAACTCCTGGGTCATCGTGGAACAAGGCGGAAGCACTGCGCGGGCGGGGAAGCTGGCCAGCAGGATCCGACTCCCAAAGAACGAGCACCGACTCAGAGGGGTACAAGGCGGGGTGTTGTTTCTGATCCAGGCTCCCCGGGTTACCTGGGAGGGTTAGAAATAACTGAGGGTAGGGATCCTCGAGTATGTTTTCGACAACTGAAGGAGTGTCAGTTCCCACACTCTCTACAGGGGTGCAGAGGGAAGCAAGAGGCCAGATTAGAGTCTGAGGGGCTTTCTGCCTGCTCTCTGACCAGGGAATACTCTCCTACATAGAGGAAAGATAATGAACTGCCCCGGGATCTTTCAGGAGCAAGAAACAGTCCTGGCAAATGCAAATGAATTTATGAAGGAAGCAGGACTTTTGAGCATGTGAAGAATGCTTTCCCATCCCTATTATTAAATGTTGGGCACAAAGCTCTGCAAGTGTAGACAGAAAAAAAAAAGCCTATAGGGACAAAGTAGGAGTTGCAAGCCTTTTTTGTCTACACTTGAAGAGCACTGTGCTTTGAGGCAGATTAAGGTGTTTGGGGTTAGAATTTATGGGAAGAGTATGCCATCAAAGTAGGGATGTATCCCAGGACCTCTCTGTTGAGTTGATAGGGTAATTTGGGTAGGTGGTGGGACCTGAGCAGAGGGGTCTGGCAAGGCAGAGCTGAAACCACAAAACTGGCAGCTTGCCTGAAAGACTCTTTCTCTTCCTGTTTATCTGGAGTATCTGTAAATGCTTTCTGGCATCACAGGGAGCCATGGGCAGGAGGAGGCTCATCACAGACAGCTTCCAAGTGGTGAAGAAGAGAAAAAGGGGAAATAAGAAAGTACAGGAGGGTCAGAGCCCGCCCCTTGGTGAGTACTAATGAAGTGCTTGGATAAAGTGTCCTGACTAAGCTCATATCTTTCTGTTTCCCTGCTGTTAATCAAAATAGGAATACAGTTTGGAAATTATAGGTAGGAGAATAAGCCAATGCCTCGTTTGAGTGGCAGCACAAGACCTTGGCTCTTACAGGCCTAGCTCAGTAGTTGACCCATGTGAACATTACACATTACTCATCTCCAAAGTTGCTTGTAGGTTTTGTATTAGTAAATCATCAACAGTGATTAATGTGCTTACTGCTTGATGAGTAAAATTAAGTGTGTACACTGCAGGTATTATACCAGCAATAAGCCCTGGTGAGAGAATATATGCAGCCATGTTCCTTTGGAGAAAATAGGGTCTGACTACTTTGTTTCTTCTCACCCATCTTCCTCATGACAGTTAATCAGCTCTGCAATAGTAGTGATGATACCGGTGGCCTCTGCATTTTTCAGGGGTTCCGTGCACACAAAGCAGATGAGAGCATTTGGTGATGAAGTTGCCGCATTTTCATGGTGGAAGAGGGAGCAACATTTTGGAGTAGGGAGGATGTGGTGGCTGTGGCTAAATTCCTTATTCCTCACTTAATACATGGGGAAATCTCAATCTCAGTCCCTCTCTCTCTCTCTCTCTCTCTCTCTCTCTCTCTCTCTCTCTGCATGCACCTTAGTCTCAGGGTTATTGTAAAAATGAACAGTATCTCTGAAAATAAGCCATACAATATAAATCCAATGCAAAAATGCAGAAGGTACCTCCCTTCTGTATTTTACATGAAGAATGTCACAATCAGCAAGGAAGTTAATGCTATTCTAGCCCTGTTTGTGAGTTCTTTGTTATATGGGAACAAATGTAGATGAAAAATGCAGAAAAACATGGCCATGGCTATTTGGATTAGCAAACAGGCCAGAGGAAATAATAACACTGGTTAAGGCGTGTTGTTAATGCCATCCTAGGCACACAGTTCAGACAAGGGAAACTTGTCAATGCCGCTGACAGGGTGATGTGAATCCATTTATCTCTCATCAGATAAAGTGATAGTTCAAGCAGAGTGTCTCCCACAAGATGCTGCACAGCCAGAAGAGCTGGAGCTGCTGAAACAGTTTGACCTCAGCTGGAAATATGGCCCCTGCACAGGTAAGAACTTACAGCCTTTTATTTATTAAATTTCTGTCTGGCCCTTTAGGCAAGACAACTCTTTGGCTACTGAGTACAAGCAAGCCTGACAGCACTGCAAATAATATATTATTTGAATAGAGAGGTCTGCCTGGCGCCGTCGTTATTTGTTTTTCGGCGCCAGGCGAAGACCTTTTTATTTAAGCGGCATTTTAAATGTTAATATTATTGAATTTTATCTGGCCAGGGTGGCTTATTGTATATTGTATTTTTGTATTTTAATGTAATGTTTATATTTTTAAGATTATAATTATTTTAATTTATTGTTGTAAGCCGCCCCGAGGCTTTGGCGAATGGGACGGCATAAAAATGTTTTAATAAATAAATAATAAATAAATATTTGCCCTGCCCCACTCTTGCCTACCTCCATGCTGAATTTTTTATTGCAAGTTAAGGACGGGAACCCTGTAATGCGCAATGCACACTGGTCATGCCAGAGAAATAACAGTAGCAGCAGGAAAGGGAGAGTCCCAGGGTTTCTCAGCTGCCGTAGTGCCTCACCTAATAGGAATCTGATGGGGAAGCATTGCTGCTAACACTCCACCTTTAAGCACACACTTCACTTTGCTGACAGGAATCACCCGCTTGCAGCGCTGGGAGAGAGCAGACTCGTTGGGTCTTGGCCCTCCTGCTGCAGTGCAGGAGCTGTTGCTGAAGTACAACCGTGACCCAGTTGTTACACACAGGTTAGTAGAAACATCCTGCCCCCCTCTCTCCACTGCCCTCCCCGCCAATGAATGAACTTACTAAAGTAGAGCAACCAGTGTGAAAAGGCAAGACTAGTGAGATTACATTGAGATACAACAATGTTAGGAAATGTTACTGGCTGAAACCGAACCCAACTGTTAATCTCAATTGTAAGAATGAGCAGTGACTTCATCTAAAGCAGTACGACTCAACCCGAAGTGGAACAAATGCAGATATAAGGGGAGCACAAAGGAAATCCACCAGATATCTTCAGGGATTGAAAGAGGCAAGGGTACATTCATAAGGGATTAGTCAGGTTCCCTTTGTTTGGTGTTCATGCCAGAAACTATGGTAGAAACCTTAATGGTCACTTCATGATAGACAGTCCTAGTGGCAAGCATTCCCATGGATTGCCAGCAAATTTACAGAGATACTAGGATCTTGGCAGATGGACACACAAGTATATCATGACTTTGCTTCACTCTTTGGCTGTGATTCCAACCCACTGCATTTATCAGAGCCCTGTTTGATGCGTAAAGGAGTACTGAAGCCTTTTTGTCACCATGTAACAGTAGTATGAATGAATATTCATAGCTGCTCACTCATAAAGCTCGGAGTAGCTGACATGAGCTTCCCAGGGGTCTCCCATCCAGGCATGGAAGAACTCCTGCCTCCTTTGCTGCATCATTGCCATAGCGGCAGGCACTCCCAGAACAAGCAGCACCCAGCTTTAACAGAGTGATGGAAGTTTCAAAGAGGACAAAAGATTCAAATGGGAGTGCAGATAAATTCAGCAAGAGTTATTCCCATTTCTCTTCCTCTATTTCCCTTCTGGGTGATCATTCCTGCCCCCCCCCCCCCCCCACCATCTCCTTCTCTCTGGCCTGGAGCTTGCCTTGAAAGCTGAGAGCCGTGGGACAGTCAGGCTCCGGATGGATCATTTGCTTAAGTTGACCATAAAATTGCATCTGCTCCGAGACCGCCATTGTGGCGCTGGAAGGAGCCTGGCCTATTCCAGCTGTTTGGCACAAGGGTGGAGAGGAACGTAAGATGCCAAGGCAGCGTCTCCCGGAAAATAACCATGCTCCAAATTCCTCCCTTGCAGCCTGTGGCATGAATACTCCCTCTGAGAAGAGCAACTGGTGGTACCTCAGGCTGAGAAGGAGCCCCTGCTGCTTTGGCTCTCTGAATAACTCCTTCATTCCTACAGCGGACGCTGCGTGGTGGTGGGAGGTCAGAGCCCTGGAAGGTGGCCAAGGCTCCCAGCGGGTCCCCAGTCATGGTTCTGGCCTCAGCCTGCCTGCAGCCAGCCTGGGGCTCCTACCAGGAGGGGCTTCTGCCACTTGGATCAAAGAGGAACGGCGTCTCAGGGAGCGAGCACCGAGGAGGCCCAGGCCAAGTGGCTGCCGGTTTGCTGTGCTGAAACACAAACCAAGCTGAATAGCTCTTGATGTCGTGCTTGATGTGGCATTTCGTTCCTTTTTCATATGGTATTTTAAGACTTGCTTGATTTTTGTAATAATTATTGGCAGTGATGTAGCCAAGGGATGAAGATGACAATAATTAAGTTTGTCCAGGGTGTCAAACCAACTTGAAGGAAGGAAAATGCCTTCCTAGGCCAGATGAGGTTGATGGGTATCACTCCATCCTCCACCAACATACTACTCACATCTGTGTTGTCTTTCTTTATACCAAGAGGGAGCTGCTTTCCGTCTCTCTCTCGGCGTGGAGAAGAGGACCACGCTCCCTTGGAGATACAGGGTTCTTGGCTTTGTGCAGTATGTGCACCACACAAGGACTTAACCAGCACTGGAAAGAGTGTTAGCTTGCTCTGGAGTTGGCTTTGTGCACTCTGCGTATCTGGAGGATATTCCTCCTCTTGGAGGAACCCAAGAAACCTCTGCTGGCCTCATGTGGAACTTCCATGAAAGAGACTGGGGCTGCGGGGTGGGGTTTCCACATCTGTTACCAAAATACACCAGGAAAATCAGTACATGCTCTAAAATGCACATTTCCCGCTCACTTCTCCACCTAACCCTTAGAAATAACAAGGAATTGAAACCAGTTTCAGTTCCCCTCCTGTCATTTATTTCTAGTTCACAAACCAATTCAGTGCAATCTTATTTACCAAGCTTCCTAGCAGTTGCACCACATAAGCCATATGAGAATGTCCTGGAAGTGAGGCTGAACTTTCTAGCTTTAAACACTACTACAGAGCAGGGGCAAATTCAAATGGGTTGGAATGGCAAAGTCCCCCAGGAGATGCAAAGAATTTTCTAATCATAAGCAAAAGTGCTACCAGTAACTTGCCTACCAAAATTCCTTCACCAGCACCCCAAATAATATTCCCATCACCATGGGCCTTAGCATTTCCTGCCGTTTTCTAGTGTCTTAGCCTATATGCCACTCCTTATCTCCGAAATCCTCACAGCTCAAAACAAGTGCCCTTCTACCTCGAATAATAGATGCCTGGTGTGCCCGGTGTCTTTTTACACTATCCATAGATCATCATCACTGTGCATTCTACATTCTCTGCTAGCTTCAAATGCTGTCAGATTTGCACATTTCACACTCTGCCACACACTCATGTGCTCAGTTTTGAGGCATTCATTAGCAGCTAGGAGTGTCTTTATGCTTCCAGGACAGCTACTCAGAAGCAAATGTGGGCTTCTCTAATAGTCTGGATTTTGTGTTAAATGTGTTGCCTGTTATACTGAATTGTGCTTTCTTGAATCTTAACTTGCTTAGAAACCAATTTCAAATACTATCAGCATACTACATAGAAGGCTGAATTGTTACCTACTAGGTGGCCTTCTTCAAGCAGTTTCTCAGCAGGTCTTTCATTAGATTATGCACAAAACCTTTAAAAATTCCCTTCATGTTCTTATATCCATTTGACACATTCAGCATTTCTCCTTGCAGTAACATTATTCTTTTTATGATGAAAGGCTTCTTCAGTTTTCCAGATAATTGGTCATTTTATGGATTCAGATACATAAATATACCCTTTAAGGATAACCAATACTTACTTATTCAAAGTCTGTAACCTACCTTTCCAACCAAAGGTGGAAAGAAACAAGATTTTATTAATGGAAATCATAAAGGATAAACTTTTGGAAATGGTATCTTGTGTCTTATTGAAATAATTTGCCAGAGTCTGGACTTCAACCCAGGCTGTATTATAAATGCCATTTTCTATTCCTAGTTCATAACTTACCACATCTGGAAAGAAGTGATACCTCTAGATAGCACCAAATGTATGGAAATGAGAACATATAATAGAACTTTTCATCCATTGAGAATATTCAGTACAGAAGTAGACAGGAGCCAAACAGCTCAGGGATTTTTGCAGTAATCCCTGCAGTAGGCAGTATTGCTTCCAAGGCCAACAGAAATGACATCAAGCCAACCTCACCTTTTAAAACTTGGCAAGTTAAAATCTCAGACTCAAAATTTAAGATTTGCCACTGGCCTGAGCTAGGGAAAACTTCACTATCCCACCTATCTTCCTGCTCTTTTGTTACTTTTGTTAGCTATATATACCTTGCCTTTTTTCCTCTTGCAAAGATCCTACAGCATCTTACATGGTGTTGCTCTGCTCCATTTTATCTTCACTGCTTCTTTGTGAGGTGGGTTAGACTGTGAGTGACTGGCCCAAAGTCTCCCAATGAGCTTAATGATTGAGAGGGGCCTAGAACCTGAAACTCCCAAGTCTCAGTCAGACCAAGCACTACATCCCACTGGTTCTTGAAGTTATACGCAATTTTAACTTTACAGCAATTATTCCACAACTGTAAAGGTCAAACCCACCATCTTATCAGTTTGTACTCTGCACAAAATTGCTTTCAACAGAAGATAGCAGAATTTGGCAGTTCCTGTCCAAGTGTGCCAATGTGAACTGAGATCTATAAATTATAGAATGAGTTGTAGGCCTTTTTCTGTCAAACTTACTTAAGAATGCGAGTTAAAGTGCTATCTTCTGGAAACCAACCATGTTTTCTATAAGCACAGTAAGTAGAAGCAAACCAATTATGAGCTTCCTTTTAAATTGTGTGTGGACACGTAAGGGTAGAAAAAGTTAAGGCTAGCATATGTTAAGGTGGTTGTCAATTCCAGCTGAGAAATACATAGATTTGGTTTTCTCAAGGGGTTAAAACTCTAGAAAAGTGAAGGCTGTCTGATTATTGGCTAAGTTAAGGCTGTCTGATTATTGACTATCTACCACTGATGATTCTAGAAGGCACAACCCTCGCTAACCAGGTGTTGAAAAAGCTCAGAGTTTACTTCTTTCAGCATCCCCTTGCTTCTGTCATTCCTTGAATAGTGGCAATAGATTACGTTTTGAGAGTGCATCGCTTGACTTCTCAATCAAGCAACCTTGTTAAGAAGGTACAGGGGAAATCAAGTTTTTATTAAGCTTGCTGTGGGCCAATATTAATATTAAAAGGTGAAAGATAGGTCTACATGGCCCACTTTGAATATTAGAATATTAAGTTGCTTGCGCAACTAGTGGAGATTTAAAGAATAACTGTCATGTATGTATTCATTTTCCAGTCAATAGTGACATTTTCTCCATGTGTGGATCTGAAAGTAGTTCCTTAACAAAGAGTTTTGAGTAGGATACAGTTGAAATAATGAGGTATGTTATAACTAAAAATGTGCAGTTGCCGAGACAAAAGAGTTGATTCAGTTGTTGGCATGAATTTAGGGGTCGATTCCATTGGATAATTTGTTCCACTTAAATGTATGGAAGTAGCAGGTTTTCTGATCGTTAAAGCAATGGGTGGGACAATGGAAGGCCAAACTAGAAATATACAGTTGAAGAGAGAAGCTGAAACCTTCAGAATCAATAGCTCAACAAAATCAACACAAAATTTGATTTGTTTAAAATCTGTAATAGCAGCAATAAAACATTCTATAAAAGCATAAATAGAAAGGGGGAACATTGTTGGTAGTTGGGTATACAAATTAGAAGTTCAGGAAAATACAGTAGGAAAAAGGGGAACACTAGAAAGAAGAGACTAACTTCACTGAATGGTTGTCAAAGATCACCCATATTTGAATCAAACAAATTACAAATGGAATAGGAAAACAAACCCCAAATGTTTGCAGAATATATTAAAGAGCAGCAAAAACAACCAAGTACCCTGAGCTTATCTATGTAGCTTTTTCAAGATGCAACTTCTCCCATGTAAGAACACCTTCCATGCCAGCAGGTAAGAGTAAATTCTAATTTCTGCAAGCTTGGAGACATCTTCCTTCAATATGAAGTTGGCTTACTCCCTGTTAGTCTTTTTATACCAGAATGGGGCAGAGTAGTGAGGAATAATCTTGAGTGGAGTGTGTAGCATAAATTCTTTAGGGTAAGCTATCTCCTGTCTAGTCCTTTCACCCACAGGCATCAATAGCATCAAATACCTTGAGGCAGCTGTCACTGCTCATAGATTTGAGGTACAAATTAGGAAAAGCATGATAGGCAAATGGTGGCCCTGGGCATGCTTGTAACAGGAGTTATGCAACACCACTAGGCCCTACGGTGGCTTCCGTTCATTTTAAAGGTAATATGGAAAAGCATTTTGGGTGACTAAAGTTTCATATTAATTGGTGGGGATGGATGGGGAAAGAGTAACATTTGGATTTTCTGCTTCAAGTGCGAAACATATTGAGCTGGTTCAGAATCCACTGAAAATTCAGGAAAGGAAAAGCAGGCTTTATTGTGGTTCTCATTTACCCATGTGCACAAGAATTTGATGATTAAGGACAGAATCCCTTTGCAATTATTCTAAGTCCCTAAACTTGGAGGCTTATGCTTATCCTATGCAGGGCAGGAGGAGTGCCAGGAATAATCTTTACCTCCCTTTCTTCCGGCCTTGCACTTTTGCCAGAGAGACATTTTTGCCCATCTAGCAGCAGCATTTCCAAGGGCAAGGAAGATAGGAAATAAATTACACCTTGGCCACTATGCTGCCTTCTTCTTCCCCACTGAAACACTATTTCATCCCTCTCCCTACCAGAAAAAGCCAGCACAATTCTTTGCAAAACAACTGCAAAGAGGAGGCCTGCCAGTATTGGAAGTGCTGTCTCTGAATTCAAATCAGGATATTCAGAATATCCTATGGTCCCTTAGATGTTGTTTAGGGGCCATAGGATTGCTCCCGCTGGAACATTTGAGAAGAGGCTGATGCCTTCCATTTTAATGAGCAACAGCTTCATCAGACCGTAGCCTGGAAGTTAGAAATTAGGTCTGCTGATTGCCAGAGAGTAACTGCTGCTTTTCTATGACTGCACTGGCAAAGAGGAAACACAGCAAAGTATCAATGGTAAGTGGTATCTTTCATACTACCATACTATGCTACTTTCAAACTGCTGATCCACACATAATCAGGGAGCCTAGAGAAGCACAAAGATGAGATTGGGCAGGTTCTGCACCAGTATACAGTAGTCCCCCGAAATTCACGGGGCTTATGTTCCTAAAGTGCCTGTGAATTGTGAAAGACCGCAAATTTGGTGCAGGCAATGGGCACCGGCTGTCAAGGTGGTGTGGGTGGGAGGCATGGGCCGGGCCGGGCGGTGGGCGCACACGCACAGAGACTGTTTTCTTCAAGCAAGTCCAAACTCGGAGGAAACCATCTTGCGAGTAAGCCTCCACATGGGGAGGCACCGGCTTACTCACAAGATCGGCTTGGACTCGCTCAGAGAAAAATCCCACGAAAGACTGAAGCCGCAAATGCTGATCCACGACTTCACGGGGGCATACTGTACCCCAAACCCTACACCAGAGAAACCTTTAGCTGAAAGAGAGGCCTAGGGAACAGGAGGTATAGGGTGCACAATTTGCCTGGGTGTAAGCCCCAGTGAACTCAGAGGACTTAAGATCAGAACATAGATGACCGTGCTGGAAAACAGCTCCTCAAAGGTTCATTCCTGCTATGTGATGTTCTTTTAGGGGGAGGATATCCTCAAAGCAGAAATTAGTAAAGTGTAAAATTCTGAGCTGGAGATCAGATTCCACCCTCATGTAGAATTCTAAGAGGTGCCTTGAAAATGCTTGGGCCAACATAAGACTTACGAACTGGAACAAAGAGAGGAAAAACTGATGACCCATATCTAGGGGAGGCTTCATATGCATGGTTGCCTTAGTACAATCTGCCATTAGCTTGTAGAGCACAGGGAGTTTTGCCCAAAACTTGAGCAGATTATTCCGGTGTAGCATTATCCATTGTGCGGACAGTTTACCACAAGCATTCCAATTCAGTGAGGAACAGAGCCTGGAATTGTATACAGGAAAGCCCCTTTCTTGATAGCACAGTCACTTCACTGCCCTCTGGTGGGAAAACAGGAAAGGGCAGCCACAGTGATATTGGAGCCCATCTCACCCTGTACGGAGGGAGGTTGAAGTCATGCCTAACATTCCACATCTAAGAATTTGTCTCTATACCCCCCACTCTACAATCTGAAATCTTACACTTTGTTCTGTAAGCATGCGAGGCTTAAGAGGCAGCCAGCACCAAAGTGAATCCCTAAAAATTCACTGGAATTCCCAGCTCCAATACCATCGTATAGGCTTGTGCAATTTTTTGCACCATAAAGGCATTCCTGGGTTTCAGGTCCCTACTGTTGGCTTTCCTGGCAGCATCCAGAGCACTGTGAAGATAACTATTCACCACTGGAGCCCATCTTCATCCTAACTGTTGCCTTTGCTGTAAGAAGGGCAAGAGGCTGCCTTCAGAGCTTGTTCAGGCAGCTGAGCTGGCTGAGTCAATATGGACGTGATCTTGCTGAGCTGCAGAAGAGATCCAGAGATTGCTGTGAAAACAAGACCAAACAAAAGTTTAGTAGTAACCCATATCATCTGATTTCTATACATCTTAAGCAGATGTCAGGAGTAGATAGAGATTTCTAAGAACAGCTGGAAATTCCAGTCAGATTTTTCAAAACAGCATGTAGGCAGCTTTCAAGGGTCAAATCTGGGGTTTGGTGTAAGACTGGACTCCCAGGAATCTTGCCTTCACTTCATGAAATGGATCACATCTTACAATGCTGAGAAATCAACTCTAGTAGCTTAGCAAGATGGGAAGGAAGTAGGGGTGAATAAGGAGCTCTGCCTTAGCTCTGACACTAATAAGCTGCAGTTTTGGTCCACTCCGATTCTTGGTTAAGTGTGACACAAAACAGCACATTGAGTTGAAGTGAGATGGGAAAATTTAATACTGCAGACAATGCACGTGCTGAACTCTATAGCAGAAGAAAGGCAAGTATCCCTGTCAGTCACAGGAAAGGAAGTAAATGTCTAATCTTCCCTGTTAATCCATACCAGGGCGTAAGACAGGTAGTGCGCAGTGCTGCTCCAACCACCTCAGCACTGACTGGCAAAATTCCTTGATGTTGCCTGTATTCACTGTTCTGGTGTACGTCTCAAACAGTGGCTTAATCACCACGCTGAACTACAGGATGCAAGGAGTTAAGGAGCCTACACAGCTGGGCCTCCCCACTCCCCTTTAATATTTGGCAGGGCTCTCCCTTCATGTCAAATTCCATCCTCTCAAACGGCTCCTTTTGCTGCAGCCACACACCACCGCCCCTTATTCCTGGGGGATACAAGCCAGAAGCGCCAGTCCTGAAGAGTGCGCTGGTGCACATATTCGTCATAAAGCTGAGAAGCCCAATCTGACTGTGGTGGTAAAACAGGAGCCCCAGTGGGTGGAAGCTGGTGCTGGAACACACTGTGAGGAAAGAAAAGGCACAACTCGTATACGGAGCTCCACTCCTGCCTGCTAAATTCTATCCCTTATCCTAATCCAAGGACAACACAAGCTCTCAGATCTACTCCATAACTCACTCGATGGCAGCACTCAGCTCCTCGATTTCACCACGCAGTCTTTCTGCCGTCTCCTGAGCTTGCTGGCGCTCCTGCTGCAGTCTACTCACATAGGCCACGCTCTTCTGCAGGAGCGCTGCTTTGCTGAACTGGGAGCACAGGAAAGATGCAAGATGGAACCGAAAGACAAAAAACTGCAGGAACTGCTCCAGAGGGGCTGAGCCTGTTGGGAAAAAAGGGGCAAAGAAAGTGTACCTCCCCCCACTCTGGCACAGGGAGGGGACATGTACCTTAGCATTTATCTGGTCAGATCCTGGCAGCACCAGATTGGCAAGAGTGTTGAAGCCAGAGCGGATGACCATACGGCGAGCACAGTCAGTGGATGGAAAATTTGATCGGCAGCTTCCCTATAAGGGACAACCGAGACACATTATTTCAAACATGGCTGAACTCCTGACTAGGTACTTGACCCCTTGGTTGTAATCTCTGAAAGAGCTGTAACAAGTGTGTATGTATGGGGCAAGGGATATTCCTATTACCTTGGCAGTGTAGCGTTTGTTCCTTTCCTGAAGACTGCAGAGAGTTTTGTTCGTTGCTCTCTCCTTGGTTTTGGCACCTGGAAGACTCCCAAAAATAGGGCAGGTGAGTTCACCCTTACAAGTCTATTTCCTATTTCCATCTTGGTGGACGGAGGGATAGTGAGTGCAGCTGAGATGCAGCTCAAACGGGAAGCCTCATGCCCTGCCTTGTCTGCTTACCGGCATTGGAGAAGGCTGCTGCCATAGCACAGTCTGGCAGAGGAGACTCCTCTGTTGGAGAAACTGAGCCCAGTATGACACTAGCAGGGGTGCTACGCTCCTGTGTGAGAGGGGAGACAGTCTTAAGAAAAGAGCAACAAAGAACATGGAAAGAAATCATGCCTGTCAATCCATGTAGGTGAAAATAAGGCTCTGTATTGGAGGCCTCTCAGCAGAAGGTGGCAGAGCCAGCCTTTCTAGAAGATGGTAAAAAGAGCTTCTTTACCTGTGCAGAGTTCATGACTAGAGTGAGGGGCAGTGGTGCAAGACCTAGAGATGAAAGGAGGAGAGAGTTCTTTTTTGGTCTTTTTCCTCCTGGCCTCCATCAGGTACTATGCAGGGCTTAGCGGGTTCAAGAGCACCGGCAGGGAACAGCCAAGTCCGCTCCCTGTAGCAGGTCCTAGTTAACTGCCCACAAATGGGCTGCTTTATTGTACTTAGTCAACCATGCTGTTCTATGAGATCCCACCCACTGTAATTGAAAATATATGCCAAAAGTCTCCACTTAATTGCATGACACCTTACCTGGCAAAGAAGCTAATGAGGCTCCTTGACTCAGAGAATCCCTTCCAAAATATATTGAGGAGGTCTGGCTTCCCCATCATTAGTTTTCCCATAAACTTTCTCATAAACTTTCAGTGTGACAATGAGTCTTTGGTGTCAGACACAGAAGACAGGATTTCTATACCTTAATAGATGAATATAAATGGGATGGTGGAAGAAGTTTTGTAAATGCAGCTTCTGCCACTGTAATGCTTCCTTATGAGAAGGAACTACAACCATTGGTACTATTGCCCCTTCCAAGCAGCTACAAAAAGGCCCCACAGTCCTGATCAGCATGGCTTCAGAGAAACCATTAGATTTCATGGGCTGAAAATACATGGGGGCAGGATCAAAACTGTTTTAACAGTTTTAAAAACCTGTTAAATGTTTGTAGTTAACAATGACCCTTCATTTTACTTCAGCTAGTAAGCTAAGAATTTTGTTTAACTATAGTCTTTGGAAAAACAGACGTGTGCAGTTGAGTGTCATTTAGATGGTTCAATCTGTCTCCTGCAACAAAACTACCAGCTTCAATCTCACTCCAAAGAAACAAGAAGGGGATCAAAGCCAGAATCTGGGGAGTGGAAGAGCATTTTTCTCTTTTTTTCAACTGCAGTTACCACACATTATAACACAAGATATTCTAGAAATGTGGGGGTAGTAGCTGGGCAATGCCCTTCAGAAGACAAGAATCACACTGCATATTTGTAATTATATCTTTACACATCCCTGTAGGTGCTAGTCTAAAATCTAGATTAGGATATGTAAACTAGATGAAAACCTATACTTTGGCACCTGTTATGAACAAAACTGTGTTGCTTTTCTGTGGACCAGTCAGTCCATAAGACATGCACTATACTTCATAAGGCTAGTAGTTCATTCAGTTGCCTAAAGGACAACTAATACTTCTATCTAGTGAGACTCCTGAAAAAAGTTTTGTGCTTCTTCAGGGGTTACAGAGATGAAAAATTGAGCTGTTCATAGTCTGAGAACTGGGAATAAGTAGATTACAACAGGAAGGGTAGGACAAAGCTACAGGAGCCAAGGGAGCAAGGCAGGGGAGCAAGTCAAGTCCAAATACAGGATATTGCTGCTCCCTGTCGCAGCTCCTCCCCATTGTGACCTATATAGAGCCCATCCTAGCAAGCACGTACCAGTTGTAAGCAAGTGGGTGAGGAAGGCACTGGGAGGACCTGGCTGACAGCCAGAGGAGGGCGCTGGAGCAATCCGTTGCAGATGCCGGCACCTCCCACTCTTGGCTGTGGGAGCAGAGCTCGGCACAGCAAAAGTGCCTGCTGGTGAGGACACGGAGGGTTTGTTCCCAGGCCCCGTGTGCGTGATGACAGAGAAGACCAAGGAGGTCTGCGGCTGTATGTGCAGGACAGGAGGAGCCGGTGGTGGAGGGCTGATGCTCCATGGAGAGGTAGGGAAGAATGGCAGGAAGGTCTGCTGTCCATTCAGAGGAGGGGGTGGCTCCACATCCAAGGAGATTGGAACAGGAAGGAAAGCATCTTCAGGAAGGAGTTCTTTGGCACCAGGGACAGCTGGAGAGACATCTGAGCCACACAGGCCTAAGGCAGCAGCATCTGTCAGTGGTGCAAGAGCCTAGGATGGGAAAAGAAGGGAGTTGGCCCCAATTTTTAGGTACAGGTTTGAATCCAACCTGGAGGCAGCTCCACTGAGAGTCATACAGACCCAAGCAGAAATCAGCCACAAGTGGCAGATCTTCCACTGTCCAGCCCTTTGTAAAGGTTCTTCATATCCCAAAAGCAGACACTGACCACAAGCATTGGGGTAGAGAAGCCCGCAAGTGAGTTACCGAATAAACTGATTCTTCTTACCTGGACTGTTGGCTGAGAATGACAAGTAGTGATGAGTTCTGTGTGGGGGGAAAAGCAAGAACTGAATGGTACCAGGCTGGGGTGTGAGGGACAAACAGCAAGAATTAAGATACAGTAGAAAGATTTCACTATACATGTAACATGCTTGTATTCCAGGAAATTGAAACAGCTGATGAACTATGGCTACAACAGCAAGGAAATGAGATTTTTAAGATTTAAGAGTTCAGGAAAACCCCTGGACAGGGGAGCAAGTCAAGTGCCAGAAGAATCTGCAGGTGGCAGTTGTTGGCTTCATTGTCACAAACAGCAGGACTGAGACTGAAGCAAGCTGAAGATCTATTATGTTAACCTTGCAACCAAACATTTGAAACTACAAATGTTGCAAATGAAGAATTCATACAGGATTAATTTCACTTATTTTATTCTCCCTATAACACTGGGGAGTGGGAGGGGAAGTGCCAACACCTTTGTAGAATTTGGTGTAACTAAATCAGAAAATGTGGAGGTGGTGCAGAAATAACGTATCAAGTATACTCTGCATATGTGCACAGTATGCATATAAAGGAGTTATAGAATGTAAATTCTCAAAATCCTAAAGTAAGTCAACAGACTTGATGCTATAAATACTTAAAATAACAAGATCTCAACCCTTTCCAGGCACACTTCATGCTAAAATAATGACCACATTACTACTAGTCCTGACCTTAAGAGCCTGTCCTGATCTTTATGAAGAAATAGCCAAAGAGACAAAGTTCTTATACATTGTTTTGTATTCTAATCTGATATTGCCCTAATCATATGAATTTACAAGAATCTTTGAAAGCTGCAGCTTTAGAATATAGGCAAAGCTCTGAGATACAAAAACCCAAACCCCAACCATTTCAGTTACCTTTCCTGGCAGTATTTGTTGGAATAGTTCAGATGTTAAGAGATCTAACATGAGGTGTCATTATTTCCTCAGCAACATTCTGCAATGGCCTTCTGGCAGCCAGAACTTTCAATCAACAACAGGTTGGAAAGGCCCCTCTCACCAGTTATAGCTTTCAATCAGCTTGTTTGTTTGTTTGGAGTGCTTGTATGCCACCCCATTCACATAAGCCTCAGGGCGGCTTCCAACAAATAAATAACAATATACAAAAATATACAGAATTGGAAACATCCCGGAGTTAGATAAAAGTAATAAATAATTTAATAATCAATTAAAATAACATTTAAATAAAAAGGTCTTGGCCTGGCACCGAAAAGCAAATAATGATGGCGCCAGGTAGACCTCTCTGGGGAGCGCATTCCACAGATGGGGCGCCACCACAGAGAAGGCCCTCCTCCGGGTACTCACCCACCTAATTTCCTTCACGGAGGGTTCCTGGAGAAGGGCCTCTACCGCCAATCTTAGAGGGCAGGAGGGCAAGGCGCTCCTTCAGGTACCCAGGTCCCAAGCCGTTTAGGGCTTTATAGGTAAGCACCAGCACCTTGAATTGGGCCCGGACTTCAATGGGGAGCCAGTGAAGCTGACGAAGAACTGGGGTTATATAAGAACAACGCCCAGTCCCCGTCAACAACCTGGCAGCTCTATTTTGCACCAATTGAAGTATCTGGACCATCTTCAGGGGCAGCCCCACGTAGAGCACGTTGCAGAAGTCTAATTGGGAAGTGACCAATGCATGCATCACTGTCGCCAGGCAATCGTCCTCCAGGTAGGGACGCAGCCGATGGATCAGCCGAAGCTGATGGAAAGCGCTCCTCACCACGGCCGACACTTGAGCTTCCAAGGTCAGCTTTGGGTTGAGAAGCACCCCCAAGCTGCGGACCCTGTCCTTCAGAGGGAGTGCTACCCCATTCAGGACAAGGTCCAGGTCCTTCACCCCACAGTCTGAACCACCCACCAACAGGACCTCCGTCTTGTTGGATTGAGCTTCAGTTTATTGGCCCTCATCCAGCCCATTACCTCGGCCAGGCACTGGTTCAGTACAGCCACTGCCTCACCTGGATTGGTTGAGAAAGAGAGGTAGAGCTGGGTATCATCAGTGTACTGATGATTCCGCAGCCCACACCTCCTGATGACCTCTCCCAGCGGTTTCATGTAGATGTTAAATAGCAAGGGGGACGAAATGGACCCCTGCGGAACTCCATGGCATAACTGCCATGGTGCAGAGCCATAGTCCCCCAGCACCACTTTCTGGAATCGGCCATTGAGATAGGAGCGGAACCACTGCAAAGCAGTGCCTCCTACTCCCAATCCCACTAGCCTATCCAGAAGGATACCACGGTGGATGGTATCGAAAGCTGCTGAGAGGTCCAGGAGAACCAACAGGGACGCACTCCCCGTCTCTCTCCCTGCACAGGTCATCGTACAGGGCGACCAAGGTAGATTCAGTGCTGTACCTGGGTCTGAAGCCAGACTGAAATGGGTCCAGACAATCAGTTTCATCCAAGAGTGCTTGGAGTTGTCCCGCCACCACCTGCTCTAACACCTTGCCCAAGAACGGGGCATATGACCCAAAGTCTTAATATTAATTATTTTTGCAGCCACAAGTCAGCATTTTAAGATTTGGGGATCAACCCATTTTTGGTTTTTTTTAAGTCAGCGACTTACATTTGCTTGGGGACAGTGATGGCACACTTACCAATTTTTCCTCAACGTTCTCCCAAATCATGAGAACTGAAAACTTAATTCTATAAAATATATATGCTACATTTCTCAGAAATCTGAGGAATCATAGGTTGTATTGGGAAAACGTATTTCCTTACACAGATTCCACAGGGAATTACAGCCAATCAGGAGCAGCAGCATGTATCCACATTGCACAGATTTTAGAATACAGCTGTGATTTTACAATACAAGTGTGCATAATATAGATACATAATGAGACGCAGGGTGGTATAGTGGTTAAGAGTGGTCTGGGACTCAGGTGATCTGGGTTCTAGTCCCTGCTCGGCCATGGAGCCAACTGGGTAACTTTGAGCCAGTCACAGACTTCAGCCCAGCCAACCTTGTTGTTGTGGGGATAAGACTGAGAGCAAGAGAAGCAGAATGATGTAGGCTGCTTTGAGTTCTTTAAAAAAGAAAAAAGTGGGATTAACTCTAAGAAATTAATAAATAAAATGCATTGTGTGAAGTAGCTCTAAGAAGCCTTGCAAAGATGCAGTTTTTCCCTGAAACGTGTTTCACCTGACCACAGAGCTCAAGTAAGCCATATGAATTTGATGATTCTGTGACATTACCATGAATGGGATCCATAGTGTCCATGAATTCTTCACCAAAGAAGGGCTGGAGTTGGGTTAGCGTGGGCTGGATCATGTCTGCATTACCCTGGTGATCTGAAGGCACAAACATTAGGAAGGATATAATTCGCTGGCCATTCTGTTCCACAGAAAAGTATTGCCTGTCATCACACAGCCCATATAAGCCAGGGACAGGTTATTATATGGAGTGATTTATATGAGAAGGCTATCTCCTGAGCATTGAGAATAAATGTTTCACTAGAAATCCCTGGGGGGAAGACTTAAAATTGAGTTTCCTGGTAGAACAGGAAGATCCCAAGAATAAATGTAATGGGATCTTACCAAGTCCACGTAGGTTGGGGCCACCAAAAGGGGTGCGACTGGAGAAGATGGTGCCCAGTATTGCATTCAGTTCATGCAGGGGGTCAAGCTCCACGGGGTTTCCACTCGCTGTCCCACCATTCAACTCTAACCCTGGAATGCAACCACCTGCTTCCTATACAGAATAGGAAAGAAAGAGCTGTAAATGCCAGTACAGCACTGGGCACATGCAAATGATAATTTGGAATGCTTAGTAACTGCAAACAATCCCCCAAGTTGCAGCCACACAGGGAGGGGAATTTGTGAGTATATGGTAGGACAAGGTGAAGTGGAGCACAAAACAGCACCTGAGTAAGGCCACAGACTGGTTTATTCATCTTTTTCTTGACCTAAAACAAATACAGGATTGTTGGGATTAGAAGAGCTTTTGGAGAAAGCTAAAATTGCTATTAGCAAGAAGAAAGCTATAGCTAGCTCAATCAAATGCATCAGGGTGCCTCAATGGGTAGCTGTGACTGAAGGGAATGGCTGGATGAGCAATATCTTTTTGTGAATAAGAAAGAAGGCAAGTGGATGAGTTGCAGCAGCCAGAGACATGAGTATATGGGCAGAGGCACCTGTGAAAGCTGAACAGAATACTCTGCTTATAAGTCTAATACCAGGTCTCTGCATGACCACTGCTTGCAGTCTACCATTGTTCTGTGGTGGCAAGAAGCATCTAAGGAAGCCACCTTCTTGAAAAGATATAAGAGACTCACAATCTTTCAGGATAGGGTTACTGGACTCCCTTCGATGGCACTAGCAAGAATTTTATGAGGACTCAGCTTGGGTGGAAAAAATATGATCTAGAATTGAAAGGGACAATATGAAATACATTTTGCTTCAGAAGAAACCTACCCTGGTATGGTAGAATGTCCTCCATCTCCGATATTCTCTACCAACAACCCCAATTTGGCATTTCCAGTATTTCTCTTCCATGATGATGGCCTGCCAAATAAAGATGCACCAAGGGTTTGCTTTTGAAATGACACAGGTACGAGCTCTTTCAGTCACAAAGCATTAAGGGCTCTGCTCACCTCAGGCCTGCGGTGCTCATCGATGTCACTGCACTCTAGAGGAGCCACAAAACTGCACACAGGATTCTGCCCTTTCTCCACATCTGTGTCCACAGTGAAACAGAAAGAGATCTGTGAACTCCCATGCCGTTTCAGGCAGACCAAAAGGCAAGGATGCTTGCTGACTGGCTGGAGTGCCACAATTTTCAAATCCAGAATCAATGTAATACACTATTTTTGTCCACATAAAAGTTTTGCTTGCAATCCATTATTCTGCACAAAATACACTACTTAGCTCATGAAGAGCTATTTACTGTCTTACTGAGATTGGACTGACTTCACCCCATTCCAAGCTACTCACACTGCAGATACCAGGCTCTCCAGATGGCATTATTTAGTCGAATCTTGTCTCGCTGTAGCAACTTTAGCCCCTTGAAGTTTTTCCATTTGGGAGAGACAAGTTTTCCACTACAAAAGGAAAAGGAAAATAATTACAAAGTTCTTCCATCACCAAATACATCTGTTTTTCAAGGGAACAGTGCACCAAGAGGAAAAAAAAGATCAAGAAAGCCCACAGCCAGAGTGAGCAGAAGCATCTCTTGAAAGGCCTTTTGGTATAGTAAGTTATTGCTATTTTGTGCCAAAAAGGGGTCAGTCAATTTTTCATTCAAATGTATGCAAATGTTACAAAGTTCTATTCAGTGAACATGCTTTGAGACCTGACATAGGATAGCTGGTCCCTCCTCAACTTTGGATTTTACGGAACTCTGAAGGAGACAGGAGATAGATGAATGGGTAGTAATCACCAGGGTTATAAGTGCAAAAAACAAATGGAGACCATGGGCTGTATTTGTCACAACAATACACTTTAAAACTCTGATTGAGCAGTCATGCTGGTACCTGCTGCTTGATTCTTACTGCTTAGCTTCTCCTGCCAAGGATAAACCCTGGCTTATGACTTTGGCTTGAGAGTAAAAGAAGAGTTCTGACATCATGCTAAATAAACCATGGACACTGAGTCTCTGGGCATGAGCTGCTCCTGCTGGCAGGAGCAGCAAAGTGGGAGTGATTGTGCAGTATACACTAACAGGCTTGTTTGAGCTAAAGAATTCTGGCTTGTCCTGGTATTTAAACATAGCTTGTAAATAAGTACAGGAAAAGAAGTCCATCACAGAACCTTTGACCTAGAACAATATAGCTCTCTATATTACACATTTTCCTGTTTTCTTGTGTATTTCCACAAAAGAGGGGGCAGGATGAAGATTCCTGCTTTGGAAAAATCATGTGTTAGTTACCAATTTCTGTGTGGCAGGCCATGTGGCCTTTACCACAGAATATAAAATAGTCCTGGCTTTAGACAGCAAGATAAGGACAAGCTCCCACTCTTATAGCAAGTGTTCCTGCTGTCACTGTTAATTACTGTCAAATATGAGAAGTCCATAGTCTAGCATTTCTGGACAGAAACCAAATTCAATTATTCTGCAAAAACACATTATGTGCATAATCTAAAACATGTTGGATGCAATCCTAGATGCTGTCTAGAAGGCCAAAGGGTAATTCAGAGTCCCAGATCTGACCTGGGAAAAGCAGTCCGAGGTGAGAGCTGGATCTCTGAATTTGGAGTGCTCACTCTCTGTTCTTGCAAGACAGACCTCAGAGCTAGTGTTTAGTAGATGAGAAAGGGACAGGGAAAGGCAAGTCATTGCCATCCTGTCAGGAGCCCCTGTGATGCCTCCAGCATTTTTCCTCATGAGCTGAAGTCAAATACTTAGGCAGTCAAGGGGAGGAAGAACATAGGAAATCCTCATCTCTGTGTTTCTTCTGTCCTTGGCTGGATGTCCACAATCCTCTGGAATTTGGAGGATTACAGGAAGTTGCAATGGATGCCACCCTTGGCTAGTGGATTTGCATTTTAATATTACTATTATCTAAATCTGTAAAAGCATTTATTTCCAACAGAGAAATACAGTGTTGATTTAGTTAACCCAAGTGATAAAAACAAGACAGGAGAGAGGTTATTTCAGTGTTTCTTCCTTTCACCACTGTTAAAGAGAAACAGTACCTCATTATCTATAATGTGTGTAGCATCAGTTTTTAGCTATTTAATTACACTGACATCCCCTGCCACCCAAAGGCTTAGCTGTCAGAGGTAATTATTAAAAATAACAAACCGACATCCCTTCGAGAATACAAGCTGAAACTAGCAGTTTGCATACCAATCACCGTGTATAGCAATACAGAGTGATACCCTGTCCTTCTGAAGTTCATGTGAATGTGCATAAGCATTCCTCATGAAGATCTACAAGCTAAGTGTAACAGAGTACATTCTCTGATCAACCCCTTGTACTCTGCTCTATTATACCCCATAAACCTGGTAGGTGCTTCATTGAGTAATTCTGTGAAAAAGAAAGAAGGATAATCAGAATTTATCGGTGCTTCCAGAGCTATCAAAGGGTATTGTGCATTTATTCCATTTTTCCTTCTTTAATAGATCTTTTTGTGGTAAGAAAAAGGTAGAAGCAGCAGTAGGAAAAATAGAACTAAAAGACTGAAGACAATTTCTGGACCATAGTAAATTTCCTTGGATTAGGTAAAGCAATTACCCAATAACAGCTTTGTCTGAAAGCAGGATCAGGATAGCAGTTATTTTGTGGAAAGACTACAGCTACTTCAAAGGTCTTCTACATTAAAATTAAGTGTGGAACAGTGCTGCGGACAGGACACTGTTTCAAACAAATCTAGGCTGTTCCAGTGTGGCATTTTTCACTTCATTTATTTATAGAAACTTTATTTAAACATTCCAAAGTCATTAAGATCAGAGGTGGATGAACTGTATGATATGCCCATTAGAATAGGGGGGTCTTTTTTGTTTTGTTTGTCATATGCTGCTAGAAGATTGCAGCTCTGCCATCCCTAATATAGTCCAACTTCTGTCTTGAAGAAAAGAATTTAAAATATTCTGGAGAGTTACCTACTCTGCTTCTCTAGGGAAATCTCAAGGAAGAAAATTTTGTAACTTTCCCTGAGTAGCTTGTTTTGTTGCTCAATTTGTTCTCCCTTCTGCACCTCAGAAACTTTGAAAGGAGAATGTACATCCAGCTAATTCCACAACTGGAATTAGCATGCCTTTATTTCCCACAAAATGCCAAGAATAAGAGATAACAAAATGTAACACTGGACTTATGCAAGATAAACCATGTCTTGATGTTGAAATTATACACAAGAATTAACAAGAAAACCAAATTAGGACGATAAAGAGAGGCAAGGGCAAAAATACATGCTCTGCAACAACTCCCAGTTTTAGAAGAGTCTGTTAAGTTTCATGAACTATTCTACAAGAAAAGGATGTTGTTGATGAATCTTCTGGTATCTCCCTATCCTGAAAGCACTTTGCTATTATAATTTCTATTATTGGAGCGGGAAGGGCTAGGGACATGGCTTACTAATTACTTAAAATGTACACTGGTGACAATTGTCTGCTCACTGCATACTGTCATATAGAAATTTATTTATGAAACAAAGGTAGCAATGCTAACTATTAAAAATATTCCAAAATCCCTAGTGTAATACTAGGGCAACTCAAATGTCATGAAAATGGGCAAACCTTGAAATATCTAGGTCTCTTCATCAGACAAGATGTCACAGAAAGCAGGAGGGGAGGGCAGAAAATACCGATTAAATCTTAGAATGTCTGCATGGTCAGAATCTTAAGATAATATTGTTGTAAGCCGCCCCGAGGCTTCGGCGAATGGGGCGGCATAAAAATGTTTTAATAAATAAAATAAATAAAATAATATGAAGGAGAAACCAATATGAATGTCTACAAACCATCCTCCTCCTTATCATCTTAATACTCTGATTATGCAAGTACCCCTAGTACAACATTCAGTCAGGGCTGCTGCCACTCCTACCTCTTAACTGATGAAGAGATTTGGGGACTTTGAATGCTTGCACATTTATGACCTTTGAGCTGGCCTAATAAAGGCATTGCACTATTATATACGACACTCTACTGCTTCTAAACATCAAAGGATATGACCAGAAATATGTTTCTGATGATTAAAGGGCTTGACTGCTTACCAAACAAGACAGATAGAATTTGAGAAAGGCTGAAGCCAGAAGAAATAAGAACACCAAAAAGACAAAGGAGTTTGCATGGATCAGAGATAAAGTTTAAGCAGGAAGATATGGTAGTACCACATGATTTAGTAATATAGGGATAGGCAGCCCTCACCCCTGCCCCATGCACACACCTGACAGGTATGTCACAAGTCCAGTCTGAGGGCATGCCACCCTCATATGCTACTAATTTACTGTGCCAGGAAGTAAGTAGTGATGCAATGCTAGAGAATCAGACCCAACTCTATGTTATAGTCAAGCCAGACATGCACAAATTCTTATAGCCTATGTCAGACTAGCCACTCCTGTAATAATACCACACAAAGTTTCAGTTAGATCAAAAGATGCAAACTTTACATTGTATTAGGATACCTTGTACAGAATAACAATAAGGTAATATGATGCATTTTCCTTGACAAACTCTTTTTTTGAAAGAAACACACACCATAGAATTTGTTGGTTTCAATTGACTAATATTTTTCTAACACTGAAATATCTTTGTTTTCTTCCCACTGTTTTTAAACTCTATACTCTCAGACTAATATCTAGCATTAATCCTACAGAGAACACACCCATGGCAATAAGTTAAACTTGAATTAGTCATCACCAATTTAAGTCTCATTTATTTCAATAGATCTACTTTACACTAGATACCACCCAGAGACTTTCAGTCCCCCCTCCCCCAGAGTATTGTGCTCTTGAATAAAAGCATTTCATGTAGAATACATAACAGTAGGAGATCCCTTTTTAAATGGGACGTACATTCTTTGACCTTGCACTACACTCAAGTGAAATGCAAAATACATTTTGCCGTCACGGTTTACAACAGCTTGAAAAACATTGCTTTTGCAATTATGCTCAAGCACTTGTACTTTCAAGGCACAGGACATTTTCGTTTTTGCTTTGGACAAGGGTATGCCTAATCGAGCGGTGGCTTGAGTGAATGCATGCACCCCTTCATTGGTGAAAACGCCTCCTTTCCAGTCCTTAAACATCTGGCGCTCACTGTCCAGCCTGCCCTGTCCCCCTCACCTGTAGGCCAAGGTCATGCACTCGAAGAGCTTGGTGAGGGAGGAGTCGATGTTGAGGGCTCCGCTGCTTCGTGGCCCGTAGCGGTAGATCAGGCACGTACTCTCGTCCACCGTGACGAAGTCGTAAGTGGCCCCACAACCCTGCTGGGCCCCATCAAGGGCCTTCCCAGCCGCGGCCTTCCACCCCGAGCCGGTTCTTCTCTGACCGTGCTCCCCCATGCACGGCCCTGGCTGCGGTAGCCGTGCAGAGGCTTGACCTGCAGGGCTCATCGCCGCCTCGGAGTTGGGGTCTGGATCGGGGTCTGGGTCGAGCTCGGCGTGGGGCTCCGACACCATGAAATGGCCGCTGTGGATGATCTGGGGACGCGACATTATCCACAGCGAAGGCCCTGTTGCCGCTCCCACTGCCCTTGTCCTCCACCGCCCTAAGCATGGCTAGGAGGCCCAAAGCAGCTCTGCAGTCAGCATGGCAACAGGATATCGCCGCCAGCGTAACCACGATTGGAAAAGATTAGCCCCAGTTGCCAAAAGTTGCCGCCACAGAGGTAGGACAAAAGGAAAGCAAAGCTCAGTGAAGAAACTTCGTCCTGACAGCTGCCGTCCCATAAGCTCCCATAGCAACGAGGAAAAACTTTTCTACGCATGCGTCTTCAAGATAACCTCAGCCGCATGGCATGATGGTCATCGGAGTTCTAAATCTACTTCCTTCCTGAGCTCAAACTCGTAGTGGGGATTTTCTAATAAGCCACTCTAAGGCTATATGTAGAGATCAACTTCCAATTTATTACATTTTAAAGTTCAGCGCTTTCGCTTGCATGTTCTCTGTATGTAACTGAGTATATATGTAACTGTATTGGGGTCGGGAGGTGTTACTAAATTAGTAACTTCGACATTTTATTGCGACCTGATAATATGCTGGATTAAGGAAGGAAATTCAAGCTCATCTGCGCCTCATCTTTCTTCTGCTATTTTAACAGCGGATTCAATAGCAGGGCAGTCAAAGCCATTCACATCTAGTCTCAAATGCTCGAACGTCTTCACCTCTGTAATATTGGCTGTACTGGCAATGGTAGGCCAAGTTTTAAAATCTGCTATCTTTTGCTTCTGCATAAGCATAATACAGCCCATCGTTGATATCGTAAAACGTTGGATTACACTACATAGAGTTCTATGGACAATTCTCAGTTCCACCCGGGAGAGACCAAGACATTGTTTCCTGTGTATTTCCGCAACCTTTCTATAAGAACAATGAGACGCGTTACTCTTCTATTTCTTATCTCTGCTAATTAGCAGGCGTGAGATGATGAAAGAATGAGACACTAAGACTACAAATCCCGAAATGCATTGCGGCAACTGGTGTAGGCGTAAAAACCATGCGAATGGGATACCGATAAGTGTGGTTTTTATTCTCTCGTAGAGTTAGTGTAATTAATGGTATCAGTCTGTTGTTGTTGTTATTAGTCGCGAAGTCATATCCGATCCATCGCGACCCCATGGACAACATTCCTCCAGGCCTTCCTGTCCTCCACCATCCCCTGGAGTCCACTCAAGCTCACACCAACTGCCCCAGTGACCTCATCCTCTGCCGTCCCCTTCTTCTTTTGCCATCTATTGCTCCTAGCATTAGGCTCTTCTCCAGGGAGTCCTTTCTTCTCATTAGGTGGCCAAAGTATTTGTGTTTCATCTTCAGGATCTGACCTTCTAAAGAGCAGTCAGGGTTGATCTCCTCTAGGACTGACCGGTTTGATCGCCTTGTGGTCCAAGGGACTCACAGGAGTCTCCTCCAGCACCACAATTCAAAGGCCTCAATCCTTTGGCGCTCAGCCTTCCTTATGGTCCAGTTTTCACAGCCATACATTGCAACTGGGAAAACCATAGCCTTGACTATATGCACTTTTGTTGGCAGAGTGATGTCTTTACTTTTTAGTATGCTGTCTAGATTTGCCATAGCTTTCCTCCCCAGGAGGAAGTGTCTTTTAATTTCTTGGCTGCAGTCCCCATCTGTGGTGATCTTGGGAGCCCAGGAAAATAAAATCTGTCACTACCTCCATTTCTTACCCATCTATTTGCCAGGAAGTGATTAGGACAGGGGTCTCAAACTCAACTTACCTGGGGGCCGCTGGAAATAGAGTCTGGGTGAGGCTGGGCCGCATCAAGTATTCCACCACCGCAGTGGTAGTGGGCCGCTCATCCCGAGGCCGGCCCGGGTGCCGCCGGTGCTTTGAAGGCCGCAGGGCCCCTCCCCCGTGCCCTGCCCAGCCTGGCCATTGGCCCGTGGGCCGCGAGTTTGATACACCTGTGATAGGACCTGATGCCATGATCTTAGTTTTCTTATTGTTGAGCTTCAAGCCAACTTTTGCACTCTCCTCCTTCACCCGCATCAAGAGACTCTTTAGTGCCTCTTCACTTTCTGCCACTAGAGTGGTATCTTCTGCATATCTGAGGTTGTTGATATTTCTCCCAGCAATCTTAATTCCAACTGGTGATTCATCTAGCCCCGCCTTTCCCATGATGTGCTCTGCATATAAGTTAAATAGGCAGGGCGACAGTATACAGCCTTGCTGAACTCCTTTCTCAATTTTGAACCAATCAGTGGTTCCGTGTCCAGTTCTCACTGTTGCTTCTTGACCCGCATACAGGTTTCTCAAAAGACAAATAAGATGGTCTGGTACTCCTATCTCTCTAAGAACTTGCAACAATTTGTTGTGATGCAGACAATCAAAGGCTTTAGCATAGTCAATGAAGCAGAAGTAGATGTTTTTCTGGAACTCCCTAGCTTTCTCCATGATCCAGCGTATGTTGGCAATTTCATCCCTAGTTCCTCTCCCTCTTTGAAATCCTGCCTGTACTTCTGGTAGTTCTTGGTCCACATACTGCTGGAGCCTAGCTTGTACGATTTTGAGCATCACTTTGCTAGCATGTGAAATGAGTGCAATGGTGCAGTAGTTTGAACATTCTTTGGCATTGCCCTTCTTTGGGATCGGAATGTAAACTGACCTTTTCCAATCCTGTGGCCACTGTTGAGTTTTCCAAATTTGCTGGCATATTGAGTGTAGCACTTTTACTGCATCTTCTTTTAAGATTTTGAATAGCTCAGCTGGAATACTGTCACCTCCACTAGCTTTGTTGTTGCTCAGACTTCCTAAGGCCCATTTGACTTCACATTCCAGGATGTCTGGCTCAAGGTCAGTGACCACCCCATCGTGGTTATCAGGGACGTTAAGGTCTTCCTTGTATAGTTCTTCTGTGTAATCTTGCCACCTCTTCTTAATCTCTTCTGCCTCTGTTAGGTCCCTGCCATTTTGGTCCTTTATCATGCCCATCTTTGCATGAAACGTTCCCTTCATATCTCCAATTTTCTTGAAGAGATCTCTGGTCCTCCCTATTCTATTGTTTTCTTCTATTTCTTTGCACTGTTCATTGAAGAAGGCATTCTTATCTCTTCTAGCTATTCTCTGGAATTCTGCATTCAGTTGGGTGTATCTTTCTCTTTCTCCCTTGCCTTTCGCTTCCCTTCTTTCCTCAGCTGTTTGTAAAGCTTTCTCAGACAGCCATTTTGCTTTCTTGCATTTCTTTTTTCTTTGGGATGGTTTTAGATGCTACCTCTTGTACAATGTTGCGAACCTCTGTCCATAGTTCTTCAGGCACTCTGTCTATCAGATCTAATTCCTTAAATCTATTTGTCACCTCTACTGAATATTCATCAGGGATATGATTTAGGTCATACCTGAGTGGCCTAGTGCATTTCCCTACTTTCTTCAATTTAAGCCTAAATTTTGCAACAAGGAACTTATGATCTGAGCCACAGTCAGCTCCTGGTCTAGTTTTTACTGACTGTATTGAGCTTCTATACTAGATGATTAATAGACTTCATTAGGGAAGAACTGGGGAAGGTGAGATGAGCACAGCACATTGCTCAGTTTCTGGGTATGCCAACCTTCCCCAGTCTGGTACCTTCCAGATGTTCAAGACTACAACTTACACTGTTTCCAACTATTGGCCCTGATGGTTTGAGATAATAAGAGCTGAAGTCCACAATATCTGAAGGGCACGAGGCTGGAGAAGGCTTCTGCAGATAATAACCCTACACTGAATCAGGCAGGGGTGGTGCCAGAAATTTTGAGAGTGGGATGAGGCAAAGCGGCACAGTATCTTGCACAGTGCAACGCGTTTCTCACATGCATGCCTTGTGTCTTAGAATCACATTCTCTGAGATGCAGGATGTATCCTATACCGACTTTCTTGGGGGTGGGGAGTCTTTGGCAGAGGGAAAAATAGATTTGCTTGATCAGAGTTCAGAATCATAACGAAGCTTAAGCTAGCTTAATACAACTTCTGCATTTTTCCTTATTTATTACATTTATACCCCACCTTTTTCTTTTTTTAAAGCAGCTTACATCATTCTCCTCTTCCAGCTCTCAATCTTATATCCCAGAACAACAACCCTGTGAGGTACGCTGCGCTGAGAGTCTGTGACTGTCCCAAAGTCACCCAGTTGGCTTGAAGGCTGGGCAGGGACTAGAATCCAAGTTGCCCGAGTCCCAGTCTCATGCTCTCAACCACTACATCACACTGGCTCTCTTCAAAATTATGTGAATTTGACATCCCTAAACTAAACTCCCCATTCTTCCTGGAATTATGTTGTGTCAAGTTGCACTTAAAAAAGGAACACATGCATCAGAGAACCCTGTTATTCCTGGTACCAAGACTACTGCAGAGCTCACCTATGTTAAATTGCCTCTCTGTTGTTTCTCCATGGGTAGACAAAGGGTATTTCCAGAAGAGGCTTTTACTGTGGAATCACATGGGGCATGCCAGGAGCTGCAGGACATCTTTCTGTGTAAACATGCATACAGTCTTGCCTATCTGGAGGCTCTGGTTCAGAGGCATGAGATGGTCAACCTTAACCCCTCCCTCAGAAGTCTGTGAAGTTAGGCCATATCAACCAGTGCTGATTAGGTGGCTTTGGAGAGTTCCTGGGTCCCTTCTCAGCACTACTGTCTCCAGCTGTGCTCCCCGCCCCCAATCATTCTTAATGCTTACTTGCTTGACAGGCAGAGATCTGGTAGCCAAGCAGGCAGTGGCATCTCCTGCTCTCCTCCTCACCATCACTGCCGTCAGGGATGGAGGGAGGCGAAGGTAAACAACAAGATGCTGTGGTGAAGCGGAGGAGCAAGTCCAAGGGCAAAGGGTCCCTGCTGAGCTGTGGACCCTCACCAGGCACTCAACTGTGCCTACCCCTTGGTGCCAACCCTGCTTATCACCCTTTATGCTTCACATGGTTAAGGGTGGTTGAGGTTCAGGTTCCTAAGATTGGCTCCTGAGGCAGCTAGACATTGCAGTGGCTGGTGGATCTGTGTGCTGCATGGCTGGTCCTTCATGGAGTGCCTTGTTCTACTCATGATGCAAAAGCAAGGAGTGGCCTGGCTATCTGTAATTGTCAGCCACTTCTCACTCCCTGATGTAGAAGTGCAGTCCTGAGGAAGAAGAGAGGTTCTCTGTTATTCCCCCTCACTTCTGGCCAGGTTCGTGGAATGGGACATGCCTTGAAGGAAAGGACAAGACCAGAGCTCCAGTAAATGGTAAAATTGAGTTCACTCTTTATTTTCAGGCTGAATGAAGCTGGCAATGGCACAGGGGCTGTATGTGTTTGCGTGTGCAAAAATCAGTAGGGGCAGTTCATTCCCCAGTGAGATCACAGTGAGAGGCTACTGTCTTGGTTCTAATATAGGGGCATCATAGGCAAATTAAAAGCAGCGAACCACAAGTGCCTTTCAACCAAGATCTTGGAGCTGTGCAGTCTTCAGGACCACTGAGAGACCCAAAACAAGGAGATGGAGGGAAGCCCCTGAGGAGCACTTGTTCTCTTTCTGACCAGTTCTGCCTAAGGAAGTGGAGATGAGCTCAGTTGTGGTTTCCTGAAGGGCTAGTCTCCCCTCCTCCTCGTTCAGAAGGCCATCTTCCAGGCCTTAGGGAGAGTAAGGAAGTTTCCTTTGGTCAGAGATAACTCTTCTGGTAAGCCTCTCGGTCCCATGAGTCACTCCAGTAAATAACCAGAGAAAGGTAGAAACAGGCTTTCAGCCCGAGCTGGGCTCCAAATCAACACTGGCCTGGCGTACCACCCGTCGGGACCGCGAGGAGTGCAGGGGATGGGGGGCAGTGTTTTCTTCAGGTTGGGACTTTGGCTGAGAAGGCGTCGGGAGCTTGTGAAGGCTTTCAGGATCTGCCTGTTCCTCGAACTCCTTGGTCCGACTTACCACCAGGGCAGCATCAGCCAGCTGAGCTACAGAGAGGCGGTGTTGCAAGGGGGGCTTGCGGCCAAATGGGACAGGACACTCCATATGCCGAACGACTTTGTGCACCCTGCCTGGGGCCGGGTGGAAGGAATGCTGCTTGCAGGGCTTGGAGCGGCCCCGCGGAGCCCTACGCCTGCGTCGTCCAGGCCTGTGTACCTGTGTGTGCTCCTCCCTAGGCAGGGACTGCTTTTCTGTAGAGTCTGTTGTTGACCTTAAACTCTCCTCTGTTTTGGGAGAGGACTTGACGGTCACAGGAGTCTTCCTTTCAGCGTGAAGAAATACCTGTTTAAAGAAGAGAGAGACTGATGAGGCATAAAGAACTACATAAGATTCCTCTTCATTCTACTCCTGCCATTCCTCACTATGTCACTAACGTCTGAGGTGCTCTGCATTTGTTTCCCATACTGTGCCCTAGGCTCCTTTACTGCTGCCTTAGTTCCTCCTTCCGTTATGAGCTGGCTTACTCCCTCCACACACCCCTCCCTAGGAACCTGCCCTTGCATGACCCCATACCTCTTCTTCAGTGGCAGTATGTGGCAGAGAGATGTGTTCTGGGCTATCCATCTCACTGATGCTGCGCATGATAGCATAGAGGTTAATGCGCTCCCGTCGGAGCATAGCTGGCTTCTCAGGTACTCTCATAGTTGCTAGGTGTCTTTGCACCTCCTCAGCTCCCGAGTCGTCTGGTGTCCCAGGTTCCTCTGATGCCTGGAGACTAACTTTGGGGCCATCAGGGGAATCCAGAGGATGGCTGGGTTCTTCTGGAGGTTCCCGCAAAGGCCGAAAGCAATACTGGGGGGTTGTCACTTGCGCCTCTTGCTCATCTTCTGAGCTCAGGGTCTCGTAGTCTGAGCTCCCTGAGAAATCACTGCTGGCATCACTTATATCTGGAGAGGCTTCTGCCTGGGTGTCTACTGCCTTTTGTTCCCATAGGCTGCTGTGTCGGCTGCATAGAGACATGAAGTGAATGTGATCTATTAAGAGGTAAAAGGTAATTGGGTTTTTTATGAACATGGTCAAGCTTCTGTCATAGGTTATTAAAGAACAGCATATTCCCTTTTGGAAAGGTCTTAAACCCTGGTGACAGCAATAAAAGAAATTATTAGAAATCATGACCAACTCCTTCCTAACTTGACTGCAGTCTTATTTTGAGTTCATTTTGTTGTCTGTAGCTCATCAAGAGCAAATAAAGTTTGCATACAGTAGCCCAACAGTAACCCTCTTTTTTGAAACTGGAAGAACTAGTTTGCAGTGGGCAGCTTGGACTGGAGAAGCTGAGTGTGTGCATACGGGCCTCTCCTTCCTTAACCCTTCTCTGCCTGTTGCTTTCTCGCTCCCATCAGCTTTCCCCTGCTGTGGGTTTCACATGTGCTTGCTTTGGCAGAGTTATTTAAAAACCTCAGAAGGGGAGTGAAGTTAACCACCCCTCCACACTGCCTCTTCCCTGAGCCCAACAGCCTCCACAACCGCTGCCTTAAAACAGGTTTTCCAATTAAGAAAGGTTCACTGGATAACAGTTACATGTGTTTGCTTATACAGTGTCATTTGGCCCTTGGACAACAGTGAAACACCCGTTCCTTTCATAGCTGTGTTAAGACCGTACTGGGCAGTTTTGGCCCCACCAGCATTTCTTGGCTTCTTACAGGTGCACTGCCCAGACCAGAACATTGTCCTTCCGTCCCACTTCCTTCCCTTGCAGTCACCTGGCATCCAGAATGCCCTGGTAAAACTCCAGCTGTCGCATGAAGCCTGGATTGGGGTGGACAATGGGGCGTCGCTCCTGCACATAACGAAGGGCCTGTTCCAGCGACCAGCCGTACTCCTTCATGGCGTAGGCAACCACTGTGGAGCCGGAGCGGCTCACACCCATCTTGCAGTGCACCAGCACCTGGAAGCCTTGATCCCTGCAGGGGAGAATTTTGGCTGTAATCCAACGTTATGTACTGCAGCACCTGGGACAAACCTAAGGTTGAGCATCTGAATGCACCATCTTCAGCAGTGTATAAGATACCCCTGCTTCTTGGCCTAACTCTCACGAGCATGTTTCTTCTTTTTGTCCCTTTCCAGCAGATCAAGACAAAAGGCAGTCCTTTATTGAGTTAGGCTGGCTTTGCAATGCAGCGTGAATAAGAGAAAAGTTGTTAACAGGCATCTACCAAGGTAATGATCCTTCTCATTTGTGGAGCTGGTTAATTCTTGACTACGTTAGACGTTGATTCTAAACTGAATTCCCCTCCTCCCTTCTGCTCCAGGTAAAGCTAGCTCCACCTTCAGGGAGATTAGCACTGCTTGTGGGCTGGATAGTGGGAATACCAGACATTATATAATTGGGCCACTCATGAGAAGAAACCACTGGGCTGATAAATTCACACCTTTCCCCTTTGACCCTCCCTGTTCTACAGGATCTCCCGCAACCAGAGGTCACCCAGTTCTTGCCAGCTGCTTGGCTTAGCCCACAGCTCAGTAGCCTCAGCATTTCTGCTACACATTCCAACTCAAGGACCTGCATTTAACAACTGAGTATGGGTTGTTGCTGAACCATGAGTACTTTTTGAAATGTGGCTGTGGTGTTACCTGCACCTAGCCATGCTAACAAATCATGGTTTGTTAAGTGAGAATGACTCAGGAAGACAACTCATGGCTTATTGTGGGTGTGAATCAACAAACCATGGCTTGTTAGTGCAGATGAGTTCAGACAACACAGTAACCCACAGCTCAGCCCAGCATTGGTCTAGATGCCTGAATGGTCTGATTCAATTAAAAGCAGCTGCCTGCATTCCTCTGTGTGGTAGTTCCTAAGGAAAGTGGGGAGGGGGGTACATTAAGTCTGCCAAATTCTTACCCACCACACTTTCCAGGGTGAAAGGAGACAGGCCTTACCAAACATGGGAAGTATGTGCATGTGGCACTGGGCAGGGGATGAGGTTTTTCATTAAGTGGGCCCACCCCTTTGAGCTCAGTCCTGGTACTGGCACCTAAAAACCCATTTCCGTGCATGCAGTGCCCTCGGCTAGATTGGGGCAACGCTAATTAACCTCTTTGCAATGCACGATGCCGAGCCGCATTCATGTATGCATCTTCCATCTTGGTGCCCACTTCTCACCGGGCACTTGAAATGAAGCTGTAGGTCTCTTTCCAGTAGGGCAGCAGCTGTGAGTTTTCCTCATCGTAGAGCCGCACATTCATGTAAGTGAAGTGTTCCGGAAAGAAGTTGTCAATCTCACGGGTCACGTTGAGGATGTGGGTCACTCTAAAAGGCAAGGCAGGAGGAAATCAGCTGGCTTTTCCTAATTCGCCCTCCTGTGGTGATGGCTACTGGATCTCCCTTGTCATTATTTTAGTGCCATTTGTTCCACTCCAACTATACCCTGTCCTGTCTCCTAACTAACAACTCAACATTTTCGTGGTATCTCAGAATGGACTTGAAATCTAGAGCAGAAATCTCTTCTGAAAGAAAATATTTGAGTTGAGAGGTATAGAAAATGGTTATCTCAAAGTCCAAGGATTCCACTTCTGATGGGATTCCTGAAAGTGTTAGCATTGTTTTCCGGGCAGCAGTGCATATAGATAACATACCTGTTCTTTTGGAGCTCCTCAAGGTTGGCTGCGTTCCATTCAGAGCCCTGAGACAGAAAGGAATAAACATGAGACACACAGCTCAGTCCCGCGGTATGTGAACCATTAAACATAGTACACATCCTGGACTCGCTCATTTAATACCCCTGGCAGCAAGCCCTACAAGAGCTGAGCCACGCATTCAGCAAATCCTGCACCACTTGAGGCTACAGGTGAAGCTGTGTTTTTAATGCTATCTCTTGAAGGAAAAAAGAATATATGCATGTAGAAAAACTGCACAAAAGCTTCTCTTTCTGCTGTGCTTGGTGGGCATGGGAAGAATGTATGGAAAGTAACTTCAGCCACCCAATGTATCTGTTTTGCTTTAGAGTTTATAGTCAGGATTACTTATTCACTAGACAACCACCTAATGTCTTTTACTCCCATGTACACGTGCCCAATTTCTCAGGATGACTTCCAAGCCTGTACTGTATGTTCAGCTGCCTGTTGAAGCTAGATAGAAGACTGGGTTCAACTCAGCATTTGTATAGCCTCTATTGTAGGGTCTTTTCAGTGGTAGCCTCTGGATTATGAACTCTCTTTCCAAGGATGTATATATGGCATTTTTCATACTCCTTTAGGAAATGTGTTACCTGTTCCAGAGATCTTATGAGGATCATGGAATTCAAGGTATGTTGTACTATTGTAGGGTCTATGCAAAAATTTAATTTTGCAGCTACTGTGTCATGATTTTGCCAATTCTATGGACTGGATTTAGTCAGATTTTATTTAGAAGTTTATGGATTGGTAGCGGCTTTGAATACACACATGGAAAAGGGCAGGGAATATATGCTTTAAATAATGTTGACTACTTCTCTCTTAAGCAACCTTTCACAACAATCATCCTCTCAGTTGAGGTGGTTAAAGGATCAGGCACCATTTCTCAATTTCCTCTGGCTGTTTTGGACAACAATTCCCAGGTTTCTTGAGCTGGGGCTGCTGGGAATTGAAGTCCAAAACTGGGAAAAGATGGCTTAGGGCAGTGGTGGTGAACCTATGGCACGCGTGCTGCAGTGGGCACACAGGACCCTCTCTGTTGCCACACGAGCCAAGTCACCCCAGCATCGCCCCAGCAGCTGAGCACTGGATAACAGTGCAGATAGAGGCCATGCGCATGCTCGGAAAGGAGTAGCGGCGCCAGGCGATGATGTCACGAGCCGTGACTTATTAGCCACGACTTGTCTGAGCTTTTGCATGGTCAATCAGTGCGCTGCCAAGGAGATATATATATATTTGCTCGGATTGGCTGTGAGTTTAAATACATTCCTTTTGAATAACACAAGATTTTAACTTTGAGTTTTCTTTTGTATGAGTTGTTTTTCCTAAACTAAAATCTCAGTATTCAGGTTTTATTGCAGTGTGGGCACTTTACGATAAATAAGTGGGTTTTGGGTTGCAGTTTGGGCACTCAGCCTCTAAAAGGTTCGCCATCACTGGCTTAGGGCTTGCCTGCCAGTTCATAGTCTACTCATATTCATTGGTGATTTCTGTCTCACTTTAGATATTATGAAGGCAAAATTCAGCGAAAATGCTGTTTTGTGTATGTAATATTAGATATTTTGGGGGAAGCTCATTTTGAAAGTGCTAAGCTATCTGAATAGATTGCAGGTTCTTATCTCCACAACTGGTCAATCCACTGGCTTTACAGAAAGATGTAAGATACTCATTTGACTGAACTCCCTTGGAATGTTGTTATTTTAGGATGGTGTTGAAGACTTTGCTCAACTCAGCATTTGCATTGCTTCTATTGTGGTCTTTGAGAAGTGAGTATGAATACAGGTTGAGTTAAGCATACCCTTTAAACCAAGCAAGATTTAAAAGTCTGGTTTACAGGGTCTACTAAACTCAACCTGCATTTTTCCTTTTGTGCACCTGCTTTTTTTGAAAGCAAACACATTATTAAATTAAATCTAAAATGAATGTATACAAGAGAAGTTCATTATAGCTTCTAACAGTGCTGTCCTATGCACTCCCAGGTAAGTACAGTGGTACCTCGGCTCACGAATGCCTTGGTTCACGACCAAATCGGGTCGCAAACAAAAATTTCATGAAAATTTTGATGTGGGTCACAAATTCTGCATTGGGTGGTGACCAAGATCGCAGCCATCTCCCCTCCCCCCCCGAGTGGGGAGATGGCTACGATCGCAGTTGCGTTCGTGCAGGAAAGATGTGCGTGATTGCAGGCACGCTCCTGCAGGAAAGATGAGCGTGATCTTGGCCATCTCCCTCCCTCACCCCCAGCACGATCGCGGCCATCTCCCCACTCAGGGGGAGGGGGGAGATGGCCGCGATCGTGTTGGTTGGGGAGGAGGACATGGCCAAGATTGTGCTCATGATTGCACCCGGCTTTCCTGCATAAGCACAACTGCGATCTTGGCCATCTCCGCCCCCCGCCAGCATGATCGCGCCCGTCTCCACCCCACCAGCATGCCCTGCCCCACCAAACATGTCCCTGGATGAAGAATCTTTTTCCATGATAGGAAAAGTGCTATCTAATGCTTGTTAGTTGATATCACAGCTGATGCTCAATTTAGGACTTGCTACAACTGCACCCAATGAAATGCAGATAAGGTACAGTTGCTTTCCAGTATTTTGGATCTGAGCTTCACAACTCCTTGAACCATTTAAGTGTGGACAATTAAACTTGTATTTGTTTTAAAGGGTGATCTTTTACATTCTTCCAAAACTGAAAATAAGGTATAGAGGATTAGTCAGCACCCATAAACTGCAATGTTTGAAGGTTCCAGCCTTGAAAAATGTGCACCTATGTTTGTTTATTTATTTATTTAGAAAATTTCTATGCCGCCCCATTCGCCAAAGCCTCGGAGCAGCTCACAATGTTGAAATTGTTATGATGCTGCTGTATAATTTAACCTGAACTTCATTGCTCCAGTATTGTAAACTGCCCAGAGAGCTTCAGATATTGGGTAGTATAGAAATAAAATGAATAATAATAAACAGCATTTAACACATGGTCATCAAGGGCTACACAATCAAGAGAAGTGTGTCCAAATCGCATTTGGTGCTTATTCTCACAAGTCATGGATGGTATGGGAAGGAGAGTCTTTCTGAATGGTGACAATCTGTTGTTTACCACTTTAGGAGCTGCTGGAATAGAGCATGGGAAAGAAACAAGCCACACCAAGTGGCCTGGGCCATGGGGAATAGCTGAACCGCGTAGGGTTGGAGAGGCAGAAATGACAGCAAATGGAAAATACAGTTATTCACACTAACTTTCCCTCATCTGGGATGGTCTCTTGTTGCTACTCTATTGTTATTTTTATAACACTGTAATTTTTAAGTATTTTATTATTTTATCTGGGCTGTTATATTTTTGGGTTGTGTTTGAATTTGAACCACTGTCAATGGCACAGAAATATTCCAGTGCAGATGTCTAGGTAGCCATTTGTATGGTTGCCCATAGTAGTAAAAAGAAGTTCATTATAGCTTCTAATGAAGAATAGAAGCCATACACTGCAACAGACTGAAATAGAAGACGTGGGTGAGAGAGGTGGGTGAGAACATTTTGCCAAACTGGTAACTATCATGGCCTTAATTGCAAGGCTAAATAAACCAGGTCATTGACAGGCACCAGTAGATGGCTGTGACCCATGCGAAACCATATTCCACAAGGCAAATAACAGCAGCAGGGCTGCTATTAACCACTGGGAGAGTATCAGATTTCTTCAGTGCTTGGAGAGTATAATGGAACACAAGCACAATTCCCAGAGAACACATGTGGGCTAGTTACAGCAAATGACTGCCAAATTTATATGCATTATAATAAACCTATCGGAAGAGACAAGTCTTGGAATGCTTTACGTATTATCACATTACATTTATATCCCTCCATTTGCCCTGCAAAGAACCCAAGGCAGTTTACGTCCTCCTATTTTCCATTTTATCCTCACAACAACCGTGTGAGGTAGGTTAGGATAGGAATGTCTGTGACTGCCCAAAATCACCCGGTGAGCTTCATGGCCAAGTGGGGACTAAAAGCCAGATAGAAGAAGCCAGATAGTCCATGTTTTCACATCTACACCACACTGGCTTTACATCACACTACGTCACACTCAAATTGTCCTGCACCATCTATCTATCTTTTAATAAACATCAGTTTTTCTTTGCTTCTGCATCCAAAAGATTTAGTGTGAAATCCAGTTTATGGGTAAACAGAAGAGTCAGTGGCTTTGTTCCTGCACCTGTTCCCTAACTTTATCCTCCATAGCACTCTTCTTAAGGCTCCTTCTCTACAAACAGAGGTAATGAGGTGACATGCCCAACCTGGTGGCTCCGGCCTTCCATTTCATATGAAGTAAGACTGTGCACTCTCTTAACAAGATTTGTAGGTAGTGTAAGAGGGGGGGGAAAGGAGGCAGTAGGATACTTTGCTGCTGCTTATGATAGGAGTGAGAGAAAACCTCAGTTAGTAGGTGTCAGTAAGAGCCAGGCTGATGTAATGGTTTGAATGCTGAACTGGGACTTAGGAAATTCAGGTTGTAGCCCTCCTTCACGGGGTGTCTTTGGGCTGTTGATGACTCTCAGTCTTATCTACCTCACAGGCTTGTTGTGGAGGTAAAATGGAGAGCAGGAGAACCATGTAAGCCGCCTTGGGTGGGTTATAAATGTATTAAAGACTTTTGGCTTTCTAACATCAGTGAAGAATTTGAGGGCCTACAAGCCAAGGTGAAGGGTGTCCTGGCTACCATACACTATCTGTGCTTTCTCACCAGGTACAGATAGTCGAAGATCCTGGAGGGTCGATCCATCTGGGCCATGATGAGCAGCATTTCATTGTCAATAAACTCCTTGTAGTCCTTCAGACTGCAACCAACTCGCTGCTCCAGCTCTGTACGGATCTGTGGGAGAAGAGAGAGATTGTTTGAGAGCCAGTGTCTCTCATATCCTGGCCTGGCTGTTTGCTAAATTATACATCCTTACCCATCACCCACCATGCATTTTACCCAATTACCCCAAACTCTCCCCTTCCCTGTCCCTATTAGAACCTTTCCTGTTGCATTTTCCCAAACCCCTTCTCCAAACACAGGAGCTTCCATTCCCTTGCTTCCTCTTTTTCCACATCCCCCCATCACGTCCTCTTCCAGAACCCCCTTGTCCCAACATCCCACCTCCTTGGAGGTGATGTTCTCCAGGTCAGTGGTGGCCATCACCTCACGCAGCTTGGCCCGGATCATCCGCTCTGTCATCTCCCGTGCTGTCGGCCTGAGGCACAGAGACAGAGGGTCGGCAAAGCTCTCGGCCTGCCAGACTCTGTCCCAGACACCATGATGCCAGGTTTCCCCTGCAGAGCCCTCCCACATCCCAAGGGCAGCAGGGCTGTACATCTGATGCAGTCCTGAAGCTTTGCGTGCCCCTACATAGCTTTATTCATTCAGGGTGGGAAAAGAACGCTGTGGTGCCAGCATTGTGGTGGGGCTTTTGTCCTGATGTCTCTGATCAACATCTCCTGCGTGCCAAGAAAGTCTCCCCTCTGGGTTATTGGCCTGGGCTGCCAAAGTGGAACCAGAGCCAGTGGAGGGCGAGACTAGCAAGGCTATCCTAGCTGTCCATGTGGAGGAGCTGTAGGTCAGCGGTAGGGCACGGGCTTTGCATGCAGAAGGCTTGATCCCAGGCGTCTCCACAGGCAGAGAAGAAAGAATCCTGCCTGATACCCTGGAGAGCCGCTGAGCATCAGTGAGGGCAGCACTGGGCTAGATGGGCCGAGGGCCTGACTCAGTCTAAGGCAGCTTCCGTGGTTGCCATGGACTACTGCTCCACTGACTGCCAACCCCAGCCTATGGTGGGCCCTGGGGGCGGGGGCGGGGGTCATCACTGACTGCTCAGAGAAGACAGCAGACGAGCTGGGCCGCACAGATTCCAGGTCGGACATGGCCAGCCATTCGTTAATGCAGCTCTGCTCAGAGGTCACAGCCTTCTGATACCACTCGGTCCAGCTCAGTGCACTCCCTCCAGGGAAATAGTTGTTGCAGATTGCTTCGCTGCACGCCTTGTGCAGCACTTGCAACGCTGACCTGGGACGAAAGTCAGATATCAGAAACAGGAAGAAGCAACTGAAGGGTCCACAACAGCAGGCCGCACACCAAGGGGTGGATTGGGGGCGAACCTTGTAACAATAGCTCCACCCACTCCTCCTTCCAGATGTCATCATAACTCCAACTAATTTCAGTGAGCAACTGTGAGCCTGACAGAGAATTTAGAGGAACTTCCAAAGGAGGCAGGGAATTTCCCTGCTCCCACACTGCAATGGGGCTTTTAAAAACCCTCCATTAGCGCCAGTGAAAGCTTTTAGAAGCTTCACTGCAGTGTGGTGTGTATGTGTAAAGCTATTTTCAGGGGCAGGAGGTCACTGCAGGGAAGGGAAGCTCTAACCCACCCCTCTCCCACACTGTGTCCCTCTCTGAAAAATCATCCCTTCCCAGATGCAGTCAGGCTTTTGAACAACTTGAGTGCCATGGAGGATTGCTGGGTGAAGGAACGGGTCCTTGACAATTATGCCCAGCTTCCTCACCAACTTTGGGTTACAGGCCCCACTCGCTGTTACAGTGCACTCCCTACCCGCCCCCCAACTGTGTTTCCCCTGAATCCAATTGGTTCTTGGGTCAAAAAGGGCTTCCCACACTGTGTTTTATATACCGCAGAAAGGGCCTAAGTTTAGGAACTGTAAAATGATGGAGCAGAGAGGATGGAAGGAGTAGCCCACCCCATCCGGGTCTCTCTTCAGTGTGCCTCCTTGTTAAAATCCTTTAGAAGCTTCCACTGCCACATGAGAGAAATGCAGTTGATCTCTCTTGCAGCCAGTGCATTTAATATCCCTCCCCAGCTTGCCAGCCAAAGCAATCATGCCACTTGTATCCTCCTTCCCAAAGGGACTCATGGATCCTGTCCCACCCCATCTTGTTAGCATTTCACCACACCCAGCAGCCTCGCTCACCACATGGTCTGGACCGAAATGGGCTTAAAGATACGCGTCTGTCCCCCTGATGTTACACTGAAGCCCCTAGGGAAAGAGAAGAGGAGTGTGATTTCCGTAGCTTTTTGGAAGTTTTCCATCAGGAATACAGATACATAGAAATAAAAAAATAAGAGCAGAAGAATGTGCATAATTGTGTATCTCTCCTAAGTTTTACCATAAATCCAGATCCATTTTGCAAACAGAAATACTGACCTTTCTGCTTCTGGCATATATAAGCTTGGTTGGTTTGCAAGTTCTAAAAATGGATTATCCAATTTAAGTTAGTATGCGAAGTGCTCTTCATCTGCACTGCACAATCCTTTTAGAGAGTCTTTGTTTTCCTATAGGAATCCTTCTATTGTATAGCTACACAATTTTTTGCAAATGCTATGCAAAGAATGGAAAATTTGTAGAGCTGTACTTGGATTTGGCAAAAAAACAAAACAACAGAAAAAGTATAATGCAGAGGTGAGGAATATGTGACTTCCAGATGTTGTGAACTGCAACTCCCACCAGCCCTAATCAGCATAGCCAATGCTGATGGATAATGGGATGTGTAGTCCAACAACACTGGGAAGGTCACACATTCCCCATCCCTGTCTTTCTTATATTTATATCCTGCCTTTTTTCCTACGGTGACCCTAAGGCAGCTTGCATGATCCTCCTGCTTTTCTCCATTTTATTCTCCCAACAATGACCCGTTGAGGTAGGTTAGGCTGAGTGTCAGCAACTGGCCCAAGGTCACCCAGTTAGCCTCATGAGGGCAAAGTGGGGACTAAATCTCCTGAGCTCCAGTCCAGCACTCTAACCCCTGTCCCACACTCGCTTCAATCATCTTAAAGCAGTAAGCTCTATGCGTGTGATTTCAGAAGTTAAGAATAATGTTTTCGTTCATTGCTTAGCATACATGGAACAGGGCAGTTTGTCTTCCACCTGTTGGAATGTTACTTTAAACCTTTATGTGTATATTATACAAAAGATTTTTTCTCTCTCTAAATATGCCTAGGTCTGCAGCCTAAATTAGTTAGCACAAACCTCTGTTGATTTATACAGTAAACACATATTCAAGTACATACATGCAAATTATCTCTATGTGCTCCCCCTTCATCTGCCTTTGCAATAATGTGCTAATCTATTTTACAGTGTCAAAATGAAATCAACACTGTGTGCTGGTGACAGGTGGATTGTACCTTACTGCTGAGGCAGGGACTCCTTACTGGGCTAAGGAGAAAAAATATATTTTTATTCAGCTCCTTCAAGGAGCTATTTCTCTAGGAGGCAAGAAAACCTGAAAAACCTGACTGCTTGTGGTTTAATAAGTGGCCACTGTCCTTTTGAAGGGATGCTTGATTTTAGATAGGGCGGCAATGCCTAACAGAGTATGTGGCAGCAGTTATTGCCACACTGGGGTGCTCTGGGTGCTCTGCTTGAGCCCATTAATCTCCAGCTTTAAGCTTTAGTTATATGCTGGACAAGTTCAATTAAAATAGCCAGATGTAATGTCTGGGTCCCTGTTAGCACAACACTAACCTTTTATATGTCCCAGACACATTTAGAAAGAAAAAGAAAACATCCTAACATCCTGATGCTTTTAAAACAGGGATGTTGAACCTGAGGCCAGTGGGTAAGGGCTGGCCTGCTTTGGGTTCTAGTCTGACCCATGCTGGTTCCTGAAACAGATGGGGCCTTCTCTGCTGACCCACTGGTTGTTTGGTGGCTTCCCAGTTTGTGTGTCCTCTCCACTCCATTCCTGTCCCTGTCTTTCAAAGAAAAAGCCTTGCTGCGGTAAGCCTCAGACTGGATGAAAGCGTGAAGATGTTTTCAGCATCCACAACCCCTTGCCATTGGTTATGGTGGCTAGGGCTGATGGGAATTGTAGGCCAAATTATCTGGGGAACCATGAATTTCCCACCCCCATGCAGCCCGTGGAGCTTCTCCAGTGCAGAGTGAAGTGTTGTAACTTTGTGGTGGAATGTGGACATAGTAACCTGAGAATGGTAGACAGCAAATTCTGGGCACCGCTGAAGAGTGGCGAATTATAATCTATTTATTATATTTTTCTTGGGGATTGGAAATGCCATTTGGATGCTTTGATTGAGGCACTAAAATATCTTGGGCTGATTAGCATCTCTTTGTTCTTATCATTACACCAGCCATTGGTGTAGTGCTAGACAGGAGATTTGAATTCGAGTCCCAACTCAGCCATGAAATCCACTGAGTGACTTTGGGCCAGTCACTTCCTCTCAGCCTAACCTACTTCACAGGATTGTTGTTGTGAGAGGAGATCTTTGTAAGCTGCCTTGAGTTCCTTGCAAGAAGAAAGGCAAGATACTAGTTCCTCTTATTCAGCCTCATATTCCTCTTATTCAGAACTGTCTCCAGTTCTGGGGACCACAGTTTAAGAAAGATGCAGACAAGCTGGAAAGGGTTCAGGGGAAGGCAACGGGGATGATCCAGGGACTGGAAACAAAGTCCTGTGAGGAGAGATTGAAAGAAATGGGCATGTTTACCTTTGAGAAGAGAAGACTGAGGGAAGATATGGTACACTCAAGAAGTACTTGAAAGGCTGCCATGAAAAGGAAGGACACGATCTCTTCTTGATCATCCCAGAGTGCAGGACATGGAATAATGCACTCTAGTTACAGGAAACCAGATTGAGGCTAGATATCAGGGAAAGTTTCCTGACTGTTAGAGCAGCATGAGAATGGAATCAATTACCTAGGGAGGCTGGGGTCTTTCCTGCAATAGAGGCTTGCAAGATGCAACTGGACAGCCATCTGAGAGGGATGGTTTAACCTGATGTCCTGCACCGAGCAGGGGGTTGGATCTGATGGCCTTCTGGCCCCTTCCTACTCTATTATTTTATGATTCTGTGGTTCTGTGAAATGTAATAATCATAATCTATGGAGATGAGTCTTAAGATCTGGGAGGAGGCTCCTCCTATTTTTTCCCTTCGCCCTGGGCATGATCATGGAAGGAGAAAAATCAAGACATACAAAACCCGACTTTTCAGTATTTTAGTCTGTTTGCAAAATGAACTTGTGTTAGAGGCTAACCCAGCAATTGTTATTACAGATTACTATTACATGAGGTAATATTAATGGCATGTTGGGTGGGGGCATCTTACCCATCGCCATCAAGGAAGACCTGGGTGTCACTCCATAGTGGAAGCACCATTCCCAAGGTACAGCCAGCCAAGCTGAGAAAGAAACACAAAGAGATCAGTATTCAAGGTTCTGAACCAATGCATTTTTAGAGAAGAAAAAGATTCTGCAATTGCTGGGAACTGTAGAGCGTTCTCCTCTCTAAACATGCATAAGATTGCACACTAAGTGAGTAACTATAGACCTCTATTGATTAATACAGTAAACAAATATTCAAAAGCATTCAAATTATCCCTATGTTCTCTCCTTTGCCTGTCTTTGCAATAGTTTGATAATTTATATTACAATGGTTCATAGCTGCAAAGTCAAACACTCTACGCTGATCACAGAGGTGGATTGTACCTTATGGCTGAGAAATGGACTCCTTATTGTGGTTAAAGAGATGAAATACATTTCCATTCAGCTCCCTGATTTAATGAGACACACCTGTGAATACTTATGAGCTAACTAAATATATAAACAAAGGTTTCTGGAGCATATACTTTGGGAAGGAGGAAGGAAAACAGTTGCCAAACTGGTTTGGCCAGGGAGCAAAACATATTAAACAGGTTAGATATGCATGAAGAAGATATGAAACAACTCTAAAGCAAAGAATATTCCAATAAAGTTTTTTTTAATGCACTAAATTCATAGAAGGTGAGCAAAGGCCTTGTGCAGCTGGATCCAAGATGCACTGATAATTTCCAGTGGTTCAACGATACTTGCTTCCAGCAAATGATGGTTAGGATCACAACTCATGGTTAGAAGAGCAGAATGTTCAGCCTGACCCTGTGAGCATTTCAACTGTAAGGCCCATGGTGTTCAGTGGGAGTTGCCTGTAAGCACATCTGCATCAGACTGTGGCCTAAGGATACAATCCTATGCTAGTTCAGAGAGGGAAAAATGTTCCTACAACTCCCAGCATGCTCCAGCCATGCTGGGCGTTGTAGAACTTTTCTGTCTAAACTTGCATAGATAGCACTTCAAATGACTTCTGTGGTGACTCATATAGATGCTTGCCTTGTTGGACGATATCAACCAGAACACACAAAACAAGGAACTACCAGCCACTGGAGGTTTTCTAAAATAAAATGCTTGTTTATCTTTCTTCATTTTAACAAGAGTATGTGTGCTTCTTTCCATGTTTATGTTCTGCTTTGTGAATCCATTTTGTCTAAACTTTGTGACTGTATTTCTAAATTATTTGGGATTTGCAAATGATAGAGAACTGGTGAGGCTCAGTGTCTCCTTCCCTTTCATTCTTTCACAATTAGCCACTTGGAACATACCATCCTATAGCACACATGTGCACATAACTGAGAGTGGGAGAGCTAGAAATGGTATTCCAAGAAAATGAAAACAAAAGCAAGGACAAAATGGCTTGTGTCTGGGTGCTGAATTCAACCACAAGAGCCTCCAGGCAGCAGCTTTCTGTTGCAGGAAGTTGAAGTGCTGAAATAATATTCCTGAACTTTAGAATATAACTGCCCTCTGAACATGCCTTGGAAAAGAGATACTGATTCTAACAAAAGTATTATCTAGCAAGTACATTACTTCACTTCTAGCAAATTATTATAATGCCCTCTATATGATATGGCCAAACAGCAGAGGACTTTGCACTAAACAAAGGTTAAAAAAATGGGGAGATTTTGCAGGAAGGCAAAAAGCTTCAATTTCTTTACTGGCACAGAATTAAGCAGAAGGTGGGTGAAGACTGACCAGCTGATCAATGATGTATTGCAGATTGGCAGAGGTTCCTGGCTCCTGTTTTAACTGCAGCACAAATAGAAACATCTACATTATGCTGCTAGAATTCCTCCTCTTTAATAAGCTCAGATAGAGTTTCGAACACTTGGGAAAATCCAGGATATGGCTCATGGCTGCAGTAGGTCAGCAACTTTGCTACCCCGCTCCATTTGATGGACCAGAGGATTCTACTAAAATACATACGCACCATAAGTTCCTTTTACAAATCTGAAAACTATCAAAGCTTGGAGTGATGAAAACTAGTGCTGGACTTGGACTGGGACACCTAGCTTGAAATCTGTGCTCCTGAGCTGGAATGTTCTTCAGATAACTTTGGGCAAGTTGCTGTTTCTGAGCCAGAGCTAAGCTAATAAAATGGGTCAAACCCCATGAAAACTTGTCTGAACAACTCGATGGTCAGGCAACAGTCAAGCATACTACATGGCTTCAAAAAGAACTAACACCTCTATGAAGTACTATGCTCCCCAACACTATTTTGAATCCAGGACTGGATGGAGAAAATTCAGCTCTTCTCTCCACCCCGCAGCCCTATTTCCTTCTCCTACTTGGAAGTCCCAATGTAGGAAACCAGGCTACAAAAGGGTGGGCAGTTAAAGAGTGCAGGACAGGGACTCAGGCAATCTGGATTGTAGTTCTCATTCAGCCACGGAGTTCACTGGGTGACTTTGACTCTCAGCCTAGCCAACCTCACAGGGTTGTTGTGAGGATAAGATTGAGAGGAGGAAAACCACCCTGAGTTTCATGAACAGGATATAAAGAAATGTTACTGATCTTTTTTATTGTCCCAAGAGCTGAGAGAAAATCACCCTAGAGCATTCTCATTTTATCCTCTCCTTTGCCTGCAAGGCAAGTTAGCTAAAGAAACTTGTTTTTCCATAGCCACCCAATGGCTGAATTGGTATCACTCATGGCAGGGTTCAGCTCCTTTAACTTTTCTCCTCTAGTCTTAATGTTTCCCCGTGCCTACTTCTTTGAAATATTTGACCAGTATTAGAACTCCTGCTTGGGTACAAGAAGTTTTATATAGCTTTTCCTCACTGGAGAGTACCAGCCATACAATTCTATTAATAGGACTGACTTCTAGGTAAGAAGGGGTGGGCAACCTGTGGCCCGCCAGATGTTTTGGCTTAAAACTTCCATCAGCCCCAAGGGTGGTGAAGGATCATGGGAGTTGCAGGAGAGAACATTTGGAGGGCTACAGTGCGAGCTGTTTGCCTTGGTCTAGAGCATCATGGCTCAAATAATTCATATCCTCCTTCACTCATTTCCTCACCAGCAGAGCCCCTTCCCGCCCCGTGTCCACTCCCTCTCTTGCCCTCTCACCCTTCCTCAGGGAAGTCCACTCCAAGCAGCACCACCTCGTTCTTCCTCTCCATCTCCGCTGCTGACACGACCAGCAAGTACCGGATTCGATGAGCTCGAGCTGACTCCAGCCTCACAGCCTGGAGGAGAACACACACATGGCCCTCACAAGCTTGTCCTCCTGGGTCACCCACAGATTCACCAGTGATGTTTTTTGCAACTGAAAATAGGGGGCTCATCCAGGAGCAGCGCCTAGTTAAGCACTGGCAGCCCCCTTGTGATGCTGAGGCCACTGCCGTGGCTAAGTCTCTAATGTACTTGCATGAAAATAATGCTGTTAGCAGCACATGAGCATGGCTCCATTGGGTTCCAGGTAGACCCAGGGAGGAAGATGCATCCCACTCCTTCCTTATAGCCATTTGTGCAGTCTCCAGTATAAGAAAAGCAGCAGCGGTTTTGAGGCAAACTCTATTGACATTTATCCAAAAATAAATGTATTTGTTTGTAACACTGCCAATGGCTGAGGTAAGTGGAAGTGCCTATTGCATCATATTTCTGTCTCACTAAAAGGCCCTGTGCAGCTAAACCCAGATTCTCAAAATCACAAACCATGCCTTTAAAGTCATACTGTGTAGGGCTTTAAAACGAAATCATGCAGAATATAGAACAGTATTTTTAAATTGGTCATGTAGCATTTCAGCCTTCAGAACCCACTTCTGCTACTTCCTCTGAGGTCAAGAGGCCTAGAAATGTAGTCTTCTGAGATGTCAAATTGCTGGGAGTCCCTTAATAGCATCAGAAGAATGATGGATGGAAGTACAGTCTATCAGTTGCTGGGTAGTCTATGGTTAGACAAGGTCTCCCTATCCATTGGACTACCAGATTATTATAAACTTCAGACAATTTTTACCTGCCATGAAAAAGTGTACTGTATTTGATCCCCTCTCTTGCCACTGAATGTTATATGAATGTTGCTAATGCAGGATGGAATATGAAAGATAAACCAAATGTATATTAATTGTAAACATTAAATGGAAATAAAATATATAAAGTCAGCCAGTGTGGTATGGTAGTGAGAGTGTTGGGCTGGGAACCTGGAAGATCTGGGTTCTGGTCCCCCTCGGCCATGGAGCTCACTGGGTGACTCTGGGCTAGTCACAGACTCCCAGTCTAACCTACCTCACAGGAGTGTTGTGACGATTAAAACGGAGCTGCCTTGATTTCCTCATAAGAGGAAAAAGGTAAGATATTAATGCAATGTAATAACAATTTTTAAATGTTTGCCTTGCAAACTGATGTAACCCTTGTCATTAAAGGTATTTTCACATGTGGAGTTCAGGTAAGTTTTAAGTTTCATTAGTGAAAATGCCCTTAGTTGATGGCACTGTATGATGTGAACCCGGGAAATGGACCTCTGTGTCCAGTTTTATGATGGAATCTCAGGGAAGAAACCTCTGTACCCAGTTTTAAGGCGATGTTCTCAAACTTCCTGCCTTCAGGGAAGTCTTTCTGCACTGACCTCTGCTATAGAACACCAGTAGCTTTACCAAAGATTCTGGGGCAAGTACTAGGAGGGTGCATATGATCTTGGTGTGTGCATACTGCACAGGTATGTTGGGTCTCACTATTGCCCTCCTTGAATTGAGAAAGCACACCCAGAAGATGCACATTTCTCTGTTTTGCACACCACAGGGGAAGGCCAGCAATGATAAATAAACTGTCTTCAGGGTAGCTTGTCTGCCATCAAATTGGCAGACTGGAGATCTGGGAGATCTGGGTTCTAGTTCCCACCTGACCGTAAATTTTGCTGGGTGACTTTGGGGCAGTCACTGACTCTCATTCTAATCTATCTCACAGGGTTGTCGCAAGAATGAATTGAGAAGGAGGAAGAGCATTATGTAAGACACTTGGGTTCCTTTCAGGGAAAAAACAAATATAAATATTTTTTTAAAAAAATATTGATCACACCCTGGTAAACTTTCCAAAAACATCAGGGTACACCAGAAAGCAGCTGAAAAGCCACTGCCTTAAAGAATTGTCCCGAGTGCTTGCAGGCTGCTGTGACACACTCTCTCACAGAAGAAAAAAAGTTACTTAAGCCCACTTGGAAATCTCCCAGCAGAGTCCCCAGAGCTCGGATCAGGCTCAGCAGAGACGCCAGCTCTCTGGCTGGCTGCCCAAGAGCACAAAAGACCTGAAGGCCATAAATGGGGAAGTGGCTGCAGCTCTGGTCTGAATGTCTGCCTGAAAGCCACATTCCAGAAGGAAAGGAATCCCTCCCCCCACCCCCAAATAAGCCTCCACCAGCACGGGCAGTGAGGCCCAAGATGTGCCCCAGCAAGCAGAAAGTCCTGGATCTCCAGAGCAGCAGGCAAGGCTGAGGCCATTTAATTCACAAATGCCAGGCAAAAGGCAGTGCTGATTCTGATCTTGCACTGAGTGGAGGGAGAGGGAAAGGCAAAGTCAGGTCATAAACAAGGAGCGATATTTTGATGACAACTGCACAGAAAATTGGAAGTAGCCTGGGAAGCAATGTGGGTCACGGAGAAATCCTCGCTGAGGCAGTAAACACATTTCTCAAAAGCATCCCTTCAGCCTGCAGGTGTGAGCGAACACAACAGAATGGTGTGTGTGTGTGTGTGTGTGTGTGTGTGTGTGTGTGTGTGCTGGAATCCATAACATCCCCATGTCTGCAAAACAAGCAAGTCAGTGAGAAGCCTCAGCAAAAGGGCTTCTTCCAAACAGTTAACTTTCTATGTGCAGCTGAATTCCTTGACACTCATCTCTCTCAGTCAAGTGGCCTGAAGTGATGCGTGTCCAAATGTAGGTTTCCTTACACCACCTCTCCTGAAGCAGTGCTTCCTCAGAGTAAAACAACACTTTCCCCCCTATTTCTAACAGTCCCCTGGCATGTCATGGCCTGCTGCCATGGATACGGAGGGGCAAGATGACTCCTCTGGCTTCATATGGCACAAAACCAGATACCACAGATAAGATAATTTGATTGCCTGGAATTACCTTAGCTGGTTTGGTGTGGGATGTGTATTTATGCACCAGTGAGGAATGCTACGATGGGGAAGGGAGTGCTGGACCTGGCAGGCACTGGCCAGAAAAGCTAACTTAGAGTGGAGCTGATGGGAAAAGGGCACAGATCCGAGCAAGCTCCTGTACAAGGCAATAAAAGCCAGGGCTGGCCCACAATATTATACTACCTGAGGCAAAAGATCCAATTCCCTCTTTCAGCCAGAGAGCCAAATTCCATGCCAGAGAAGCTCCCAAGGGCCACAATCTATTGGTGACAAAAGGGGTAATCTCAGTGTGTGTGTTGGGTGAAATGCTGGCAATTTTTCACTAAAGCTCTGACTTCCAGTCACAAAACCACAAAACCGCCCCGAGGTTTCGGCAAGGGGCGGCATAGAAATGTAATAATAATAATAATAATAATAATAATAATAATAATAATAATAATAATAATAATGAGGCATTTCATCCTTTGAGAATGGGGGAAAGACTTCCTTGCACAAAGCTAGGAAGCCACCCAGTGATCAGCGCCTGGGAGAAAAAGGGAGAAGGGTGTCAGAGCAAGAGTGTATAGCTTTCAAGAGAACTCGAGCGCCAGACTGAGAGGTCTGGATTGGGCCCCTAGGCATGAGGTTCTGCACCCCTGATGTGCAGGATCCAACCAGTGTGTCTTGCACATGGGGCTGGTGCCACACTTTTGGGTACCGTCGTGCGTGGCGTTGCCAAAGGCTCCTGACCTCCTTCCATTGCCATTGCTTGCCCCTCCTGCTGCCACCTCCTCTTACCTCCCAGCTTCTGCTTCCACTTCCCCGCACCTTGTCCTCTCACCTCCCTTCCATCCACTGGCACAACTCTGGTTCTAATGAGATCCTGCCTCAAAGTCAAACATTGGGTGGGTTCACAAATCATGTTAAGCCACCCTGAGAATAAGCCATGATACACCTGACAGACAGCCTGGCCTGTTCTCTTTCTCCTTTCCCCTCAGTATTCCAGCTGGATCCAGTGCATATCCCAAAGGACTTCATGGCAAAATTTGACTTGCCTCTCCCTCCCTGCTCCAGTTGCTATATAGTAAAATTTATTTACTTTTGGGGCCTCAAAAGTACACAATTGGATCACAATTGTTCTTAATTGTTTTTTTGTCAGTCTTTAGCAAGTACACTCTTATGGCTCTCTGGTACGTATAATCTTTCCTGGTCAATTTTCTTCGTGCCATTTGTCAAAAGTAGTGGATTAGTAGAACAGGCAACATACAATGAAATTGGTGTGGTTGCATGTAGCCTTATTGGTGCACGGTTGCAAAGGACCAGGGGAGAAATCATAGTAAGAGAAAAGAGAGATTCATTCAGTAGTGCAATTCAGAAGCACTAAATTTGGGGTATATGGAGAGCCAAGGGAGAACACACAGTAAAAGAGAGTGTGTGTGTGTGTGTGGGGGGGGGGGGGCAATGTTTAAGTGCTGAATTGATGCCATTCAGCATCAGTCCCCCACAACTCTCTAAGCTATTCCTTTTCAGAGTTCCTTATTGTTGTGGTTCCCTGATGTTTTTTTAAAAATGCAGAAACGTATGGAAATTTAATGTCAAGGAAATACATGGATGAGAAATTTGCACAGCTGCACTGATTGCTGCTTTACTGTAGGGACGTGGTCTTGCCCCCATGTACTTTCTAGCCCTTATGTTTGTGTAAATTTCACTCTATGTACTTCCCAGTCATTAAATTTGTGAGCATTTCTTTCCAGGTCAAAAATAAATAAATAAATATTCCCAATAATTAAAAACACCACTTTTAGAGCTTTGTAAATCTCCTGGACCAGCAGAAAGATGAACAGGTGGATCATAGATCAAATCAAACTAGAACTTTCACTAGAAGCAAAAAAAGACAAAATTGAGACTGTCATACTTTGGACACGTCACAAGCAGGCAAAATTCCCTAGGGAAAGTTCAAGGCAGAAGAATAACAGGAAAACCAAATATGAGATGGATTGACTCCATAAAGGAAGCCACAGCCTTGAACGTGGAAAAGCTGAGCAGGACTGTTATGGGCAGGACATTTTGGAGGGCTTTCATTCCTAGGTGGGAGACAACTTGATGGCATATAACAGCAACCACCCCTTGTGGGGCAGTAGAATGAGGTGGAACAAATGGGGCACCTGCCATAATTATCAGTCTGTTTGTTTGTTTAAAGCTTTTCCATTTATTTATTTAAAATATTTATATGCCGTCCTGTCGCAAAAGCCTCAGGACGGCTTACAAAAATGAAATAACATAAAATATAACATAAATAAATTACTGACCCACACTGGCTGCAGTTAAAAACATATAGGAAACAATATTAAAACTTATTAAAATATTGCTGAAATAAAAAGGTCTTGGCCTGGCGCCAAAAAACAAATAACGACAGCTCCAGGCGGACCTCTCTGGGGAACACATTCCATAAGCGGGGCACCACGGCAGAGAAAGCCCTCCTCCAGGTACTTTGCCTCCTAATATCTTTCACAGAGGGTTCCCGGAGGAGGGCCTCTGCTGCCGATCTCAGGGGACGGAAGGGCAAATATGGAAGAATCCAGGTCCCAAGTCGTTAAGGGCTTTATAGGTAATAACCAGCACCTTGAATTGAGCCCAGACTTCGATGGAAAGCCAGTGAAGCTGATAGAGGACTGGGGTTATATGAGAACAACGCCCAGTCCCCGTCAGCAACCTGGCTGCTCTATTTTGCACCATCTGAAGTATCCGGACTGTCTTCAAGGGCAGCCCCACGTAGAGCATGTTGTAGAAATCTATACTGTCCAACTACAACAGTTATAGTCACCCACCCCATAATAGGGCCCCATTTGCTCTGTCCCTTGCAGCTATCTTCTAAGGGCTTTTAGAGGAGTTATTAGGCTACCATAATAACTACAGAGGTAAGGAGCTGGAGAAAGGGTGAGGGTTTTATTATCTTCCATTTCTGGAGTAAGTGGAAAGTTAGGGAAGTGCTGAACTGACACTTCTCAATGTCCTCCACCTTTTCAACTCTTAAAGAGAAGAGCATCACATTGCCAAGGGAGAGAGATTGTTCCCCACCCTTTTTGGTGCACTTACTCTCTTCGTTTCCCCTCGCTCTTTCCCCTTTGCAGCTAAAACAGAGAAGGAAATTGATTGGGCAAGACTGCACATATTGGACAGCCAGGAGACCATGCTTGCAAATAACTGCACCACCAACAAAATACAATTCCAATTATGCATTCCTGAGGCACTAAAACTTAAAAAGAAAACACTGGTGAATGAATGACAATCCTTCCAAGGTGCTGTTTTGGCACTGGTAGAAGAGCAGCCACTGACATGGCAACCTATCACGACCAAGAACAACACAACCCTGCAACAAACTATAGGGTTTTCGCATGACTTGCTCCCAAAACATAAGCTACACCATGGAAAATGCCCATGGCCTGGATGACACAAAAACCCACCATGGCTAGCTGCTCATTATGGGCTGTTTTATCATGTGAACCAGGTCAGTATGGAGGAGGAGAGGTATTTTAGGAGATCATCTGTGCTACAAGCAATTGATCTCCTAGAACACTCGAATAAAGAGTTTGCTGTTTCTTCTTCAGCATCTGCTGTTGAAGCATAGGCTTGAGTAATGGTTATGTTGATAGGTTTTCTGACAATTCTGATTGATATCATTTGGTTGGACTTTGCCTTATAGCCCCTCACTGCTTGTACCACATCTTGCCTAGAGGCACAGTATTAGAGGCACTATGTTTTCTCTGAATTCGTCATTCTGAAGTAAAACATTTGATGTTTCTCTGACTGAAAATGACCCATTCCAGTCAACTTTAGTTCACTCACACCAAGCACTGTGATGCTTAAGCATCCCATTTCTGGCTTTGGTTTCCCGTTTGCTTTGACCCATACTCCTCACAGTTCAAGTTCCAATTGCATGTGCTGTGCAGTACTGAACTTTGCTTTCACTTCCGTGCATGTCAGCCACTAGCCTTCCTTTTGGTTTTGATTTAATCATGTCGTTAGCAGCAATGCTATTTGTACTTGTCCTTTGCTCTTCCTCAGTAGCTATTTGAGTCCTTTCCAACCTTGGAATCTCATCTAACTCTTGTTTCATTTTGGACTGGTAGCGGGAGAAGCTGCCCATCCTGTTAGCCTAAGCAGGGGATGGGCAAATACCTCGTGCGTGTTCTTCTGCCAACAAGGCTCTCCAGGGCATGCGTGGTGGCAGTGCCGAGGGGATAAGGGTCATAAGGGTCAGCAAAGGCAGGCCTTTCTCAGCCCATGGCCCTTGGCAGCTGCCAAGTTTTGCCAGCCCCTGATATTAGGCCTGCCTCCACTACACCTGATGTGCTAATTTAGGGGACTCCAGAGGAATGGTAGGGGGAATCTGATGCTACTGCCTCCTTCTGGCATCTGTTCATCAGGAAGCTGCTTTACTATAGAATTCACTAAACTAGAGAACTAGCTGCTGCAGACTTACTAAGTTCATCCAAAAAACATTTTGTGGTCAGGCTGTATTGGGCCTGTGCTGTAAACTCCAGGCCTTGCTTAGCACCAGTATAGTACTACTCTATAGTCACCTTGTTTAGCTTACTAGGTATTGTTTTCCAAAGGTCCTAAGAAGGGCATGGCCAAAGGAAGGACAAGCAGCTGTCCTCTTTGGGAGAATGGACCTTATTGAACCTGCTAATGAGCTTATGCATTGTTGTATGCTTAGCTTAATTAACATATGATACTACAACCTAACATTTTGGCACATGGGGAAGAAATATTCCGACTGGCCAGGATGGGAAACCTGGGTTATGTCTTGTGGCAGGCTAATGAAGATGAAAAACTTCATGCATCATGGAGTACAATGATGGGAAGCTGCACCTGGTATACATTTCAGCCTGCTAACAAGGTAAACAAATAGATTCACACCACTTAGGTCACAGCACCTACGTAACAGCCATTCTCTTTCTGGCAGTCAACCTATATAAGCTGGCCGTTTTCCTTTGTTTAGTGGTCAGGCACCAACATCCTTGAGGGGGATTCACTGACCCTCCATTCCAGCTGACTGGAGCCTGCCTTGCAGGCTAGTTCACATTGAGTGTTATAAGTGACTTGCTACTAAACCCTTTGAAAAGCTAGCTAGTAATTTGCCTGTTGCAACAATAGTGTCTCCTTGTAAGCAAATCTGAATCTAGCATATCAATTCCTGGGGATCTCTCAAATCAAGCTCCCAGCCAGGACAACACACAGGCCAGCTGCTGCCTAGATTCCATCTTTCCCACATGGCCATATCCGTCTTTCCCATGAACAGGCTCACCAGTTGAATGGTGTCCTCCGGCCGCAGCAGTCCCACCATCTGTTGCAAGTGCAGTTCCTGCTGTCCTGCTGCCGCATTCTCACTCTTAGACTCTACAGGGGTAGCTGGACCCTCTTGCACTGCCTCCAACTTTTCTTCATCCTGCAGGAGCAGAGCTGCCCCTTTGACCATGACAAAGCTATGGCTGGAGAAAAAGGCGCCAGGAAGAAAAAGGAAAGTGGTGTTTTAAAGACCCCTCTCTTCTCCAGTGGTGGAAATCACAGATCACAGGATTAGATTTGGCCCCTGCTTTGGGAAACCAGCAGCAGCAAATGATGGGGGAGTCAAGTCCCAGGTTTGCTCTAGGGGAGAAGAGAGCTTGCCCCATTAAGTCCTGCCTTATCCCAAGTGGAAAGCATTAGAAACAATTTGTGACTACAAAATCAAATCTCATCATTTGAAGGAGAGGCAGCCTCTGAGTTCAGAGGAAAACTAATAAGCAGACACAGTTAGCCTGAACCATGAAAACCCATTAAATGAGTTCAGGAGAAGTGCTAAATTGCAGACAATATTTCATTTTCAACTTTAAAAAACAACCAAATAGCTTTGATTCTGAGGAATGCATGACTAACTGTAAACACACTCCACTTGAGAGCATAAGATGATGCAAGCATCTTAGAAATTACAGTTTCATTTTAAAAAGAACTGTAAACATGGATTTAGTATGACTTTTCAAATATATCATCTAACTTTTGACCTAAGAGAGCCCCACTTATCCAAAATTCTGTTTTCAGTAGAGTTGGACTACAGCTCCCATAATCCTCCAACCAGCATAGGCTCTCTCTGAGACTGTGGGAATTATAGGCAGGTACCTGGATGGTGTCAGGCTGCTTAAGACTGCCCTTTACATGCTAATGTAAGGAAGAGAGCCCCAGCATTATTTTTTGCAAACAGAACTGCTCTATGGAAAGGAAACATTTAGTGTGAAGGGGAGGAGCTCCACAAGCTTTCCTGTTTCTTCATTCCCATTAAGGTTCAAATCTGTTTGAAAAAAGAGAGTTCTATGGAAGCAGAAGGAACTGGATCCTGCCATTCTCCAGAATTAGAGATCATTCCATTATGCATAGATATTTAATGACTCCATCAGGATTTTTATATGTTACACATTTTCTGTTAGAAAATACTTAACCCACTTCCCTGTTGCTCTCTCTGAGGACTTTTCTGTACGGTGCATTTTTGAGCAATAAAGGAGCAGCTGTTACACTTTCGTTGTGTTCAATGCAGATGTCTTCCCTCAAGATTACACATCTGTTGGAAAAATGTGATTCCTCCCACAATGCAATTGCAATTGTTATGTGGAATTTGGCTCTGTAAGTTTCATGTGTCCACATGGATAGTATGCATTACTACTAAGTTACACCATTCTTCCCCTTCCTGCAACCAAATACTCACAGTTGTGAACTATTTTTCTCCTAGGTGGTCTAATATGCTTTTTTACTACTTGAGCACCTGTGCACATCAGTATAAAAAAGCTCAGAAACAGCTAGAGTCCTCTTCTGGGCCAACATTTCAGGAACCTAGACATACACACACACATACTTCTGCATTTTTCACTTCAATCTAGTATTGGAGCCATCTTCTTTTCTTTCCTTCCCTTTCCATTTTAGGTTGCAAACCTAAAATAGGCAGCCTGGCTATTCCCATCCATTGCAGTACTGATGCTAGAGTAAGCTAATGGGAGAGTGTGTCTGTGTGTGCGCGTCACATTAGTTCTATAACCTATAAGATTGCTTAAATATAACCTGCAAAAGCCCAGAGGACCCCATGGCTGGACTATTTACATTTGTGAGCTGGACACTGGACTATTTACATTTGTGAGTAGAAAAGAACAAGTTTATGAAGGCCACCTCCTCACCGTCTCTGCAGCTGCCTTCTCCTGGGAGCATCTTCATCCTGCAAGGGAATTCCAGGTAGATTAGTCACCACTGCTCCACACAAGAGCAGAAGTATCTCCTGCTACAAATTAAAAGAACTGCTTGTTTCTATATTCTTGGTATCAAATGCTGCAATAAGCCAATTCTGAAGGATTTTCCAAAAGGGTTTGACAGTTCATCTTAGTGAAATCATGGAGGCCCTGGCAAGGCAAAGCTGTACCTCTCCTTAGCTGGAACCTGGAGTGACAGAAGGCTCCATTCTATTAAGTGCCAGATAAGTTTATTTGTCTAGACCACAGGGCACAGCACAATCATAAGAAGCAGCATGCTGGATCAGATGAAAGGCCTGCTCTAATCCAGCATTCTCTTCCCACAATGGTCCACAGCAGGCTGCAAGTGTGATAGCACCCTGCCTCTTGTGTTGTCTAGCAACTGGCAGTCAGAAGCAAATTGCCTCTGAATCTGGAGGGAACAGCTATCATGACAAGTAGCCATTGACATCCAGTAACAGACAAACATAATAAATACTGCAGATAAAACCCCTTAAATACATGATTACTTATCATCAAAGTGCACAGTCAAAGCTTCAATTGTATGCCAGCTGCTAGCAAAAATCCAAATTCTTGCTGTTTAGATCAATGGTCAGTAATGGTGTGGGTCTTTCAACATTGGCAGTTCTGTAGTTCCAGGATAACTATGTGGAATCCAGGTATTTTTGAATCATCCTCCAACAACGCTTGTACTACCAGCTTGTCAAGGAAGAACCCTGTGTGACAAACTGTTCCTGTTCTAAACAACCTCTGTGGCCCAGGCGTATCCTTTGGGATTACTTTGTCCTGCTACAGTCCTGAATGCTATTGGCTAAAACGTGCAGCCTGAAGTTTGTGTGTGTTTATTTTGGATACCTTGCTTTGCTACAGCTAGTCATGAGGATAAGTGAATACTGAAGCTCATCCCCTGAGGACTAAGAACTCTTGCTCAGTCCCTCTTGAGGCTTCTGTAATTTCATGTGAAGCACACATGTATTCTCAAACAAATTCCATACCAATAAGGTTAGAGACTTGACTCTTTTAAAAAAAGGAAAAGAAAAGGAACTTTTAATTCCCTGTGTGGATAAATATATCATATGCTTTCATAATAGGGGCCCCTTTTAAATAAAGAAATGCTGAAAAGATGGAAGTATCCTTTCTTATACAGGTCATCAAAACTTTATAGTGAAACAATAGAAACTTGCTGCTCTGATCAATGTATTTTAGTGGCATGCTATTTCTCTGTCTCTGATCTCAGTCTCTTTACCAGTAAAAGAAAAATGAAAAACGAAACGTTCAGTTCAAAAAAGCGAATTAATTTTTGCTTTGGGTGCAAAACAAGGACTAGATTAGAGATTCTGCTTTGTAACTGCTGCTTTCATAAATGCTGACTTTTGGCCTATTTAAGTGGCTAGAACACACAGTCGCGCAGAAAGCTGTAAGCAAGCGGAACCAACTATGACAATGAAACTGACTCATTATTACATTTGTCACAACATACATTTGTCACAACATTTTCACTATGATGGCACTTTTCAGCACTGAAAGCACTTCCCAATACATACTCTCCAAACTCCTGCAACAGCCCTGTAAGTTAAATCAATACTTTTATCTCTGCACAGTGGATGATGCGACTGAGAGAGTGGCTTTCCCAATGTTATGTAGAAAGTGAACGAAGGACCTTCCAGGTTACACTCTTAGCCACTACTCCAGCTTTCAGGAAACCTTAGAGCTCTACTCTAGCTTTCCTGCACCAAGCCCAGACATCTTACAGCCCATCAAGCTGAACGCTTCCTATTGGGCACATATAATGGGCTGTAAAGTGCTTGACAACACTCCTATTTTGTACTTCCTTGCTGCACAACTAGGATAGGCAACTTGTGTTCCTCCAGATATCTTCCAACAACTTCCATTAATCCTAGCCAGCAAGCCAAATTGTGAGGGATGATGGGAATTATTGGCCAAAACATCTGGAGGAACACAACAGGTCCATTCCTGCATAGACAGCAAAGCAGAAGATCTATTAAATGCTAGTAGATATACCACAATATATGTCTGTCCCTAGGCTGGTGCATTACTCAATGTGTAGACATCACAGCTTCACAGCAACAGGAGACTTCAACAAATGCCACGCCTGGAAATGCATATGCAGGGAACAAAATGATTCCCCTTTTAGGGCACTGTCCATGGCTACTCTGTTTTCTTGGAATGGTTGCAAATATTTTTTCCCGCTGGGCTAGCCTTGAATTCCAGCACTTGCATAACCTTATCTATGTGCTTCCCAGTCTGCTGGCAATTTCCTGTGACATTTTTAAGCATAGGAAAAAAGCAGACAAATAATGTTCCTAGTCCACTTCCTAATGAGCAGGTCCTTGCATAATGTCTAATTACACTTGGAACTCAATCAGTCCCACAGACTGCCAGGCTCAGCTCGGGATGTGTACACAGTGTAAGGTGCTGCAGTGCAAGAAACATGAGGGCGTATCCCACACTGGTGTTATGGTCTGGGGACTCTTCATCTTCTGAAGGAAGAGAGATCATTCTGCAAGGGCCATTTCTGCTACACTCCTTGGGTCTCTGACATTGCAGTCTACAAGGAGCTAGCAGGAAGTGGCTGATTGTGAAACTTACTGACATGCCAGTAGTGCCCAGAATTGTGAGCTGTTTAAAGCTGATTAGCAAAACAGCATCTTTGTGGGATTCACAAGGGGAAAAAAGGCCTATTGGTCACTGGTATTCTTCCACAGTTTTCTTAAACTGTTTCCTTACAAGGAATAGTTGGAACTGGAGCAGTTGGAGCAGGAAAGGAAAGAGTGCTACAATAAGCCACCCTCTGTTGGATGAAAGGGCCATGCAAGATGAGATAGCTGAAGGTTTGTCTGAGAACCAGTCCCTTCCCGGGAGGACCCAAGACTCAAGTAAACATGCTGCCATGAGTTGGAGTGCTGCCTTCCCTAGAAAGGCCCCTTCTGGGGAAGGCCCTGCTGGCTGTGAGTGCCCAACACAAGGCAAAGGCCAATATAGCTTCCAGTCCACTTTTCTGGGAAAGGTGTATGTCACCAATTCAAGCCTTTCCAAACCTGAGGACCTCTGGGCATGTAGTGTGTTGACAGTGGGAATTGTAAATAAACATATCTGAAGATCGCGCCAAACTGGGAAAGGCCTTTGCTCCCCCACCCCCCATCACCACTGGATAACAGAGAGCAACCACCACCTCCTGATTTTGCATTCATAACCACTAATCCAAAGGGTAAACTCTTCTTCAGCTTCCTTTTCTAAACATTTTAATGCCTTTTCTGCATTAAGCCAAGCTTACATGGAAAGGCTGGCCATTTTTAATCACCTGTTTACCACTCTTTGGCTATCCCATTTGTAAATTTCCAGAGGACTAGCTGCATCAGTTTGTTGCTGCTAAAATAACTAGTCTTGGGACACCTTAAAAATTAAGACATTTATGGTGAACATGGGGAGGGGGGTTAGAGGAATTCCTGTTAAAGGGCTGGCTGATCCTCCTTGAGCAGTGAGGTAGGAAGCTAGAGTCTGTTATAGCCAGGAAGACAGACTGTGCCTTGAGTGGCACGGTTAATTTACTCCGCCATTCTACCAGTGCTGCTACTTCAGTCCAGCATTTCCTTCCACTGGGACCAGAAGGTATAGAGAAAGTGTGAAAACTCTTATCTGACCTTTCAAAGTCCCACCAAGCTATGCACTTTCCCCCGCTGCCCTTCTTCCGACAGCGACCCCTGCAGGGTGATGCGAGAACAAACGGACAAATTCCATCCCGGACAGTAGGAAAAGCTGCAGTCAGTGGCTGGCTGTACAGCCTGGTCCGCAGCTTGCAGTGAAGACCACCAAGAAAGGACGGCGTGTCCGTTCAGGAAAGGGGGCGCAGGGTGCAATCGGCGCCCAGGCATCCCCACACGCCTGTCACGGGAAAGTGGGGAGGGGGAGATGGAGGGAGGCTCGTAGGCTTTCTCCAACGGAGCAGCGGGAAGCACCGTCGCTCCGGGCGGGGTTCTGCGGGCTGGGGCTGCAGCTTGATCCAAGCCTTGCTGAGAGCAAAGAGATTCGCCTGGCCTCGCCTCGCCAGGGCGGGTGAAAAGTGGGGAGCTCACCTTGCCGCCGGTAGGTGTAGAGTGGCCGCTCCCCGACGGGGAGCGACAGACGGTCACAAGCGCCATGCGCAGACCCTGGAGTTCTTCCTCCGCTCCCAGCCCACAAGCCAAGCAGGAGAGATCGTGCCACTCGGAGCCAGCCCTGCCACTACCACCGCCGCCGCCGCCGCCGCTTGCAACCTCCAGGGGGCGGGCGTACCGAGCCACTCATTCACCCGGCTCGGGGTGGGACCCAGTACCAGCTGGAAACTTTCTACTCCGGCTCAGCCGGCCGCTGCAACCAGGAAGAGAAGCCACCATTTCCTGCAAAGTAACATCGGGCACATCTTGGAGGAGGCTCTTAAGGGAAGCGGCTCAAGAAGCGAGGGGATCTCACGGCTGAGTAGGGCAGGATGGAGGAAGAGCGCCGAGCTGCTGCGGCTGCTGCGGCTGCTGCTTGTGTACTCGCTCTTCCAGGCAGCAAACCACCACCCACAGCTCCCTCGCGATTTTTTTCCTCCTCCAAGGCACAGCCTCGGCACTTATTCTGAATGCCAGGCCTTCATATTTTGGAACATGGGAGTACGAATAACAAGAACGTCTTTGAAGATGGGCAGAGTGCCCTCATCATCATCTAATAACCATGCCTGGCCGCTTAAAGATATCAGGCGAACCACCCCTCTATTGTTTTAGATATGAATTAGGTGGAATTTCAGGCTGGAAGGAAGAGCTACACAGAACATCACCTGGCTGTTAGGGTAGCACTTTGAGTCATGGGAAAGGCCGCAGCTCGGTGGAAGAGATGCTGCTATGAGGAAGATCCCGTATTCAGTCCTGGCATCTTTAAGCGGGTGGGGGCTGGACAAATTCCTGTCTGAAACTTCGGAGAGCCTCCTCTGGTCTAGACTTATTGGAAGGCATCGTCCTTCGTTTCTATGCAAGGGAAGAAAGGCCTAATGCTTTTCTGCACATTATTGCGACCTTTGCTGTCTTTTCATGCAGGATGGGGGCGGCGGGGGGCTCTCTCTTTCACTTGATGTGGCTTAATCATGATGGTGGAGGGCAATGCGTTGATAGGTTTTCCTGCACATAGATTCAAAATCTCTTCGCTAACCCCGAGCCGGAGCTGAAAATAGAAAACTCCGCCCAGGTGGGAGTTACAATGACTCAGCAGGTGGTCGAGCCAAAAGCCGAGTATCAGAACCAGGGAAAGCAAAGATTTGGGAAGGGGGGGGGGTCGTGTAGAGAGAAAACAAGGAAAGCAGTACAATGCCTCCCTCCTCCTCAAGCGCCCTCGGCTCCTACTTTATTATGATCCGGAGCCGGGAAGCCGTGGCAAGTAGCACAGAAAGGCCTTCAAACAGCACCGACTGAACGAGCCAAGGCAACTCAACATCTCCCTTTAAAAATGCGTGCAGTGCCGGAGTCCTGCTGGGTTGCATTTGGGGTAAGCTTACCAGTAGTTGACTAGAAATCTTGGCTGCTCCCTTCAAATGACCTGCCTCTACGTGGGGCCCCCAAGATAGTTGGGCCTACAACCCCTGTCACCACCACCAAGCAAGGGTGATGGACAGGGAAAAGGCTGCTTTAAAGGTTCAGATCTGCAAAAGGGACAGGAGGATACTGACCAAACTCAACTGATAGGATTTCAAACAATCAGTCCTTTTGTTTGGGGGATGGAGTTTGGGGGGGGGGGGTTATGATGGTGTAATTGAAAACATTAAAGCACTACATTATACCATTTCACTCTGCAATTACCACAGTAAATACATATTAAACCTCAAAGAGATTTTGCTTGGATTTTGCAAGTGGAGCATGAACTGACAAAAGGCAGCTAATCTCTAGGAAAATTGTTTATACCAACTGCTACTTCTTGCACATATTGGATTAGTTGGCTCATGTTACATTTGATCTTTAAATGTTCTTAACACAAGAGAGAAGATGCATAAATACTGTGCTCCCTGCCACTGCTGTCTTCTTATGCTGTGGATCCAGCTTGGGGTGGGAAGGTGTGTCAGTAAACTGCATTTTCTCACTGCTCTAGAGCTTTCAAAAGGAACAGGTAGGATCTGGGGGTTCACTGCTGGTAACCCTAGTATTTCATCCACCCTCCCTCAATCTTCCATGCCAGTTAGTCCCAGGTAGAGTCTTAACACACCCCAGGACACAGCATACCAGTATGAACTGTACACCAGTGCATCTCACACACTGTATTGTAACCAGCCAGGGCTCTCCAAGGCTTCAGATTTGTCTTTCCCAGCCTTACCTGGAGTTGTTGGCAGTGGAACATGGAACCTTTTGCACACAAAGCACATGTTTGAACACTGAATTCTGGCCCCTCTCCTAAAGAAAAGTGATGGAGCTTGGCCGTTACAAGATGGACAGTGGCTCTGGGGTTCCTGGCACACCTTTCAAGATAAAGGAATGCATACAGTAGGGAAAGCTGGGACAAATGAACACTGGCGAATGGTGGTTGTTGCTATATTAGCAATATTGGCCCCATTGCTCTTCTTGCAGGCAGATAACTCTGCACTTGTCCCAGCTCAATCGTATAGCTTCATGAGCTAGCCAGGGTTCCTCACACAATGTACAATCGTGGCCCACTTCTTAAATTTCACCAGATTGAGCAAAAGGGTGGAGGATGCAGGAACAAATTAGTTCCATCAGTGGACACTAGATGGGGATATGCATACTGCCAGATAAGGACAACAGGATGTATAATTTTGGGGTTGCTGCTCTGAAAATTTGGACACTGATTGGCTGAGCAGATGTGATGACTCAGAATTTCAGTTGCTCAAAGTAATTTTATAGTTTAGCTTCTGTGAGGCAGGAGAAGTTTGTCAGCTTGACTAGGACTCAGACTAGAAACTCGGAAGAAGTTCCTAGGGAAACTATGGGAGGCCAAAGGCAAGAACATTGAAAAGTTCAGAGTAGGTAACAGCCTGAAGGGAAAAAAAATGGTTTCACAAAAGACTTAGTGAAGAACAAGCCTTCAGAAGATAAAAGCAAGGGACTAAACTGAAGAGGCACATTCTCCATGGTTAATAGCCTGCTAAATTCTGCCCTGCTGGAACTATTTTTGTGAGTGGGACAAAGAGGGAGGAGACTCCCTCTGTGCCCTGCAGCCCTTCATCTCTTCTTAAAATCCGCTCTAGAAAGTTTGAGGAAAGACTGCAAGGAGGGAAGAGGTGAAAGTCCCATCATGCAGCTGGTGATCCTAAGCTACAGAGAGAGGGAAGGGACTCCCAGGGAGAGGCCAAAGTAGGTAGGATAAGGAAGGTTGTGTCCTGAAAAGCAAGGACTTGTGGAAGCAATGACTGGGGGGATTGGAGAACGGAACCAAGGAAAACATTGTACTGGGCTGAAGTTGAACCTAGGGCATCTAGGCCCTAGAGCAGGGGTCAGCAAACTTTAACACTCAAAGAGCCATTTGGACCCATTTCCCACAGAAAACAAAACACAGCCACAGAACTCTTTTGATCTCTGAAATGAAAATAACACTGCATATATCGTTTTTTACCTTTATGTTATGTATAAAAAAACTATAGTGTGTTGCATTTATGAAACAGATCAGGGGCTGTGCCGGCATGGGTCGCAGATCGGGGGCTGTGACGCGTATTTTGAGCAACGGAGCTGCAGCAGAGGGATTCAAGAGCCACGTGCGGCTCGGGAGCCGCAGGTTGCTGACCCCTGCCCTAGAGGGTGGATGGGCTGTGCACCAGCAATTGCAAGGGAGCTCCAAAGGAGTATGACTTGTCTGGGATTGCTGGACCCAGACAAGGACATTCTACTTGTTGCTTGTATTGTTGCACTGCAACTAAATGGGTGAAGAAGGCACTGCTTCACATAATGCGTTAAACTAACCAGGTTATGTTTTTGACTACTGGGATCTAGTTGTTTGAATGGTCCTGTTTCTGCTTCCTCCTTAAGATTGTGAAAATGAGGTTTTGTCAAGCCTCTAGAAGACTGGCATATTTGGCTTGGTGGGGTACAAGTTGTGCAGTCCTGATGGCTGGGGCATGTTATTTTGCAAGCAACACTCAAGTCCCTTCCTGGAGTATCATGCTGATACCACATTCTGGTTCAAACCACAAGTTGCTTTTGAGAACACAAACCAGCTTGGTCAGTAATTTGCATGGAACACTGTAAGAGCACTGAAATCCCAGGAGGCTGCAGAATCTCGTTTTAAGTGTTTGTGACATCTGCACAACCGGAGAGTAAGACAAAAGAAATGGAAGAATGCCACAGAGGGAAATGCTGGTTTCTTACTTTTATTTAGTAGTTCCTGCTGCCGAGAGGCCCCATGTGCCTGGTCCCTAGACGGCAGGAGAACACTGCTTGAGCATAACTGCAGCTCTTCCCTTTAGACCCACTGGATTCAGTTAAAAAAAAATACACACCTTCCACTCCTCCTTGTATATATCTTCAGAGTTTTAAATAAAATAAATTAAACACGCGGGGTAGAGGGAGAGCAGCAGCTCACAATGAGGAGGGGGAACGCAGGAGTGAAAATTATTTGCCAAACTTAGCCTAGCTTCAGGCCTCATTGCAAACATCAACACAACAGGATCCAGGACTCCACCCTTTCTATTGCCCTGTCCCCAACAGGTCCGAACCCTTGGAAGGACACAGAAAACAGTGTGTGTACTCCAGTCCCAGAAAACTTCACACTCAGGTCAAGGTGGTTAAAATTTCCTTGACATCTTCCTCTTTTCTCTTTTTTTTGGCCTTCCTCTCTATCTGCTGCTTCTCTTCTTCTCCATACCCCGCCTCCCTCTGTGCTGTATAAAACATTTCCTCAGTGAAGGATGAGGATATAAAGCAATTAAAAAAAAATCTTACAGGAAATAAGACCAGAGGATGGAACTAAGTGAGTCCCAGGAAATGCAGAAGGTGCTGTCTTCTCACATCCAGCCAGACCCGGACAGGAGAGGGGCAAAGCATGGAACCCCACCCCACCCTCCCAAGAGGTTAAAAATATAATGACGGCAAGGACAGTTAGGCTGGGTCACGTGAGGCTTGAGGGAGGCTTAGGGGCCCCTTGCTGGCAGGCTGGGATGCTACTTCTCCGTCAGGGACAGCTGGAGGATGCGCTGCAGCTCCTCATCCTCCTCCCGGCGCTGGCGCTCCCGCTCCTCCTGCTCCCTCGAGGACAGCTCCATGGCCAAACGCAGCTGCTCGTCAAAGCTGGGGTAAGGGGGAGGCAGGACCGAGGAGCTGCTTCCATTGGTGCTGAGCGCTGGGCTGCCCTCGGGAGGAGGGACCACACTGCCACCGCCCGACTCCATGGTGCCCAGGCCTGGCCCTGTCTGAAGGAACATGCTCTCTTGGATAGCCCTGAGAGGACAGAAGGGGAGAGGCGGGGATGGTGTTAGCAGGCAGGGCAGCCATCTGTGGCTTGGTCATGCTTTGCAGCCTGTCATCTCATCTTGCCCTCAGTGCTTTCAGACCGGTCCAGCTGCCCATCTCCACCTCACTCTGCCGTTCTCACACCCCACCCAGTCTGGGCTTGCCCTCCTCCCACAGGGCCTCCCAGCAGCTGCTGGCCACCAGTAAAGAGTGCATAAGCCTCTGACCGGACCGGTTTCCACTGTCTCCCACCAGTATTGCCTTCCAGCCAGCTTTCAGTAGAAGACCTTGGGCTCTCTACTAACAGCCATCCTCATAACTTTTGACAGCTCACAGGGGAAAAGGGGTACATGCAACACCCTTGTGTTCACCCCAAATATCCCTGCCAGAGAAGTCAACCACCCAGGCTAATCAACCAAACACTGCCACAGTCCTGAAGGCTCTTCGCTGTTGTAGTTTTGGTCATCAAGCAACTGCCTGTCTTACAAATCAGGGTGTGTTTTACCTTATGGATATTTAGTAGCGGTTTTGATTAGGATGCTTTACACTGGCTTTGCTTGTATATAGGACAATAAAGTTGACCCTCCCTCTGCCCACAACAGCACCTCCCAAAGTCTCACCAGTCAGAGCATGGTACTCGGCTTCTCTCTGAGTACAGAGAAAGGGGCAGAGGAGCTTCAGCTGAAACAGTTCTAGCAACACTGACCATCTGAGGAAAGGAGGGTATTTTGTGTCCACATGCTGCATTTAGACGCATGTGCGTCCTCCAACTAAGTTCAGAGACTTTGGGCTTCTCTATACAAGGTATTTATTGCGTGCTTGTGGTCCCTCACTCATGGAAGTTTGTCATCAGGAAAAGGCAGACAGAAAGTTAAACCAGCTCAATCCACACAGCTACAGCTGTGATGAGGTGAATCAGTAGCTTTTCTCTGTACCTTTTTGTATCTCGCTGAGTTTGGCCAGGAACATTTTAAGCCTCTTCAAAGTGATACAGGATCAGTACTGCCAAACTAATGTTCTGGCAGTACCCCTGTAAATTCTTCAATCTCTCAGTTACAGACCTTAGGATAATAGAACTTATTGGTGACCAAGAGTAAGCAGTTATAAGTACACTCTCATTCTCTCTCTAGCATCGTTTCCCAGGTGAACCATTATATTCTGTCTGGGCAGGAAGGATGAGAGAAGGGACATGTGCATTTAATCAAGGAAGATGCTCTCATCACGGAATATAAAGGAGAGTGACTGGAGAGAGAGAAGGAAGAATTGATGTGAAGCTGATGGAAGAGACCATGCGAGGATTTGGAATCCAGATGTCATTTGTAGGCTGACGCCACACAGTTATGTACTTTTGTTCAAATCCCAGTGGGGAAGAACAACCCTTAAATAACCCAGTGTGGCTTAGTGGTTAGAATGTTGGGGAGACCCAGGTTCAAATCACGCCATAGCTATGAAACTCGCTGGGTGACCTTGGGCTGGTCATACTCTTACAGTTTTACTCGTCTTGCAGGGTTCTGTGAAGAGAATTATGGCCCTTAAGCTTCTTGGAAGAAAGCAGGATATAATTATGATTAATCAATAAATAGAAGCAGTGAAGGTTTAGATGAGAGCTAATGAACTGAAACACATTTCAGATACTTTGAATTTGTAGCTGCTGGGTGGATTAAGTAATTAGGGAGTGAGTGTTAGTCTGCCCTGTTCTGAGTCCTAGAGCAGGTTCCCATAAAGGGGGTTGTATTGCATAGGTTCCACCAGGTGAATGGGAAGGAATTTATAATGGTTCAGGATAGTTTTCTGAAGGTGTGCCAAGGCCTGATGACCTTCAGTGTATTAGAAAAAGCACCACAGATAACAGCTTTAAAGCTGCCTCTCCAACCATTCAGTAGATAAAAGCTGCTTTTGCTGTGGAAGCAAAGGTGTTTGCAGCTTCATTTCCAGGAATGGGAGGATGTGCATCCTGCTGGACTCTTCAGTAGCAGGAGAGAGGCACTTTATAAAATTCCTGGCAATAGGCGCTGTCTTTCACTCGCAGCCTTGGGAGAGGCACTGATGCATTGCTCACCCAGATACATTTGGAAGCCCTTGGAGCATCCCTTGGCCTACACAGGGATTTAGTACAGCTGCAATAAAGGGGAATGTTAGCTTCTTTTTGCTTGTTTATACCCTGCACCCACTTTTCTCCATTTTATTCAATAAACTATCTATCGTCTTTAACACAGATACAATGGTACCTTGGCTCACGAACTTAATCCGTTCCAGGACTCTAGTTGTGACCCAAATTGGTCGTGAGCAAAGTCAAATTTCCCCATAAGGTTCAATGTAAATAAGGTTAATCCGTTCTGTAACTATTTTTTTTAATCAGAAAAATGTGAAGCAAAGTGACAAAGAACAACAAAGATCATGGCCATCTCCCCCGCCCCACAGCACAGGCGCAATCACGATCATGGCCATAGACGGGCGTGCTCGGGGGCGGGGGGGAGACAGGCGCGATCACGAGAGCGCTTGTGGGGGGGGGGAGATGGCTGAGATCGTGGTTGCGCTCATGCAGGAAAGACAGGCGCGATCTTGGCCATCTCCCTCCACCCAGCACGAATGCAGCCATCTCCCCACCCCACCCTGAACACAGCCGTGATCGCGCCTGTCTTCCCTGCACAAGTGCAACTGTGATCGTGGCCATCTTCCCACTCGGGAGGGGGGCAGGGGGGAGATGGCCACGATCGCAGTCACCAGCCAATGCGGAGTTAGCGACCTGAGTGAAATTTTGTATGAAATTTTTGTTCATGACCCGATTTGATCGTGAACTGAGGTGTTCGTGAGCCGAGGTGCTACTACAATTTTGTTTCTTTCTAGGTATCCTCAAATCTAAAGAAAAATGACTTGGTTGGACCAAGCCACCAGTCTTAAAACGGGGATGTTCTTGGATCCGTTGATGCAGCCCAATTCTTAGGGGGCGATGGGCGCAACCACCTTTTCCCATCTGCTCCAGCAGCACCCTTTCCTGAAAAAAACACGGTGGCTCTAAGTCCACCACGAGAACTCCCTTGGCAACTTCTGAGACTGGCTTACTACCGTGTGCGCCACATGGGGCTGCCTCTGTAGAGCATTCAGAAAATTGGAATGGTCTAGAATGCCATAGCTAGACTACTAGAGAAGATTTAATGGGAAAGCTGCAATCACACCTCTCTTGAAGATGAGACACTCTTTGCTAAATGGGCTTCCATGCTTGATTAAAAATGCTTGTGCCGCTCCTGGACAGAATCCAACTGGGCACTTATGCCGCTGCCAATTCTCTTACAATTCCTGTCTGCAAGTGGACCCATCACAACTGGAAACAAGAGAGAATGCTCATTTCTGGAATGGGGCAGATCGGTGGAGGTCGCAGAGGGGAGCTCTGCTGATTTGTCCCAGTCCAGAAATGAGCATTTTCACTAGTTTCAGGGTTTCCTTTGGGAAGTGACAAATTGTTGTTGCACAAGTGATGGGTCCCACTAGCACAACAGAACTGGTGAGCAGAAGTGTGTGCAGCCCACTGGATTCTGCCCCATCAAAGTCTTAAGTGGCCTGAGCTATGGAACCTAAAAGAGCGTGTCTTTCCGCATATTGTAATCACAGGAGGCCCTAGTGATGGTTTGCCTATTTCAGGAAGTACATTGGAAGGTGCATGGCCTTCTCTGTACCCCTTTCTTCCTTCTCCTTCCTCTTTTCAGAAAAGCTGCTTTGGACTCAGGCAAAGAAATGGTGGAAGGAAGTGGCATGCAACCTTTTCCCTGATGGGCATTTCCCTCTGCAATTTAACCCTTCCTAGCTGCAGTTTCCAAACATGCTTTGCTAAGTTCAGTATGTTTGGAATCTTATGGGAATATAGCTTGATGAGGAGAAATTGTGTTATGTAGGAAAATCATTACTTTCCTCTGCAAATGCTTGTGGCTTCTCTCGCCTAAATTCTCCTCTCTGCTCAACACAGCTTTCCTCTTCTTTAAAAAAGGCTTTGGGGGGGGGGGGGTTGATGCATGCATTTGCTTCTAGCATTCATCCTATCAAGATGGCTGGCAGCCCCTGAACTTGGAAGCTGATGATCATCCAGTGCAGAGTGGGAGGAGTGCTGGAGTGATCTTCGCCTCTCTCATTCTCCCTCTTTGTATTCTCACCAGATGGCTGTTCTTGGCCATCTAGCAGAGGTACTTTGGAGGGGGAGGGAAGGAGGCTGCTGAGGATACAGGCTATGTTGCACCCTCGTCCCCTCCCCCACAAGTGCCCCTTTACCTCCTCTCCAAGGTCGACATCCTGACCTCAGAGAGACAGCCAGCAGTTCTTTCAACACCAGCTGCAGGGGGCACAGAACAGGTTAGAACATGGATAACGTCAGAGTTCTGCATCCAGCCATGGATCCAAAGTATCCCATGACCCCCGCTAAATGCTGTCTAGGTGCCATGGGGTTGCTCTCTAAGGTACTGTTTTCACTGTGCTGAGATTTCATGTCAAGTTTATGAAATCTTGCACTTCCACAATTGGGTCAGGGCTATGTGTATATCCTGAATCCTCACAGAATTGGGTACATAATTGAATGTTCTATGAGTGCAATGGTCAATTTATTACATAATTAATTTTAAAAACCTGTTCATCAGCTTAAAAAGTCAATTGGCAGTGGATTAAGAAAACCCTTATTTTGTAATGCAAGTGCATATACAATTCCTCTTCAAAGAGGGATGCCCCCTTCCCCACGTAAGAGTGCCTATCTTTTCTAGACTAATGCCTGTTACATATAGATTATCTGAAAGCAAAGCCTGCTCCTTGCCTCATACGTTTTGTTTTAATTTGCAAATAAAAGACCAATCAACTAAAACTCAAAAGATCAGTTGTTTAAGTTCATTGAAAAGGCTGAGCTTCAACCCTGCTTCTTATGAATCTTGGTTTTCTCTTAAAAGAAAAAAAGGAAGCTCTAATACTGCTTGCAACACTGTGACTGTATGACTTGGGGAGACCTCAGAAGCTGGAAGGAATCTCCAGGGCCTGCAGAAGGGGGCTAGCAGAGGATTTTGTGCACACTAGGCAAATATATGTATGTTTGCCTTGATCTGTGTAATTATACAGCAGAGGTGGGCACCTGCTGCAAGAGGGCTTTGCAGCCCTTGGCCTTCCTTTATGGCGCCCCAGCAGCCTTCGTCAGTGCCTCCTCTTCCATCCTTTCTAGCCACTGCTGTCACTGCAAAAAGAACAAGAGAGGGACCAGCAGGCACGGCAACCATGTGTGCATGTCTGCCAGCCTCACACTCACCGTTCCAGCTGCAGTTCTTCATCATAGGATGGGGGATTGGATCCCGGCCGTGTGTTGGTCAGAGCTTCCCAGATGGTGACCTGGGGCAACATCCAAGAACACGCACACTGAAATTGGGCGCCTGGAGGGCTGCATCCCAGGCAACATGCGCACTAGCGTGAATTACAGTGGGCCACAGGAAGCCACCTCCAGGGGGCCATGCCAGCAGCATTAGCTGACGGGACAGGTTTCCCTGGACAGCCCACCGCATCAGTGAATGCTATCAACATGGGGCTAGAGGGCATCTGTACCAGCACTATGTGAATTACGCTCCACTGGACGGTGCCCAGAGATAGGACCGGCCGCCCCTGCCGCCTTGTGGCTGACAAGGACTTGAGGCTTGGACCTGGGATAATGCACTGGCCCCTCAGCTGAGCCACTCAGCTGCTGGGTGGCCTGGGGCAAGCCTAAGAGCTTAGCTACAGATCCCTCCCCAGAGCACATGTGTGAAAAGGAAATAAAAGGCATACAAGATAAAGTCTTGCAAAGGATGCAGTGCTGCATTAGGACAGGGCAGCCAAGAACGATGCCCACGGGGCGTCCACACCCAGCAGCTGGTCTGCTTTGTTACTGCAATGGACTCCTGAGTGGTGCCCACACAACCAACCTTCCCTGGACCGTCGCTGCCCTCTGCTCACCTGGTCTGTCTCTGTGCCTGCGTCCAGAAGGCTCTGCTGGATGGCAAACTGGAGCAAGTCATCATCCTCGTCCCTCATGGGTTCTGTACGGCCTGCGCCCAGCATTGTGTAGCCCTGGGGCACCTCAAATACCGATGGGTCCACCTCACAGGGAAAAGGGTACACTGGGGCCGAGGAGAAAAAAGCAAAGGAACGGTTAATATGCTGCTCAAGGACTGAGGTCATGATAAGAGCCACGCGGGATCAGGCCAAAGGCCTGTCTTGTCCAGCTCTGTTTCTGCACAGTAGCCCACGAGAAGCTCACGACGGACAGGAGCGCAACGGCACCCAACCACTCGTGTTGCGCCACAACGAGCCGAGCCTGGGAGGGACACACCCTCCAGTACTGGTCGCAGTCTGTAGTCGTCGGAAGCCGTAGCTGCTGACAGCCGCCTCCAAGGATCTCTCTCCTCCCCGCCCGCTGCACGCCTACCTCTGGTGTTGCTGGCTGCCTCTGCCCCGGCGCCCGGCTCCTCAGTGCTCTCCGGTGTGGGTGGGGGAGTACAGATCCGCACGGAGCTCAGTGGCTCATCGCAGCCGCACAAGTTGCTAAACGTGATCCGGGCATTCAGCACATGGAAGAGGGGGATCTCTGAAAACAAGCGGGAGACATAGAGGGAGGTGAGACTGACCACCCCCCCCCCAGCCACCCATTTCAAGTCTTTCACTGGCTGCCTTGCCAGGACATTTTCCAGAAGAGCGTAAGAGGAACCACATGCCAGATCAGATCAAAGGCCTATTACGTTCAGTATTCTGTTTGCAGGGCAGCCAACCGGATGCCCAGCAGGAAGTGTGCAAAAGGCAAGCGTGCAAGAACAGCTTTCGGCTTGGAATCCTCGGCACCCAGCCTGCAGAAGCATCCTGCTGTTGCTGCCACTACAGGTAACACATGACTATCACAGCTGGTGGCCACTGAGCCCTTCTTCACAAGCAAGGCCAATGGTCCCTCGCAGTTGCTGCCCTCCTCTTGCTGCCTGCCCCTGCGGGCTGGCTCCAGTCAGTGCTGCCTCCCGGCCTTGGCCTACCATGGCTAGCCGGCATCATCCCTCTCTGCTTGCCCGCTCTCAGCCCGCTGCGCTTTGCATCTCTCACCGATTTTGACAGGAAATCCCGGAGGCAACTTGAGGGTGATGAAGTCCCGCAACTTGGCAAAGTGGGCGTTGCTGATCGCCATCAGGTCAATGATGGGTGTCACCTGCTCCCCCAGGGAGAGGGGGTGGTCCTCGCAGAGCCACAGTGTGGCCTTGAACCTAGCGAGCAAGGGACAGGTCAGGCTCCCAGAGACCCAGGCACCACCCTCCCTCCTCATCTCAGTGCCCAGCACGACCAGGCCCGCGACTCACGGCCCGAGGTGGGTCTTTGCTCAGTCGAACTCACATTTCTCCCACCTCTGCCTCTTTCTTAGCCCTGAAAAGGTGCTGCCCTGTGGAGCGGCCCCACAGCAGGCACACCCCAGCTCGTGCATCCCGATGGCTGGTTCTCTGTCTGTCACCCCAGCCCCAGTTCCGTCTTCCTCTCCCTGCCCCTCACCTCTGCACCTTGCTGGACATCTCAATAGGGCGGCCAATATTGCGCGACTCCAGGTTGAAGTTGGGGTCAAAGTACTCCTCCGGGGTAATCGATGTTGGGTTGGTGGGGTTGGCAGACTGCAGCACAGGGGCCTGCAAGAGTGGGCAGCAGGGGTGGCCTCAGGCACAGATTTGGCCAGGAACCTGCAGTGCTCTTCCCCGGCACCTGCAGCCCCTTCTCCCTGCTAGAGCACCGCCCTCCCTGCAGCTCATGTGTGTGGCTGGGCCACCAGCCCCTTCCCCCAAGCAAGGGCGGGATCGGGCCTTGCCACTCACCCCGTTCTGTGCAGCATGCTGCTGGGCGATCCCCAGGAAGGACTGGAATGGAGTCTTGGAGCCTGTGTGGTGAAGAGAGGGCATGACCCAAGTCGGTAAGTCCCACGTCCCCATCCTAAGAAACCTTGAATGCCACTGGTCTGATACTAGCCTAATTCATGCATCTGAAGTGTTTCTATCCTGCCTACTTGGCCCAACATCCATGGGAACTCACAACTTTGCAACAATGAAATACAATTTCACATTATTGTCCTAGGAGACAGTAAAGAAAACCTTAAAATAGATAAAAGAAGGAAGGAAAGGAACGTGCCTGGAAGGGTCCATTCAGCAGCTTGGTGGGCAAATGGTCTTACAGCGATACCCGTGCAGGGTGCAGGCATGTGGAAGCCCACCTTGCCCCCTCTGTGCAGAGGCAAGGTGGGCTTCTCTTGGCAAAGAGCGTCAAAGCCTAGGCACAGCTCCAGAGAAGTCTGATGGCCTGTCTCTCCTGTGTCCTGCAGATACCAACCAAGCCCCATGGACCGAGTGGCTTTTACATGATGGGGAAGATCTGTTGCCTGGGATCGCCAGATTCGGCGTGCAACAAGGCTCCTCCGCCTCCTGTTGTTGCTCTAGTCCAAGTACCACCTAAGACCCTCCTCCCTGGGCAAAGAAGTCTGCTGCTGCCCAGGCAGGAGGGAGGAGAGAGAGCCAAGATGGCCTCTGCCAGCCTGCTGCCACAAGCAGCTCCTCCCCTCTCAGGTTGCTGTATCAAAAGAAAAAGCCAAGTCCCTAATGTGGTCTGCTTGACCCATTTTTATATTTCTTTTGTCTGCTGAAGGGTTTTAATATATGTCATGAATAACAATAAGTAATAGTTGCATCTTGCAGGGAAACTGGCAACTTTCCTCATTGCTGCAGCACCACGATGGGAAAAGCCGCCGGTGCCAGAATGCCTACGCAGCTGCATTGTCCCTGCGCTAAATCCGGCCATCCCCTGCTCAAGCGGCTCTCCTCCCGTTCCACCCCTGCCAGCTGCACAGCCTGGACGGTACACAAAAAAGCCCCAGATGGCCCTCCTCGGGTTCGTCCTTCCACATCGTCTAAGGGCAGCTGATCTCAGAGGCTGGTATAGCAGGAGAGGGCAATTTCCATTTCTTCCCAGGAACTTACTACATTTATATCCCACCTGCCCTCCAAGGAGCTAAGCTGGCGTGCGTAATTCTTCTCTGCTTGCTTAATCCATCACTTAGGCTGAGAGAGAGTGACTGGCCCGACCTTATCCAGTGAGTTTCATGGCTGGGGGGCAACTGGAACCTGGAGCTCCTCATGGACACCACAGGTGCTCCTCCCTGTGGCCAGCAACTACCCCCTGCTCCACATCAGCATTAGAGAAAGTGCTGGGGGAGGGGTTTTGGCTTACAGCTCCCATTATCCCTCATCACTGGCCAGGCTGGCCAGGGCTGATGGGGGCCATAGCCCAAAACACCCGGAATGCCACAAGTTGCCTGCCACTGGAAGAGGGGAGCTGTGTCCTGGGTAGTGCCTTGGTATTAAGGGCAAATTAGCCCTGGAACGCTCCCATGGCTGCTGGCATTAGCTGGCAGGTGAGAAGCACGAGGCATCGCCAGAAGGGCTGCCCTCTCCCACAGGAACCGCCCTGCTCACGGAGTGATCTGCCTCTGCACATTCCCATTAGAGGTCAGGCAGGAGGTAGGGAGTGAAGGGAGGAACGTTGCCTGTGGGGCCCAGTTGGACTCTCCCCCACAAGTCAAGTTTCCCAGTGTCCCCTGCTTTGCACAGAGGAATTCAAAGATGGTGGGCGAGGCGGAAGCCAAAGCAGTGGAACCACCAAGATCAAGCTGCGGGTAAGGGAGAGGCTGGAGTAGAAATAAGACACCAGCTCCGAGGATGAGCTCATATTCTCCCTTATACCAATGCCGTCAGGAGGAACAGCAGAGCCGTAGATCTGGAGGAACCAAAACTGCCCCCATCTGCCCCAGAACGCCTTTTTTCGGGCACCACCACTGGACCATTGATGGTGGGCTGCAGGAGCAGAGCTTTGTCTCCACCCGCAGACCTCCTCCCTACAGGCAGCCGCTACCTGATGGCCCTCAAGACACCCTCCCAGCCACAACTGGATCGCAGCCTGATGCTCTCATCCGGAAAAGGAGGCGGGCAGAGTCTGCCCTTTCCTCGTGTGCTTGCAATGGTACTGCGGGCCCTTCCAGGCTGCAGTCCTGAACACTGGGGGTGAGCTGCACTGAGTCGCCATGCTCAGGCCTGGGCTGCTGATGCTGTTCGCCGTTACTATCCACTAACCTTGCGAGTCTGTCCACTGGGAAAGGCGGGCTACACATCTCGTAAAGAAACAACGCAAATGAATTGCCACAGGGTGGCCCACCTCGCTGTGCTATGCGCAGTGCCCTCATAGGAGTAAGAACATGAGAAGGGCCCCGCTGGCGCAGACCAAGGCCCAGCCTTCTGTTTGCCCAGCGGCCAGCCAGCTGCCTGCGGGAAGCCCACAAGCAGAACGTCGGTCAACCTGCCGCTTTTGTTTCACAGTGGTGATCTTAAATGGGCCGTGAGCCCTGGGCAGGGCCTCTCCTAGGTCAAGCCCAACCAAGACAAGCCCTGTGAAGTCAGAGGTCAGCGACCACCAAGCAGTCGGCACAACAGAGAAGCAGTTATCTGCAGCACGAGAGGCAGTCGGTTGAGGTGAGGGTGGTTCACAGCAGGAAGCTCCTTCAAGAGCGCTTTACCTTTGTTGCGTGTTTTGTCCTGGTCCGACAGGTGCTCAGTACGGGTTTTGGTGACAAGCTCCACGTTGCTGGCACTGTAAACCTGGCAAGCACAGAGGCCGTTAGTGCCAACCAACACAAACCCACTTCGCAGAAGTGGAGCAGCTGAAGCTAAACCGGCGGCAGGGAGCCCTGATGCTCATGCACACGAGGGACGGGTAGGAACGCAGGAGAGCTGTACCTTGGCTTCGTAGCCACTGATGTTTTCCATTTTCTCTGAGCGCCAGCCCCAGATGCCAGACTTGTTCCTGCAGAGAGCGAGACCCCCAAGTCACACAAGAGAGAGTCCTTGGTTGACACATAAAGCACTGCCTGCCTTTCCAGCCTAAAGACATTAATTTCTTCACATGTGAACTTCTCATTCACTCACACTTTCTTCCATCAACTCCTTCAATCTTGCCCTTGAAAAATGATGACTAGGAAGCAGCAGGTAGAGGTCTTTGGACCAAGACTTGTCTTCTCAGGGGCGATGGCCAGCTTCTCAATTACCAAACCAGAGGCAAAAAGGAGATGCAAAGGTGTGGCGTTCATGGTAATGAGTCTGAAGACCATTTCAGCGGCAGGGTGGGGGCTTTGGCCCTTTGTCATCTGGCAGAAATAGCCACTGCCCAAGGACCTGGGCAGACTTAAGCCTTTTCCACTTCAGTTTCATCTTGGCTGCAGCTGCTCCTGAGGCAGCAAGGTAGCACAGGAGGGGCAGGCCAGCTGGACAGCAATTCCAGAGAGCTGAAGATGAGTGGCACACAGGGCCTTGTCCCCCAGCACCTGCCACCTGAGGCCACTGCTCACTCTACCAATGACAGGGCCAGCCCCGGCAAGGGACCCTGGCGGTTCTGCGTATGTAACACCCTGGCTAAGACGCGGACAGTCCCAGCCACACCCCACACATTCCCGCACCCGACCCGTTTTCCCGCCGCCACTCACCGCTCAAAGGCAATGTTCTTGGTGTCCAGGTGGGTGGAGACGATAGGAGAGGTGAGCCGGCTGGCCACATGCTCCTCGGAAGGCTGCATGGCAGCCAGCATCAGCTCAGGCTCGTGCAAGGCCAGCGACAGCGTTTCCGTGTACACAACCTGCTTGTCGTGGTCGACCTCCATCACCACGGCATTCTCATCTGGCCGCAAGCGGAGGGAGAGAGAGGAGGTGGAAGAGTAACGCCGGGAGAGCGGCGGTCAGTTTCAAGGCCCCCAAACTCACCAAGCCCCCGCAGGGAAAGGGTACGTTCTGACCTTCGCCTTTAAAGATGTAGCTGCGCCGGCCCCGCTGCCAGGTCATGTGCTCAAAGCCCAGTAAGGTTGTGTCGACCCGCAGGTTTTCCCCTCGCTTCCACACCCGGTACACATCACTTGGGCAGATTTTGGAGACCAGGGGAACTGGGAGAGGCAGAGAGAGAGTGAGCAGGGGGGCAGGGAACATGTGGCAGCCACCTTCAGTCAGGACCCCTCTCCACCATTCCCAGCCAGCAAGGCCTCAGGTGATGGGGGAGCTGCTGTCCAGCACATCTGGGGGGCACCAGAGCGGGGAAGGCTGAGTCTGGGCAACTTCTTCGCCACATCTGTACTTCCAATTAAGCACTCTAGCCTCTGTGGGGCAGGTCAAGATGAGGCCCAAGGGTTTCTTGGGGCTTTGAGGGACTCGTTTCCCATCTGCCTGGGCCCTTTCCCATGTCCAACTTCTGGAGCACTGCTGTAATGTCATGTGGCGGGTGTGCCACTGTATAGCCTCTGGGCCTTGATGAAACGGGGGGAGGAGGCATCCTGCTTCCCCAAAATGCAGACCAGGTGATGGCCATTATTCCATGCTATGCCAGCAACGTGCAACTTTGGCCAAGGAACACTGAGCAGTTAGTGCTCCCTTCATTGTCCAAGGAGACCTCATTCCCCAAGCCACCCCAGGCTTTGCTGGGCAGCCTTTCCCCATCATCTGCTGCATCACTTGCGAATGCTTCCGCCCCCAGTGTCCAGAAGATGCAACGCCAGGCACTGACTTACCCCAGCTAGTAAATTCCCACTTCATTTCCACATAGAAATCAGGAGCCTGAAGAGACAGAAAACCAGAAGTGAGGGGATTGATCAGTACAGATGAAGAAAGGCTGTGACAGCAAATTTTTTCTCTCTGGCAGGAGGGAGTGAAGTTTGCCACAGAGAAAACAGTATCCAAGCAATCACTTGCCAATGGGGGTTCAGTATTCAGTCAAATCCAGCTAGAAAGTCCGAGAGTATTTTCAAGCATCCCAGAGAAATCAGGGCTAAAAGCATGGCACATGGTGACTTCTGCTGCCATCCTGAAAATGGGGGGTTCAATGCACCCTCTTCTCAATCCCATTGTCAGGGAATATGAGAGGGAAAATAGAATGGTTGTATGCCTGCCTTTGGCGCAGATGTATGAATTCTAGGCTGATTCTGTCTGTGGGACAAGAACCTAGAACAAGAGTGGAGAACAAGAACTGGGAGCTCCTTCCCCTGCTCCATTCTCTTTTCTCAGATCATCAGGTGGTTTTGTGCATTCCCCATTCCCTTTTTTCCTATTCTAAAAGGTCAAAATGCCTGTCCTAAGGCAGAGTTCCTGGCAGCAAGAGCTTGACCTTATACTCTGCTGCTAATTTTTGGCTTATTGGCACTGCCCCATCACAGGAATGTAGAGCTCAAACAGTTCTCCAACACTCTTTCAGCTCTCTTTATACCCTTGACCTAGAGTGCTTATTCTTCTGAAACAGAAGTACAATCAGTGCTTTACAAAAAAGAGAAGCATCACGTTGGGAATGAAAGAGGCAGTTATTCTCGCTATGCTTTCCAGGCCCAGAGTGGCACCTACTCTTCCGATGAGGATGGTGAGGCCTGTGGACACTGAGATGACGGAGGAGGGAGAGTTCATGTCAAGGCAACTGTCTCCAGGTGCTCTGAAAGACCCTGGGAATTGACAGGGGTTGGAAGCGCTGGGCGGAGACACAGCAAAAGAGCCAAGGGAGACTGGTGCAGCCCCTGACCTCATGAAGTGACATCAGGAGACGGGCTAGCCAACTGGAGGGGCTGGGTCGGTCTGCCTGTCTCCCGAGGGGCCCACCCAGTGGGACGGAGCCTGGAAGAACGGAAAAGGAGGGTTCCTGGAAACGGTTTCTGGTTTGGGCTCCACAAACCTCTCTGTGCATGCTCAAAGACTCTTCCTCAGGTGGCTTTTACTGTGCTGACTGTATGTTGGAAATAAAGTGCTGTTTGCCAAACGAATGTCTGCTGTTTGAGAGAAGAAAGGAAGGAACCCAGCCCCTGAGAGATCCTAGGAAAGAGCACCTTTGGCAAGATTTGTCTCTCAACCTTTGGCAGGGCTTCTGATCGAAGTCTAGAATGGGCACCCCAGTGACAACATTTGTAGACATTAGAGGGAGACAGAAAACACTCAAGGACTAATGTCAGATGGAAAGTGAAAGTACATACTCTGCGTAGTTTATTGAGCAATTCTGGGATGCCAGCTAGACGCTGTGTGGCACGCTGGTAATCGCGATACTGAAGCACCAGCTGTACCATCTCTGGATCTCCCGTACTCACGGCCTCCTGCAGAACTAGAGGGCAAGAAAAGAGGAACAATCTGGCTTTTGGGAAATGTTTTCTGTCCTCAGCATGTCCCTGCTCTGCCCCTAAGTCCAGTCCAAGCTCTCCTCTGTCCTCACTCTTGACACAGATTTGCCAAAAGGGCAGGCACACCTGACTGCAAAGGGCATGGATACCATGCTAACTGTTGCTCAGTGGCTGCTGAAACATTTGCCAGGCCTGGCAGGCAAAGGCAGGGCTTTGGAAAGTGAAGCCAGAAAGACAAGGATAGTACTTCCAACAAAACTGCAGGGAAGGAGGACGCACCCACCTCCATCTTCAAAATATATTGATGGCTACTGGAATGAAAACATCGTGCACCAGGCTCCTTGCCACCACAGCCTGGACGTCTCAGATCCTTTGTTTCTCAACCACTCAGGCATCCCCTGCTCAGCCCTCAAAGCAGCTCCTTCTGCATCCCTGCTCTCCCTCACCTGGGATTTAAAGAGCAGCTTGATTCCAAAGATTCTGGCTATTCCTGAGCCCATGTGGTCTATGCTGACAAGCAGCAGCTCTCCATGGCCTCGAGCAAAGGCCTTTCACAGCCATGTGACCAAATGTCCTTTCAACAGAGAAGCCAGAGACAGAACCTGGGACCCTCTGCATGAAGCTGGCCCCATGACCACTGGCCCCGGGACCCTGACTGACCACTCAACCTTTTGCGTGCAGTTGGTCCCCTGGGGCACCTGAACCAAGGGCCTTCTGCACGCAGCCAGTCCCCAGGACCACACGCCTCCATACCTGTCCAGCCATTGGCATTCTCCTGGCCGACAGTGGCGCTGTGTCGCAGCAGCACTCGGGCAGATTCCAAGTTCCCCAAAGATACGGCCAGCTCCAGTGGTGTTCGGCCACGTGGGTCCAACATCTCAATATCATGCTGTAAGGGAACCACAGGATTAATGATCTGGATGGGCAATCCTTCTCAGCAGAGACTTTCATCTGCACCGAGCCTCAACCCTACAGTTTCTTTGTTTTTTTAGTAGGACTCAGTCTTTCCCATGGGGATTTCAAACTCGTCTCTGTTATCAGGCACTTGTCCCCAGATTCTGCTCTTCTGATTCTGCAAGGAGATCAGGATTCTAGGACAGAATTAACATCTGCAACAGAGACGGGTCTGACCCAAGGGACCATGACATATTCATATCCATTGGCTGGAGAACAAAAAAGCAAGGCTTATTGCTTCCTCCAGCCTTCCCTAGCTTGCTGCCTCCAGATATGTTAGACTACAACTCCAATAATTCCCCAGCCAGCACTGACATTGCGAGGGCACCAGGCTGGGGACAGCTGGCATAATCTAAGCTAGTGTACACTAGGAGCCAGAATTTCTTTTGATATAAACCTACATTACTTCTGGGTCCTGAAAGGCAGTTCCTCTGCAGTGGCAAGGTGCTTTCTGCCAGGAGTTTGACAAAGGTGGCCCTCACGACAGTAGCCTCTGTCCCTGCATTACAGAAGGAGGCAGGACTAGCTCTGCCATGTGCTAACATTAATCTGCTTTACTTTCAGCTGTAGGAAGCGTGCTCTCAGGCACTGCAGTCTATGATCACACGGCCCCTAATTTAAAAAGAATATGAAACAAAGGGCTGGAAAAGTGTACTTTTGAGGGACAGATATTACGTGGAGGGAATCATGGTGCCTTCTGCTGATAGACATCTTCTCTATGTTGAGGGCAGCACAGCATCTACCAACACTGGGTGCAGGAACCACTATATTTCAAGGACTGACTTATGATTTCATTTTGTTTCATTGCATTTATTACATTTCTGCCGTCCAAAAGCCAAAGCTGGAGTACTTAGCTGCAGAGAAATCTCAGAATCAAAGAGTTTGGGTGGGATGCTGGAAGTCACCTCACCTACCCTGCTGTTCAATGCAGGATCTACAATGCCGGAGTCAACTACAACATCCTCAAGAAAGGGTCATCCAGTCCCCGCTTAAATAGCAGCAGTGAAAGAGAGCCCACTGTCTCTCCGGGCAACCCGCTCCACTCCCAAACAGCTCATACCATTAGGAAGTTTCTCCTAATGTTTAGAGGAAATCTACTTCCCTGCAGTTTCCTCCTGCTGATTCTACCCCCCCCCCCCCCGTTTGGAGGAACAGAGAACATGTCTGATCCACCTTATGCATGACAGCTCTTCAGAGATTCAAAGCCTGCTATCAGGTGTCCCCTCAGCCAGACTAAGGATGCTCTGCTTTTCCACCCTGCTTGGTTCCAAATCTGGCTGTGTAGTGGCAGATCCGGAACTCTTTTAAACCAACTGCTTTGTTTAGAGAAGCCCAAAATCGACTGTAACTATATTAGCTGAGACTAATTTATCCGCACATGCAAATCAGCTATCTGCCAAGAATATGTGTGGCCACAGGCTGAGTGACAATCCCTCCACCATCAAATTGCCACTGAATAAGAAGAGTCCTTCTGGATCAAATCAAAGGCTTATCAAGTCCAGCATTCTGCTCCCACGTTCACCATTCAACTGCTCCCATGGGAAGCTCACGAGCAGGACACAAGCGCAATAGCAGCCTCCCACACACATTCCCCAGCAACTAGCATATAGAAGCATATCATGTATTTAAGATCTGTAGCATGGCTTTGGGACAGGCAATAATCCCCAATCTGCCTTGTATAAATGAAATTCTAAGACCTCCCAGGATGAACACTTTGTCACCTATTTCTACACTCACTGCTTCCCACTTCTTAGCAAAGAAAGCAACCAGGTATTTTTATGCAGTCTGTCATGTAAGGCAGGGGTGGGCAGAAGGTAGATCTTGACCTACTAGTAGATCTCTCAGCAATTTGCAGTAGATCAGCCAGGATTTTGACTCCCACTTACTTAATAATAGCAACAATAAAATCACTCCACACTTCTCTTAAATTATACTACTGAAATGAAGAAAGCTTCAGATGTGGAATTTTGTGCAGAATTACAGTGAACTCCATTCAGTGCTGGAGCTCACAACCTCCTAGATGCAGAATTCTTTAATCTTGAAAGTATGACTGGTCCTAGGTCCCAGTCGGTGTCTTTTAGGGCTTTAGCAAAAAATAAAGATGATCCCATAGGTCTGCCTAACCCTGACCTAGGGGTGCTTGGAGATCAGCTTTAATGCTAGCCTTGCAAAAGCATTGAGCATCCTGAGATGGCTACTCAGCGGAAGGTATGTAGGGGTGCCTAATGCCTCCAAATGTGGGAGGCCACCTGTCTTACTCATCCTGCCAAGTCACTCCCTTCCCTTGCTTCCCTTACCTGAGGCACTTCCTATTTGTCCCATCCCTGCTCTGCTCCTGAAGGATCATGAGATCTGGAACCTTCAGAGTCAAGATGCCTCTGAATTGCACCTGCTTGAGACACAATGGTTGATCCCATAGCCTGTCTGCAAATTTTCCAGAGGCATTCACCTGACCAATGCCAAAAGCACACTGCTGGACTAGACAGAAATACAAGACCATAAAGATGGGATTAGAACCCCAAGGAAAAGGTGGGATTTGAAGTCCAAACATCAATCAAACCATTTCCTTGACCTCATTATTGATGCTGCAATATTCATTTAACAGAAAGCAAACTGGAGAAACTGCCAAAGGTGACTATCCTAAGACCACAAGCTGAATAGAAGGCAGAGACCCTAGAACAACACCCCTGCCCCCTGGCAATAATTTTCCCTTGCAGAAATTACCACTTTGTTCTGATCCAGCATTGGCTGTAATGTAATGGCATGTCATACTTGGAACAGACTTTCCATGTTTTTAGAGTCAAAGAAAAGCCTATTCAGACAGTCTGGTAAAATATTGCTGTATACCTTTATCTCTTAGCACAATGCATGATAAACATTTGAAATTCATTACTGCAAGGGAAGGTAATGACCATCAGCTTAGACTGCAATCCTATACATGCTTACATCCCATCATACCTGTTTAGACAGAAAGAAGTTCTACAAGCAATTGCAGTTTCAGATAACTTTTGAAAGAGTCAGACAGATTCAGAGAGGACAGGCCTATCAACAGTTAGTAGCGACAATGGCATGTTTTTGTTCAAATGCAGTGCACCTCTTGTGTATTGAATGCGGGTGACAAACAAAAGGAGAAGGCCACCACTTTCATGCCCTATCGGTAAGCTTCCAGAGACATCTGGGTGGGTATATTCTCCCCCTCAAAAAGAATCTGAAAATTCTCAGGTGCCTGAATTAAGTCTCTCCCCTATTTCCTCTTTCAAAGTGCAAAAAAAAGGAGAGGGGGAAATCCCCATTTTCCGAGTCACTGCCAACTTTCTCCAGCGGGCAACCCACGTCGCCTGTTCTGCATTTCTCTAAGTTCTGAATCAGTTTCTTTGCAAAACTCTCTCCATAATGACCCTCTTCTCTAATCTTCCCCTCTGGGTGGAAGAACAAAGAGATAACATTTAACATGTTCAGTTGTCTAACGAACTGCCACCCACCTGGGCCCTATTAGCCAGCCTGCCTTCACCACTCAGCCCTCCACCACCTTTTCTTAGCACCAGTGCCTGTTCAGTGCTCATTGCTAATCTATTCGACTAGGCAGGAGGTTGAGACCTGGAAGCCGGTTTTTGTGTTGGCGCAACAGTGTGCCAGAACTGGCACCGACATTCAGATTCAAATTATAGATTTTTTAAAAAGAGGGAATGTATTTTCCTGCATATGGAGCTTTAAGAATTAATTTCACCTTTTCAAAATGGTGTTTATCCATCCACTAAATGGAGAGCCAGTGTGCTGTAGTGGTTAAGAGTGTGGGACTGGAACACAGGTGACCTGGGTTCTAGTCCTCGTTCAGCCATGGAGCCCACTGGGTGACTTTGGGCCAGTCACAGATGCTCAGCTCAACCTACCTCACAGGGCTCTTGTTGTGGGGATAAGACTGAGAGCTGGAGGAGAATGATGTAAGCCGGTTTGAGCTCTTTGTAAGAAAAAAGGCAGGATATAAATCTAATAAAGAAAGAAATAGAAACCACTAGGGGTATGACATGCTAGGTCTCAGGGTCAAGGGATGGTCATGCATACTATCATGGTGGATGCTCCTTCAGAACCCACTGAGTGTGACTCTTTAGCATTACTTGCCCTTATGAGCCCAAATCTGGGCTAGGGACACTGCAGGGTAGCGAATGAAGGTGTTTAGGTTGTGGGATTCTGAGCAGATGGCCTCAGAGGAGGACTGCAATTCTCTTGGAGGTTTCTGCTGCCAAGCTGGTAAGGAATGATGAGGCTGGGAATTCCCAGACCAAAGGAAGCATGCTGTTCATCTTTACATCTGTTCTCTAGCCTGCTACTTGAGTTGGAGTGGGAAAAGAGGAAGGAGAGTTCAGGGGTACAGGAATGATGATGGAAATGTAGGATCCGGAATATGGTCAGAAGAGGTCGGACGAGAGGAAAGAATGATGGTGCCATCCCAGTTAGGGTCCAGAGAGATCCCTTGGTCAGTTTCCACACAGTATGTGTCTGCGTGTGGGCATGCATGTGTGTGTTTTGCCAGGATAGAGGAATTCAATAGAAGAGGTGGTCCAACAGGACGCAGGTGAGACCTCGCTTAGAAATAGCCATCTCAGGATTAGTGCTACCTTCTGGGCCTTGCTCACCAGTCCCTCCAGCTCCAGCAGGGATACTAGTAAGGGAAGCCAAAGATGAGAAGCATCTTAAAAGGATCCCACATCACCTCTCCTTTCCCCCGCACATCTCCAGCCCTAGCTGTAAAGGGCTGTACAGGGAGGACCAGGATCACCGGGCAGGAGAGGAGGATCTTTCTGGGTGAGTGAGAGGGAGGGGGCATCGATGGCTTCCCCCATACCTGTCCCTTGCGCAGCTCGCTGTCCAGCGCCTGGTGCCGGTTGTGCCAGACGAGCAGGTGCAGAGGGAAGGCGTCTGCGATGCGGGCCATCCCGTCACCATGTCCCCGCGCCCGGCAGGGTCTCTGCTCCGATCCCTCTCTGCCCAAGGCCTTTCCGGGTGGCGGCAGTCGAGCCAGCGGCTCCCGTCCTGCGCGGCTGTGCGCTGGGCCCCGCTGCGGCGGTGGCGGATGCGCTCCCGGAGGAGAGGCAGGCAGACAGGGAAGGAAGGAAGGCAGGCAGGCAGGAAGGAAGGCAGGAAGAGAGAGGCAGGGAGAGAGGGAGGGAGGGGCGCACGCGCGGCCTGGCCGAGCTTCGCTGCGGCTCCCGGGGCTGAGCCAGAGCCGGAGCCAGAGAGCGGCGGGCCGGGAAGAAGGGGCGGGCCTGCGGGGCGCAGGGAGGAGACAGCGGCAGGGGCGCGGAAACCTGGCCCAGCCCTGGCACTTTTCCGGCCTGGATGTCAGCTCCAGCCCACGCGAGAGGACCACGCTGAGGGTTTGGGCAGGCGACGCTTCTTGCGTCACCGCTGTCAGCAGGCGGGATCAGGGCGGCGGAGAAGCCGGCGGAACTAGGCAGTTCCTCCTCATCGGTTGACCATGGAGATTGCGGGGCTTACAACACTGCTCGGGGGCGCCCATGACTTCCTTTTGGCCTTCGAGCTCCAGAAGGAGCGGCGTACGGGGCAGTGAGCTACTGGGCTCCCGTTGCTTTCTGTGGGGAGGCTGACTCGGACCTCTCTCTCACTGGCATCTTTTATAGCTCCTCCAGGACAAGGAAAATTTCTTAGAATTCCACGGGGTGGCCCGTGACGCCTGGTTCAGGACAAATGGGAGCATGAAGTTTCCTATGATCCTTAGCCGAGTTGTTTGTTCCTTCAGGGTGCAGCTATGGAACATGTGTGAATTAGTAAAAGAGTGCCCCTGTGCATGTGTATCCCTCCTTTCCCCAGCGTAGCTGTACTTGGAGCATGTGAACGCCCCCATGCCTGAACCAAGCACCTCTCATTCTGGAAATCTTGCTCTGTTCCTACAACTCCAAATATGGATCATCTGGCACTGTTTATTTAGAATTACTATTTCCTGTTTATGACCTTCAAGTCAAAATTATTTGGGATGAAGAAACTCCTCTAACCACATAATGCTAACCATCTTTAGACAGAAGTAACTCCAGCTGTATCCCAGATAAGTGTCATCCTGGAATCAGAGTAAATACCACTGAACTCAGTGACTTCCTTCTGAGTAAATACAGCTAGGACTGTACTGGCCATCTTCCCAAACTTGGTGCCCTCTAGAGGTATTGGTGGCTGGGAATTAGAGGATTAGCCTAACACCTCTGGGCAGCACCAGCTTGGAGAATGCTACAATCGTGATTTGTTCTCAGATCACTGGTTTGCTGCCGGATGACTTGAAGAGAGGTGGATTTTGTCATCCCTGCCTCGCTCTGCTGTTTCAGCCAGCATGGGCTTTATCAGGCCAACAGCAAAAAGCAGTCCTCATGCAATCCTCATGCAAGTCCAAACCAGCTGGTTGGACTTGCTTGGTTGAGAGGACAGTACAGTTGGCACCCAGTTAATGCACAAGATGTAGCTTCCTCCAGTAAAAAAGAGGCCTCCCATGACTAGGCCTTAGAAAAATGTAGCACAGAAGTGAAGAGTAGGCACCTTAAAGCCTCAAGGAGGTGTTCATGTGGGGAAGCCAGCCAGCCTTTCTTTTGGAATGTGTTAGGTCTGCATATTGCTCAGAGCTGAGAGATGTTATCCCTGACAAATAAAACCCCTCCACCTCTGCTGCTGTACCCCTCAGGCCAGGCCCCAAAGAAGGAACGTTTGAGAGAAGGAAGGTCTGAAAGTCAGACCTTCGGTTTTTAGGTGGCACATGATGGCCCAGCATTCACCAGTGTCCCTCCCCCTTACACTTCTTCCTTCAGACTGTGTTAAGATACACTTGTCCCCGTTTGTGTTCTAGTTTGCAGCCAGTAAAAATCTAGCCTTACTCAAGAAAATAAGGGGAGCAGTCACTGTTTCCAAGGTCACTCAGGAAAATAAGGGGAACAGTCGCTTGTTTCCAAGATCACTGAAGGGAAAGGACTTTCAGCCCTGGAGTGCAGCTCCAGCCCATCTATGCCCAGTTTTTTTCCAAGTTCATTGAGGCTGCTGTGTATAACAACAAAGAGCCTTTGTGGTACCTTCAGGACTGAACTGACTTATGGAAGCAGAAACTTTCATGGACTAAAGCCCACTACATCAGATTCATGAAGTGTTTTTCTCAGTTGGCAGATTGTATAAACATACACATAGTTGCAGAAGAGAGATGTAAACAGTGAATTCAAATGGTTATAAAATACAAGGGCTGACATATTTCTATGCAGTGCCCAAATGCATAAGATAAAAACAGAAAGATGCATTCACAAGCAGCCACTGGAGACAATAGCAGTTCTCCTTTTACGCAGGTTTTTTTTAACTCATCGTACTCTTTAATGTGCATTTTTGCGTTTGTTCTTTCCTTGCTGTGGCTAACTTTGAGGAAAGGGTGACCTGGATCAGATTGCTGGAGCTGTGTGTGTGTGTGAGTATCCAGCCTGTGTATCACTCGTGGTTCTTGAGGCCAAAAGCTTCATGCCCCCTTTGCAGGAGGGCTTGGTGTGCAGGTGATGGTATAGATGTAGGTACATGGGCACATGAATGAGGGACATTATTAGGATCTGTAATAGTATTCCCTGCATGGAAAAAGGAAGAGAGTTAGTTTTCATTGTATGGTCTGGTCTGGTAGCCTGTTGGTTCTGAGAAGCATCCATTTTCAGTTAAGCTTTGTGTAACTGAGTATTTATTACGCATCTCAACTGGATTGCATTCCATTCTTCCAAGACTAACCCTCTCCCATTTTTGAAACTGCAGGGAACATGTTTATACATTTTTCTGTTATTGAGAGGAAGATCTTTCCAAGGGAAGCAGAAAAATGATATATCCATTTTAATCTTTTTGCAAACCCCCACAAACCTATTTAATAATAGTCTTACCAAAGTGTGTTCCAGTTGATCTACCCATGAGTAAGTTTTGGGAAAAAGTCAGTTCTTTCTCTGAATTGATAAACTGGCCCACTGTCAAACAACAGAGTAGCTTAAATTAGAAAAGTGCAAATATTTTACTTCATTTATCTTTCTGGATTACTGTTTATGGGTGTGAAAGATGGACAGTGAAAGCTGTCCAGGAAGAAAACTGATGTGTTTGAAACATGGTGCTTGAGGAAAGCTTTGCAATTACTCTGGACTGGCAGAAAGACAAACAAGTGGGTCCTGGATCAAATCAAGCCAGAACTTGCCCTGGAAGCAAAAATGATGAAATTGAGGCTGTTGTACTTCAGACACATGAGACAGGACTCATTGGAGAGGACAATCATGCTAGGGAAAGTGGAAGGCAGAAGAAGAAAAGGAAGGCCAAATATGAGCTGGATCAGTTGCATGAAAGAAGCCACAGCGTTATGTTTACAAGAACTGAGCGGGGCTGTCAAGGACAGAACATTGTGGAGGGCCTTCATGTACAGGGTTGCAACAAGTCAGCAAAGACTTGACGGTAACAACAATCTTTTTGGAATGTTTCTTTTTCATTGAACAATGTGCCATTTAAATGAATACTTTGATTTTACTTCCCCTTGTCTTAGTACTTTTTCATTGTGTTGGATTGTTTGTAAAATGTATGTAGTAGAATGTACTTTGTGTTCTCCACATAGATGGTTTGTGATTCCTTATTCAATTTCCTAGAAGACTTTATACCTCCCCATCAATCCTTATTTGGCTGCTACTCCGGCCCAGCTTTGTTTCTTGACTGGCACACATAGCTGACTCTACATTTATTGCTGATTTTCTCCCCTTCTTGTTCATGTGTTGGGAATACTGTTGACTTTTCTTTAAAACTTCTTTTTTTGAAGACTACTCAACCTATTTCTGCAGTGAAGATTGCAATCTTGTACTTACCAATCTGGGAATAAGTCCCATTGAGGCTGAAAAGACTTATATAGGATTGCACTTTAAATATATTTTCAGAAATGTTAAAAGCAACCATTTCCTCATCTAACTAAAAAATTCCCATGGGGGTGGGAGTCACAGCATTCAGCCAATCAGCACACTCAGTGCAACCGAGTGGGGATGCTTCCTGATAATCTTGAGCAACAGCCTATCACACAGCCAACTGCTGCCAGAAACAAGAACCTTGACATTCAGCTTGGCTATATGAATCACACCAGGCACACTGCTCAAGCTGTATTCACTTGCAGACAGCATAAAAGGTATATGGGTGTTTCTTAGCTGTTCCCTTTTCAATGTTTTCCGTTTCACTATTTTTCAAGGTAATGCTTGTACAACATCTAAGGTGGATGAAAGGAGAGGCAAATCCTATAGGTGGATGTTAAGATTCTTTTGGGCTGCAACACTTCTGGGATCATGCACACCAGTCTGCACATGCTCCAAGTAACATCCCCTGTGAGTCTTTAAATTGTTGCAGGGGATATTTAAGTGCAATTTTAATTAATGAGATGGAATTAGTAGTTATGGTGATCCAAGAGTTATGCACCCTGAGGTTCCTTACAATCTCAGAGAAGGTTGTACTACTGTTCTGCTCATACACAGCAACTACTGACTATTCAGTAATCTTTTGAAGCCTCAGAGAGGATGCTGGGCCACAGTCATGGAGCATCCAGTAGCACTGGCAGCTTTTGCCTACGATCGGATACGTTCCAGGATCCAGTGCAATGCTACTGAACACATTGCAGTGCAACTCAGCTCATCAACCGCTTGGTTGGTGAGGCACATGACCAAGCTGCATTTCCAGCTTCTCAAGAGATCTTAAGCAACAAACTGCATCTGCTTGGGCAAGCCCTGGTATCTGCTCTGTCACACTATATTGTAATAGACACCTTGGCTTGTGACACAATTCACAATGATTGTACCATTTCTTCCCCTTCTGCCAGAAGCCTTGTTGTTTTCCAATTAAAAAAAAAAGTTTGGGAGGATTTATGCACCTCTGCAGGAGAATGTGTCTCTAATGAGAGTTTATGAGGCAAACTGTAGCTCACCACTCTCGTTCATGTCAAATCTATTTTTGTGCAAACGGGTGCTATGCTACATACACCAAAATCATGCGATAGCTAATCTGCGCTGGTGGCATGCTTTCAGTGAACACCTCTGTCACAGTATTTGTTTTAACTTTCCTGGCTCAGCCAGGACTAGCTCTGACCTTGTGCTTTTCAAGGCACATAGACCACTAGGTTTCTGAACATAATAAAGTTGAACCAAATTAGATTTTCCATTTGGTATCTGTGAAGTATCTATTGCTATAAGAACATCCCAAAGCAAGCCATTAAATGTCCTTCTTGAGCAATTCTACCTCTGTTCTCCATAAGAGTTGAGAAGTCATAATATCATTGGCCCAAGAAATAGGAGAACAACTGCATTAAAAGGGCATGAAGAATTGACTATGATCAAATTCCTTTCTTTTTTAAAGTTGCAGGGGGACCAAAGATGATTACCCTATGCAATATGATCAGTTGTCTCCTTTCTCCACCTAAAAGAAGACTATTTTATATTGCTTGTTCAATGGTTATACAGCCAGTCGTTTGGAAACACAGATTGAGTTTAGTCGACGTGATAACCCATAAAAGTGTTGAACTGTGACCTGTGGGTTGTATTGTCTGAGTCCCGCAGTGCTAACAAGTCACAATCAACTATCCACAGATCATTATGCAACAAGCCAGGAGTTATGGATAGTTTATGCTTAACAAACTATGGTTTGTTAGTGTAGCTAGGTTCAGACCACATGATAACCTATGCTTCAACAACAACCCCACAGCCCTTGAGAGTAGGTTATTGTGTTGTCTCAGTCATGGTCTGGATGATAGTTCCAGGCAGCAACTGCTACAAGAAGATAAAAACTGTATCTGGAAAGACCCTTTAAGAATATGGAACCATCCCCTGTGGAACCCTCACCTTCTCTAGACCCAACCCCTATCTTGATGCAAGCACGCACACAAGTTTCCTAGCACAAACTTCCATGTGGACCACCATTCTCTCTGTAGAAAGGAGGGAAAATGAATTGCTGCATGGCAGAACACATTCCTCGCATGCCTAAGTTCTTGGATTCAACAGTCTCCAGTCTAAATAGTTTCAGAGCTGTCTGGGAAAGGCTGCTGAGTAAGTTCTTGGACAGCCAGTGGACTTCAAATAGTCTGACTCAATAGAAGATAGCCTCACATGTAAGCTTAAGTCTACATCAGTGACTTATGTTAGACTGTTGCTAATCAAGGTCAGAGAAGAGCCTATATATTCTACAGTTGTGGGTTTTGGATTTTTTTTCTTTTATTATAAAAACAGTCTTTATCCCACTCATTAAAATCACATTCAAAAATCGGCAAAAAATCCATAATAATAACCCAGTGAGACAAACCAGAGATCAATATTTACAAACACTGCAGGGAAAGGGGCTTCGTTCCACCTCTCCCCTTCCAGGGCCAATCACCTTGGAAGGAATATGGTCATTTAGGTGGCAGAACAGGCGCAACTGATCACACGGGAGGCATGCAGCAGAGGCGATTGCATGCGCTTGGGGCATGAGGCCACGGGGATGAAACCTGATCCACAACCGAAAACCGTCCGTCCCAGTTCCCCTGCTAACGCAAATGGAAGGGGGAGGAAGGGAGCAGGATTCAATCAACGTGAGATTTCTCTCCATCCTGTGGGAGAAATCATAACACTGCTGAGGGCTGGGTGGGATCAATGCCGTTCATACAAGGCATACTGGAATGGAGGGGTCAAGCGGGCCCAGTTTTTCAAACTCAGCCTGGCCCCTTGGCACAGAGCTATTTACAGAACCCTTCGGACACATGGGAGTTGGCACAGGGCTAAGCTGCTCTCCAGGCTAAGCGTCCAGCTTCTGCATCCCCCACTCACCCCCGGCTTGGAGAGGTTCAGGAAGCTCAGAATCTCTTTTGGCATGAAGCCTCTCGCCCAGCCCTTTCCACAATGAAGCAGGATGGGTTTTGGCAGTGGAGATAGCAGAGCAGAGGCCGTTCTCCCCCTGTCCTAAGGAGACAGTCAAAGGCATTAGCACAGTCTAGGCAAGTAAATGCACAGAACCTGTCCAGATCTGGCTGAGGGACACCGGGAGTTCAGCTTTATACGCTCTCCGCTGGGCCACAGGGATGGGCACAAATATCATCCTGAAGTTTGGCACAGTTGATAAGAGAACGTCTTTCCATGCTTAGGATAGCAGAATAATGCAGGCAAAGGATTGCAGTTCCTAAGGCTGCTGCAGGAATAGCCACTGGCCTGGGTGAGAACTGTGAAGTTTGGGATTGCAGGACAAGATGGTGTCTTGCTAGCAGGACAAGAGGGTGTGGGTTAGGGCTGAGGACCTGCACAGGAACAAACCATCATCTACACTGGTGGATGATAGTCTCAAGGCAATTCCTTCTAACCCCTCCGAGTGGAAACCCAGCCAGTCCTGAAAGGGATGCTTATGGCACAATGGCTGCCTAACCGATACTCTTTGAGCAAAAGGTAGAGGCAGTGAAAAATGCACTCTCCCTGCCAGAACCAGGGTGCTCTTTCTACAGGAGCTGCTATGGAAGCATTGTCAGAGGTTGCTGCTGGAAGGGCAAGGGGCTAGAATTCAGATTGTCATGCAAATTTCTCTTCATCCATGTTAGCACTCTCTGGACGAACTCAAAAGATATGCTCTCCGCATACCCCATGGAAGCAAGGCCTAAGCTAGCACTCTGTGATGCTCCTCATGGGTGCACTGGCACATGTTTGGCAGTGCAGGGAGGAAGGAGGAAATGCTCAGGAGGCATTAGCAGCTCAGAACATCTCCTTCCTTTGGTCCTATATATTGGCAGGGCCTTAATTCCAGCCTTGCTTTAGTAGGGGATGGATAGACTCTCATCCATCTTACCAACCAGGCTCCTTTCCCTCAACTGGTTATCAATCCCCATGTTCTGGGAGGCAGGAGGGGATGGGGGAAGCCTGTCCCACACCTTCTGGATGCCCCTCCCCCTCACTACAATACCCCAGGGGGCTGGGGTGGACGTCACAACGATCAGCAAAGAGAGACAGGAGAGAGGATGGGGACGGTGGACAAACCCAGCCGAATAAATTAAGGATAGGAGAGGAAGTTGAGGAGGGTCAGAGGCCATTGGTGCTGCTGCTGCTGCGCTGGATCAGGGGGACCTTGCTTAGCTCCACCACTGGAGAACGTGGCTTATGTTTCATCTTGGGCACCCTCTGCAGCACCTGTTGAGCTTCCTGGTAGGCGTCACGCAGCTCTTTCTTCCATTGCACCAGCTCCGGGTCACTCTGTGCACAAAAGCAGAAGGATTAGCATGACAGGGCATGGAAAATGCACAAGAGAATTATGTAAGCCATGCTGAGTTACCGGAGGTGGGATATAAATACATAAAAAAGGAAAAAAGCAGCCTTTAAGGCGCCATAAAGCTAAGACACTTGCAGCAAAAACAAGAAATGCAATTGCCCCTCTGGAAGTTGATACAAAGTGTTAGTGCTTCCATGCATCCTTTCTGAAGGGCCTCTCTCTCTGCCCTAGCCTATTTGCACTGAAAACCTCCCTGTCTAGAAGGGGTAAGGAATCCGGAGGCAAAGAGTTTCAGTCCGCTTCCCACATGTGTCCCAGTATAGCCCCAACCCCTAGAAACCTCTTCTCCTGTCACCTGAAATGCATCTGCCTATCTAAACTGAGACCCAGACAAAAGACTGCTCAAGCCCCTCAGGCATGATCTGTGCTAAGGCCACGTGGCTCTATGAGCATTCTTCTGTGTTCCTGGACCTCAGCTGCTCACCCATGTTTCCCTGTGCTTTGGAGTCAGAGCTAAAGTGCACAAGAAGGGGAGAACTGTGACACTCCATTGTTCATGCTGAAATAGGGCCAACAAGGCTCCTGCTCATATTAGAGGTCATGTGGGGTTGGGTCAAGGGATGGAGCCAAGGCTTGCTGGTCTTTCCAACCCTCCTTAATTTAGAAATTTGGCCACTGTTGAAAATTAGGTTTAACCAAGCTTGTTCAAATTTCTGAAGCTATGTGCATAGACACACATCTTTCTCAGACAGTCTCATGAACTTCTGTTCCAGTCCCTCCATGGACTACCATGGACTATATGGCCAGCAAAACAACCATACCCACTAACTACTTTCCTTTTTCATATGCAGAGGTTCCTACCTTTCCCACTCTTAATTGCCAGATGTGTTGTACCGTAACTCCCAGAATCCCCCAGCCAGTTGTAGTACAATACTTGTAGTAGTACAACAAGTACAATGTGAGGAAACTAGGTTGTGAAAGGCTGCTGCACTGAATGGAACCCTAAAATCCTAAAATATCTTGTTAAAATGCCTAGAAAATTATTCAGCAATAACACCAGCCAGAACTGAACCACATACTTAAGACACCCACAGAAATCAGGGAGGTGTGCAGAAGTGTCTTATTTTGACCCTGTTGGTCCCCTGGTAAGTCCGATGAACAAGTGTAACAAGAGTCTGCCAAAAGCTTAGAAGCCAGAGAGAATGTAAGAGAATCGGTCTTCCAGTTGCACCCATACAAATTCACAATCTAACAATGTGGTATTGCAGGTTGCCCCTCCTCTTCTAGATCTACCAGCTATAACAACAGAATCATGCAGATTTAACTAAATTCTACATGTCTGCTTAATATGCATAGATTTTTCTGATGGTAGTTTGCAGATGGTAGTTTACTAATTCATAATCCATTAAACCATGAACTATTCGTTAACTAAAATAGGAAGAACAGGAAGCACACGTGTTCTGAACTTCCTGTTTTTGCTTTTTTGTATAAAACAGAAATTTTACATCTCTCCTTTTGCCACATCAGGGGCTTCTGCATCTCTTTTTGTGGGCAATGTGAAAGTTCTATTTCAGACATAGCTGAGATGCACAGGAACAAGAGCTGCAAAATACCGTGCCTCGGATTTTTTGTGCGTAAGCATGAAATCCAAAGCTGATTTGTTTCTAACTGTCTACCACAAGGAAAGGACTAGCCACCCTTTCCCTGACTTTATCTCATCCAACAACGGCAACCTACTGAATCAAGACCACAGCATTGCAAGGAGCTGTTGAACTAATACTCCAGGTGACTTAAGTAAGCCATAAACTATAGGGCTGAAGACCAAACATTTCCCCTGTCACTATGGCTGATCTGCTGCAGACCCATCTTAATTCCAAATATAACATTTCATAAAGGCTGAGAAACTGAGCTGTGAAATCAAGAAGCCTCTGGTTCTAATCTTGCTTCTGCCTGAACTCATTAGGGGGCCTTGGGTAACCCCATCTGCATTGTGGGGACAATAACAATAAGGGTGACTGAGTTTACAGAGTTATTGTGTTTCTCAGATAATGGGCCAGTTCACACACTCAAAGTGTCCACTATGGCTTAAGCAGTCTCTGCATGTGGCCATTTTGAACATTCAAGCCCTGAGCATAGCTTGTCATCTTGTCTGAACCCAGCAGGGATGGGTTGGGCAATGGTTAAACAACCCTTGTATAACCCATGGCGTCTGTTATGCAAGGGTTGCTTAATTCTTGCACAAGTCACCTCTTTTATGTTTGGACAGCACAACAAGTCATGCTCTGGGCTTTAATATTCAAAAGCCTCCTAGCACACGCCACATCATGTGAAACTGGTCACCGCATGTGAAAAACGACTCCATCCAACAAACATGCCCTATCTGTGTACCCTGTGGGTGCATTTAGCAACTCCATGCTGCCCACTCAGAGTAACACTTGACAGGTTCAAATGGACTCTACAGTTGCAGGCACCAAGCTTCTGGCAATCACTGCACTCTTCAGACCCTCCTGCAGAAGAGGCTACACAAGAAAAGACTCACATCACACTGCAGAACAAACTGCTTGCCCCCCCTGATCTTAAGCAGGATGCACTTTCGATCCTTTATCTGTGTCTCCTCCACTGACTGGATCTCTTCCATGGTGAGCAAGGACTGCTGTTGTGGGGAGCAAAAGAATCTTTGGTCAGAGAAATCCAGCTATCAGCTTGAATAAGAATTCTGCATCCTCAGCCTAAATCTCTTCTGCAAGCATAGTCATTCACCCCCTGCCCCCCTCCCGCCCTCCCTCCCTCACACACACACACACACACACACACACTCTTGTGCCAGAGAAAAGTAAACTCCTGTGCACATACATGATAAGCCTTCACCCACCCTGAACCTGAACTTTCCCTTGCTTCCAACAGGATGGGGAAAGCTCTTCCTTACCGGAGACTCTCCCTCTCCACGCCATTCCAACCGATTTGGGAAGAGGTAGAAGTATCGCCTCTGCCACTGAGTAAGGAACGGGTTCCCCAGTTTTGACATGTATCCATGCATGATGCAGTCCTTGCCCAGGGCATAATCTGGATAGGCAGGAGAGACCAGAAGAGTCTCAGCAGCAGCAAATGGGTAAAGCAGCCATGTGCAACAAGACAGCCAGGGCCCAGCCATGGCTCAATGTATTTTATCATGTTTCAATGTATTTTATCATGTTGTAAGCCGCCCCGAGGTTTCGGCAAGGGGCGGCATAGAAATGTTATAATAATAATAATAATAATAATAATAATAATAATAATAATAATAATGGCTCGTCCCCAGGGTGGATGGAGAAGAAGCTGTTGCAGGGAGCTTCCAAAAGCAAACGCCCTGCAGGCAGTCTGGGTTTTAACAGGCAAGGCTTGCTAGCAGAGGTGCTCCTGGCACAGAGGACACGTCCTGAAAAAGGAGAACCAATGGCCAACAGGGCTCACCTTCCTCGTGGCCCAGCTGCTTGTTCTTGGCTCTTTTGCGGGCCTCCAATTTGTCAGTCTCAGCATTGACTGTGTCAAACACTGTTTCAGTCACCTCCTGCTGCCAACGCTCTGAGATGGTGAGTGGAAAGTTGCGATAGAGCTCTTGGTCACTCTCCAATAGCTGGGAAGAGAAGTGGATTATGGTTATTGTTTCCAGGATCCAAGGCAGATATGGGGACCAATAGTAGGAGAAGATTACTGCGCTCCTGTCCTGTCTGTACATTTCCCAGGGGCAACTGGCAGGCTGCTGTGGACTAGGAATCCAGCAGTCCTCTTGTGCTCCACAGTGCAGCCCTGGGGTAAGTCCCAAACAGGATGGCCAATAGGAAAGTTGGGAGTTGCTCTCCAAAACATCTGGAGGGCACTGGCACTGGGAAAGCTGCTGTAAAGCTTCTAAATAAAATTTAGCTAACATCAACATTTAGCTAACATTTAGCTACCACCTTTTTTAGAAGCAGACTTGCTTGACTCACAAGTATCAGGCTGGCCAGAGTCAGTATACTAGGCTAGGTGGACATTTGGTCCAAGTCAGCATGACAGTTTTTCACTACTCCATGGCACATACTTTGTAAGCCACTCAGAGAACCGTACTGGCTAATGTGGCAGGATAAAAATGCAATCAATCAATCAATCAATCAATCAATCCTTCTTTGTAAGCTGACAGCCTCCAGAAATGCCTCTTGCTTCCTGAAACCCACCATCTTTAGTTGGACATATGGACAACTAAGTCAGCCTTTCCAGTAAGAACCGAGGAAAAGCCAGGTTGAATCAGACCAAGGGTCATCTCATCTGGCATTTGACTCACACAAAAGTTAACCAGCTTTGTGTCAGCAACCTACATCTTCATACCTTCCAGAAGTTTTGGACTAAAACTCCCAGAAATTCTGACCATTGGCCATGCTGGTTGGGGCCATCGGGAGATGAAATCCAAAACATCTGGAAGGCCCAGGCTGGGGAAAAGTGGTTTAAACCTTGTGATTGGTTTATGTAGAATGTCTTAGAAAGAAAAAAAATATTTGTTCAACATATATTTAACCTTTGGAATTCATTAGCCAAGATGAAATGCTAAGTCACTAGCTTAAGTAGATCGACAAAGGCTTAAGCTAATTCATTTCTTTTAGTTGTGATAAATGGAACCACCATACTTAGAGGCAGTACAGCGCTAACTCCTGGGGTCAGGCCAGAGGGGGTGCCTATCTCCATCGTTCTCTCTGCTTGTGAGCTTCCTCGCGGTCTCTGGCTGAGGCTAGGAGGCAGCACCAAGACAGATGGATTTTAGGCTGATACAGCAAATCAGTCCCAGGTCAGCCCTTGATCTGCAGTCTGGTGCTGAACAGGTGTGTGGACCAAATCCAGTCCATCTGGGGTCCCAGTCCAGCTCACCAGGAGTTCCCAAAAGACAAGCCCCATTCCCATCTCCCCATCGCTAACAGTTTGATAGTTTCCTGGCTTTTGTGCAGCTTTCCTCAAGTTATAAAAGAAAAATGCCTTTCTTACATCTTAGTTGTGGGTAGTAAGAGCTTTAAGTTAGAATAAGCTGGCATTTTGTGACATTCAGCCCTGCCAACCACTGGAGTACCTCCCCGCAGCTTCTCCGAAATGGTCTGAAGGGGTTCCACATCCCTGATCGGCACTATCACAATCCTCCAGTGGCAACACCTAGTACTGCAGTGCTGTTCCACCATCAGCGTTGCTGCCTACCCTCTGCTGCCCAAGCTTCCACCATCTATTTGCAATTCAGCCTGCTCTGATTTCCTCATTTGGAAAAGAACAGGGACACACATTTTAAAGTAGAGGTACACTCAAACCAGTGAGCAGAAGCGGCAGCGGCAGCTGACCACCTGGGATCCCGGGGGCTGAAGAAGACGGGGGTGCTTCCCCTAGGTACCTTAATTCCTTTGGTGTCTTCTTCATCAAAGGAACCAATGTCAAACGCATCGGCTGCATTCACCTCTCCGCGTGGCGGGATCAAGGGAGGTGGATACTGTGGGGAGCCAAAAGCGAAAGTCAGCCAAGGGGTACAAAAGAGATAGTGTTCCCTTCTGGTTTATTCCTTCCTCAGGATGATCAGGCAGACCCTCTTTTCCCCAGCCACACAGGCCCTCCAAACTGGGCTGTCCGACTCACCTTCTGGAGGAAGACCAACTGCCAGTCTAGGCCCTGGAAGAAGGGACTCTCCTTGACCTCAAGAGCCCTATTGGAGATAAGATGGCAGATCTTACTGAGCCCTCAGGGACTACAGAACATCTAATGGGAAGACAAAAAGCTTGGAAGCAACATCTTTTTCATGCACAGCAAACACAAACAGAATGCTGCATTTGTGTCCAGCTAATCACAGAGCAGTTTCCTTTGAGGAAAATACGTTCAATTTAAAATCTGCCAGAATTCGTCTTGGCCTAACCATTTCTGAACTTGTTGACCTTTCCTTCTTATATTAATTTGGCATGCTGAGCCTTCTCTGCTCCAGAAAAGTAGCAGTTCTGTTTTGCTCCAGGAAGGAAAAGCTGTGATTCTTTATGTGCATAGAATCTAGCACTTGGCAGAGAAGGCAGCTTCCTGAGAAAGTTGTGTTCTATTTTTTGAAGGCAAGTTTCTTGCTTTGTGGCTTTGAAGAGACAGGTAGGCAAAACCTGTTGAAATCTGAGACAAAAGAAGTGACAAAATGCAGTTTCTAGTAGCAGGGGAGAAATTAGGCCAAAAGCAATAAAGTAAACAAATAGCAGGATAAATTGTGCATAACAAGAGAAACTGTGCAAGCCTGTTGAATTTACATAGCTTGCACAATTAACAGAAACCAGCTTTTGTTGTTCAAGAATTTGCACTGCTTGGCACACAATGCTGCTTGATGGAAATTTACCCATTGTAGCACAAGCCTGCACAGGGAAGAAACTACTTCACCAGAGAGGCATGGCATGAAGAATGTCTGGTTCCTTCAGGGAACACATTAGTGTCGTGATTCTATAGGTGTTTCCCAAGAGCATGTAAAACAACCCCTTTGGGGCTAAGATGATTTAATCTGCTACTTTTCAATGAGGGCAAATTAACATCCAGCTATGCTACATCTACTTAGGCAGGCTCCTGTCCATTATCTTCCCTAAAAGGATACCATATTATAAGGGGGTTTCAAAAAGTAATAGCAAGTCGTATCTTTGAAAATGATTGCTTATTATTGCTAAGCTGTTCTGATAGTCCTGATTTTTCTAAACTTCCAACAGCTCAGTTCTAACACTGGAAATTTTTGAAAGAAGACTAAAAAAAGTGGAGGACAAAAACAGAGGTGAGCTGTAAAAGGAAGATGGCTATATGGGGGTACTGCAGGGAGGCACATGAGGTACATAATAAAAACTGAAAAGCCACAGTGGGTCCTTTTCTGAATTCCATGACTGCATGTTTAAAGAGCTTCTCAGTAACTATTAGAAGATCAGAAATTGGTTCATTTTTAAACAAATACAACTGGTGATTCTTTGAATTCTAGATCCTATCTTAGGTTCTGTGCTGTGCAGGCACATGTGAAGAGCCTAAAACCTTTGTAAAACGCATGCACATATGCACACACACACTCCTTCATTCCCTCAGTACGTAAACCCTGCTTTACAGTCAACTAAACTGGGGTATAACGTTGTGGCTTGAGTCAGCACCTGAGGAATTGGGCAAGCAGATAGCCTGGGAAGGCCAAGCCAAAAGCAGAACGGTGGAGAGTGGTTTCTTCTTTTTGCAGAGCCTGTTCTGTAAAGCCTGTTTGCTTCCTTTTTGTTTATTTTTTCAGTTTAAGAAATTTGCACAGCTTTTTCCGAACAGTAAAAAAAAAAAAAATGTTAGGCTTGTGATAGTGTATGTCTGACAAAGCAAGCCTTCCCCGGGCAATGTCCTGGGGGTGTCCACTACCAAACCACAGCAGACACTCACCATGAGCACTGACCTAGAGAAACTGCAAAGAAGCTTCTTTTTTACTTGTGCTGGAAAAAAAAACAGGGTGACAAACCAATAATACCTCCTTCTAATGTCCCAGTTAGGCACCGCAAAGGAGCTGTCACTAGCTGTCAAACTGGGAATTGCTTTTTGCCGTCTCCAAAAAGGGAAAAATCACTGCAGGAGTGCAAAAGGGCGCATGATCACAATGTGTGTGTGTGTGTGTGTGTATGGGGTGGGGGGGGCAAATCAGACAGATCCTGCTGTGGGAGCCTCTGGGATACTTGCAGGAGGACTGAATGGGAAGGGGGCTGGACACAACCCATAGCGATCCCATTGCCTGTTGGGTGCACTGTGGACTGTTTCATTTTAACTTATTTGCAGGGTGGGGTGTCACGATGTGCGAATTCTCCCATAAAGAAGAGATATATCTGAAAATTGTCCTCGTTGTTGTGGCAAGTATAGCCCCTGAAAATGGCACTTTCTTCATTCTGTCCAGATTTTTTAAAAAGCATTTTAGAAGAGAACTGCCTTCAGATGCAATTCTCTCCTATTTAGAATGCTCAGGTATACCTGGCAGCAGAAGGGGAAACACCAGAAAACCCTCACAGCCCACTCAGTCCCCCACCCCGACACCCGGCTTCTTCTGCTCCTCTGAGAGACTCACCCACGGCCCATGCAGCCCAGGCGACGGTTGACGTCCCTCTGTAGCAGCCCCTCCAGGAGGGAGCGCAGCTCAGGTGAGAAGGACTCTGGCAGCTCCACAGCCTGTGGGAATGAATGAGGAAGGCAGGGTTAGATGATGGAACTGGCAGGCGAGGTGGCCAGATCTGAAAACAAGAGCAAAGTGTCATGGGAAACCAGACTGGTCCTGCCTGTAGGACTGGTCCTTTGTGTCCACTCCTCCAACTGTTCCTCCTCATGAATGGCAGCTTACAGAACTCCTGGACCAGCCTCTTCATTCATACTGCCAGGAGGAACAAGGCTCCCCAGTTCAGGATCCCAGTCAGATTCCTCAGGAAAGGCAGTGGGAGGCTTTTATTTTGTGGGACTGTAGTTGCAAATGCAAGAAGAGGAGGGAGAGGAGAGGAAAGAGGCAGGGGTGGAGGATCTGCAGCCCAAAGGGCCATGTGTGCTTTCAGCCTGATTTCATTACTCAGCTGCCTAAGCACTGCAGGCTCCACTTTGGTGCCCTGGGCTTCCTCCCTCTGGAAACGGCTTCCCCTTCTGCCTTGCATGTTTACATGCGAGCCAAGCAGGGAAGGGAGAGCAAGAGGAAGGGGAAGATGCAGACTGAGATGCTAGAGGGCTGGATTCACCCCGCACAGTATAAACTTTTGATAGATACATGAAGACTGAATCGGCACATTCCGTCCATCTTGTATAAGTTTTGCACCTATCTTTTCTCCCCATTTGTTGCCATTATTGTCTGTAATATTTATGGCTGGTAAACAAAAAATAACCCAACTTGGAAATTACCTTTGTCCTTCCAATTGTTTTATTTTCTACCCAATATGTTGACTGGGTGTGTTGAAGTATTTTTTGTATGTAAAAGCAGCTGTTCCTGCTGTAGATGACAAAAATGGTGGACGTGCAATGTTCTCTACATGCACATTTCAAACCTGTGTGAAGGAAGGTGTCCATCTACATGATTTCACTTTTTATAAAGTGAATAGTATTTAATTTAAAGTTGTACCACACTTTAAAGCTTCATACAAATTTTGTCCTGGATGTTATCCTGTCCAGAACAGCAGCTGTCCACAACAAAAAGAGTTTCTGAGTTCTTAATTAGAAACCTAGTTTTGGACATGTTGTTAGATTTGCCATTTATTTCTAAACTCTAAAATGGACAATAATCTCTTCCTGACAGACTTCCATGACAGGAAAATTAAAAAAATACCATATTAGCCAAGCCAAAGTATGGTGTTTTCAGGTCTACCTCATACGGTGGAGAAATGGAGGTAGTGACAGATTTTATTTTCCTGGGCTCCAAGATCACTGCAGATGGGGACTGCAGCCAAGAAATCAAAATATACTTGCTCCTTGGGAGGAAAGCTATGGCAAATTTAGACAGCATACTAAAAAGCAGAGACATCACCCTGCCAACAAAAGTGCATATAGTTAAGGCTATGGTTTTCCCAGTTGCAATGTATGGCTATGAAAGTTGGACCATAAGGAAGGCTGGGCGCCAAAGAATTGAGACCTTTCAATTGTGGTGCTGGAGGAGACTTCTGCGAGTCCCTTGGACCACATGGCGATCAAACCGGTCAGTACTAAAGATCAATCCTGACTGCTCTTTAGAAGGTCAGATACTGAAGATGAAACTCAAATACTTTGGCCACCTAATGAGAAGAAAGGACTCCCTGGAGAAGAGCCTAATGCTGGGAGCAATAGATGGCAAAAGAAGAAGGGGACGGCAGAGGATGAGGTGGTTAGATGGAGTCACTGAAGCAGTTGGTGTGAGCCTGGGTGGACTCTGGAGGATGGTGGAGGAGAGCAAGGCCTGGAGGAATGTTGTCCATGGGGTCGCGATGGGTCGGACATGACTTCGCAACTAACAACAACAACTAAAGGTCCCGTGGCATAGCTGTATCTATTATTAATTATTATTACACTTATATCTTGACTTTTTCCCTTGCAAGGAACCCCAGGAGGGCTCTCCTCTTCCTCTCCATTTTAACTTCAGGACAGCCTTGTGAATGGGTTAGGCTAAGAGTCAATGGCTGCTGCAAAGCATCATGGCTGAAGGGGGACCAGAACCTGCATTTCCCAAGTCTTCCACTCTGGCCCTCCACACTATTTGTGGAGTTCCCTGCCACAGAAAATGGCTAATGGCCACCAATATAAGAGGGCTTCTACGTGAATTAGACAAATTAAAGAAGAGATAGGTCTATCCACAGCTATTAGACATATCTACTAAATGACAAGCCTATGCCCTGAGGCAAACTAACAATGGATTCAAATTCCTGGGAGACAGGCAACAGCAGGGGAGAGCTTTTGTCTTCAGGGCCTGTGAGTGGATTCCCTAGAGATGTGTGGCTGACCACTGCTGGAAGCAGGACGCTGGATAAAATGGGAATTTGGCTCTGGTGTGGAAGGGTTCATTCTCTATTCCACTGACTTTAAAAAAATCCCTTTAGTTTTAAATTTTCTACATGCTCTTATGAAGCACCAGGATATGTACAACCAAGACCAGCAGTCACCTCAAGTAGCAGATGCTACGGTGATGGCAGCATTTGTAGGTCCCACTTGCTTATTAATATCAATTATGTGCACCAATGTCAAATGTGCAGGGTGAGTCATAAACATGATTCTCACAACAGTTCTGTGACTCTTTTTCTGGTTGAGTCATGCACTGGCCCCTGGCAGGCGAGTTCATGTCCAAGCTGGAACTCGATCTGAAGCTGTCTCACTGTAGTTAAGTGGCTTCCATTGGTTAGACCATTGCCTTATTCTAACCAGTATCCCATACACCAGACATCTTCATAAGAACTGCCCATTATATAATCCACAAGCCACTGCTGATGCCTGGGTTAGAAAACTACTATGGTAAATAACCAAAGGGAAGGCAGATACATTCTCTGTTTTAGTCATGCCCTCTCCTTATTTCATAACCTAAGGCTGCTTCACAGCTCCAAAGGAGAAACTATATATAGAAATCAGTCATGTTGCCTCAATAAATTATAGGTAATTCTGTTCTGAGTCCAGCCTCACTAACTAACTTGAACAAAACTCTATAGAATTTGCATTTCATAACATGCTGCACACAGAGGAACAGCAGCTGCAGAGCACAAAACCAAGAGAAGCTGCCAGACAAGACCTTCTGATTGTATCCTTTCTGAGCAGATTTGTCCTGAAAAGCTTGATGGCCTGGCCACTTTGGCAAAACCTGGACAACTTGCCCTGCCACACAATTACCACCACGTTGAACAGAAGTACATCTGCTTACATCTCCAAAGCTTCTCCAGAGAAGAAAATTTCTTTGCGATTGTCTGTAAGGTATGAATAAGAACCTGGAAATAATGAGGATCTTAAGGCAATAGTAGAACACCAGAACTATCTGGCCAGGTGTATCAATCTATGTACCTCTCTTACACACACACACACACACACATGGAGGAAGGGAGCAAATCAGCTAACCAAAGGAGACACCAAAACTTACATAACTAGATGATTCAAATTTTGGGGTCATTTGATTTGGAAGGTGAATTATGGGGCTTTGATGGAGAATAACTCTGTGTGGAAATGTGTCATCTACCAAATTTTTGAGGGCCAACAGAGGGCATAGTTGTCAGAACAAGTTATCATGAAGGTGTTCCAACTCCACATGAAGCCACTGAGTAGGGCTCCGACAGAGCAGCACGGGAAGCAAGCTATGCACCCCACCGGATGAGGGCTGGTTAGGAGGCGGGAGGAGATCTGAGGTTCTGCAGCCCCCAAAAGGTGAAAGGCACAGGATCGATGTTGGGGAGACTTGGGATAAAGGCAGATCCCTGACAAAAGTAGCTTACCATAGTGAGTGTCATGCGGTCAATCTCATGCTTGTCCTTAGTCTTGTGCTGCCGAAAGGGACTGTGCCTGAGATAAGGACAAGGAAGGTGTCGATGGAGGTTCTGGTCTCACCTGAACCCTTTCAAACATTTTTCTTCCCACACATATCGCATTCTTGTAGTGCCAGGGTCTCCAACCCAACGTCCCCCGTCAAACACAGTTCCCTCTGCCAGTCACACATCCTGCCTCCCATGTAAGCTTCTCCACCCTGGACTTACCCCCATGGTACCCACTTACCCCCTCAGGAGTTTGAAGAGCATGCAGCCCAGAGAGAACCAGTCGGCACTGCTGTCATAGGCCACCCCTTTCTGTAGTACCTCTGGTGCCATGTACCCATGTGTGCCACTGTGGGGGTGGAGTAAAGTAGGAGTTAGGGAGAGTGCAGCACCAGGAAGAAGCCCTCAGCAGCACAGATCAGCAGAAGGCAGATTTATCCATCCACGTGGGGACATGCATCTTGCAAACAGACACAAATTACTCTTATCACCATTTTTAACTTCAATCAGCAAGAATTTGCTCCCTAGGAATGTCCTAATGGGAGTAGTTTCAACTGGAAATCTAGAAAGGGCTTTTGCAACACCAGTACCTCCTAAAAGGCACCTTCAGCAGAACAAGTGATCACACTCACTCAGGAACAAAAGCATTTGTTTCTGCGGTGGATGGGAGCATGGGATTGCACGGGCTTATCCTGCCCAACTCCCTGAAAAGTCCCTTTTACAGGGGTTTACAAGCGGAAAGCCAACATGTGGGTGCCTGAGGCATGCAGTTAGTGGCTCTCCCTCTTGCAGGGTGCAGGTCATACCTCATGGGCCTTCATCTGTGGGGATCTTTGCACATTCCAGTGGTGTGTGGAGCAAAAAGGGTGGGCCCAAATACAAACAATACCAGCATACTGCAGTTTAAAACAGTCACTGACAGGAACTGTGACTTAGGAGAGGCATTCCAACTTTTCAGGATGCAGAAAGCTGTGTAAGTTGAGAAGCCACCAATCAATCATGGGCTGCAAGAAATAGGGTGGGCCAGGAGAAGGCAGCTTACTCATCTGAACCACCCCAGAGGGTCAGATTTGGGCTCACAGTTCCCCATCCCTTGCATAGAAGAACAAACGTCTAAACAGAGCTGGAGGAACTGATGATGGAAAAACCCGTATCATCAGAACTCAAGGACAAGGGTGGGAGAACTGTTCCCACGTTCATGGAAGCCCAGCACTCTTGTCAGGGAGTTGTCGCAGGGCTAGACAGGATGTGATGGGGAAGAGATTTCTTCCTGGATACTCACACGCTAGCATGAGGCTTCTTTTTGGAGAAGTCACAGGCTAGTCCGAGATCTGAGATGCGGACATGGCCAAACTCATCCAGCAAGATGTTGGCTGGCTGTGGGGACAGGAGTGGTAAGGAACAAAGGTTATAGCAAGAAGTGGAGTCAGCATGGCAGGAATTGAGGAGCAAGCACTGCCTACCCAAACCCTCTTCCATCCTGCTGCCGCTTGGGCCTGTGCAATAGTACTGTGGGGTTTAACAAATAAAGGGAAGCCTTTGTGACGATATGGAAGAAGCAGTTTCTGAATGCTTAGTTCAGCTCCTGCAATGGGTGGACTCAATTTTGAGGAGGGATTTAATAACCTCATGATATACGAAACACGCAACAAGGCATGATCTTGTCCCACTTCACATCAAATGACAATACGATTCGCAGAGAGGATGTCTAATTGCTTTGAACGCCACGCTGCCAAATCCCAAGGCATTCCAAGCAGGAGGGCATATTGTTCAGAACAAATTCTACCCCCTTCAATAAAATAACATCAAACTATCTTCAACCCTCCATTTTCTGAGATAGCAGCAGAGAACCCAGTTCCAAATATTCCTAGTGATGAACGTTTCCACCACCCCAAAACTAGACATGGCACACAGTGTTAACATTGGCATCTAAGGAGAAGGTGATGACGTAGCTTCAAGCTGCACCACAGGATAGTATTTTTGCTGGGGCTGGGAGCAAACCCTTCCCATGCCAAGACCCTCACCCTAACCCTACACTGAAGACAGCACTAGCTCCCTCTGTGAAAAAGATGAGGCAGCCTGTGACGGGGCCGGCTGCTCCCTTGGGCCGTGTTGCGGGCGGGAAGGGATGCCACGCACTCACCTTGAGGTCTCGATACACCACAAAGCGGTTGTGCATGTGCTCAAGGCCCAGGATGATCTCTGCTGCATAGAAACGCATCTCGGCCTCAGAGAAGACCCCGTGCTGGGAGAGGTGATAGTGAAGGTCGCCCCCTGCAGAAGGTAGACCAGAGAGGCGCATGACGTGCACGGCCAGGACATTCAGGGAGCAGCGGAGCAGCTGCAGTGGCACGGCTCGCGGGGGGAGAAGGGCAGGAGGACGGGTTCCCTCTCACCATTCATGAGGTCCAGGATGAAGCTTAGCTTGTCCGGCGTTTGGAAGGCATATGACATGCAAACGATGAAGGGGCAATCCTGGCAGAGACACAAGGAGCAAAGTCACAACAGAAGGGGGGGAAGATGAAACATAGAGCGTGCAGGCACACAAGTGGATCATCCCTCTATTTTCTGCGAGGGGCATTTCTGCTCACACCCACACTCCACACGCCTTCCTGCATCCTTGCTGTGTACCCCACGCTTCTCCTCTGCTCTCGCCAAGGAATCCCAGGCTCATTCCTGCTAACTACCAGGTTCTCCTACGAACACAGACTTGTGTTAGGCAAGCATGTAGGATACTTGGTCTCTTGCCTGACATGCTGGTTCTGCCTCATCTTTTAATCCCTCTCTCCCATTCACAATCTCTGCAGTGTACATTGCACCACTTCCCACACAGCCACCACACAATGATCCTGCTTTTTTGCATCTCTCTCTCATACACACACATACACAGAGACAGAGGGAGGGAGGGAGAGATGCACATAGGCTTTCTTCTCACAGACACCTGCAGTGGAATTCCACCTCCCTTCCATGTACATGCACACCTCATGCCCGCCTTCTGCCTTCACACACATCGCCCCGTCTCTCCTCCCTTCAGGCCCTCGCCGTGCTGGCAAAAGGGCTGCCACACGCCAGCCCTTTTGCCAGCATCCTGCCCCTCCCAGCTCCATGCCCAGTTCCAGTTCCGGCATAGATGGCTTCCCTTCGTCACAGCCAGCCTGCTCACCGGGGTGCTTGCTGTTTTTAATCCCACATCACAGCCGTGACTGCAGGCACAAGGCTTGCCCCAAGCATTTGCCTCGACTGGCCACATCGCTCCCCATCTCCAGTGGCCAGATGCCGCCCTGGGCAGACGCAGGGCTCCTGCCTCCTCCCCACCTGCCCCAGTGGCTCAGGACCACCAAGCTCACCCCAGTGCTGACAAGAGACAGCATGATGCGCTCATTCAGGGCCAGTGTCTCCCCCTGCTTCATCTTAATGCGCTTCTTATCCAGACACTTCATGGCGTACCTTTAAAATCAGAACGTGAAAATAATCCTGCTGTTATATTCTTGCAGTGTTGCTGCTCCCCAGGGAATCATTCCAGCTGCTCTCTCTCCATGCAGGACAGGATGAATTAATATCCCTCTATCATGCACTTCCTGAGCAACTCCCTGAGGACATCAGTTGTCCATCAGCATCTTGAGCCGCCTGCTGTGACTACTCAGATGCCCCCAAACCTTCTGCTTTTAACAGGAGGAGCTTTGCCACACTTGTCTCAGTGCTGCCTTGTAATATTCTCCAATATATCTCCACATCGCTCCCTCGCATCTCTAAACAGTCAACAGCTGCATTAGGCCAGCCTGTATCCTGTCTGAATATTTCTCTTGCCAGCTAGTGCTCAGGATGTGAATGCGAGGCAAAATGGACAGAGCCCCCTCTGCACTGTATTGGACTTGGCCAACAGTAGCAGAACAGGAAACGCAGTGAACTTAGAGGAACAATTCTGAAGTTTTCCAAGGCTGAAACAAGGAACCACATGGTCGGCCCCATGGGGGAAGAGTTGTTGCAAATACAGGCATTTCAAAGAAAACTGGAATTCTGACACTTTGGACCCTTCATGGGCCAACGTGTCAGAAAGTAACCACAGTATGTCCCTAGTCTAGAGTGGAGATGGGCACCTACTGGCTCTAGGTATTTTGAGACTTCAGCTCCTATGTAGCTAAGGTTGATAGGAATTGTAGCTCAATTTATGGAGGACTACAAATTGCACGCTCCTGAACTAAAGATCATGTAAGTGCAGCCATATTTATGTTCCATTTTGGATAGAAACACACTTTCTTATCTGACAGAACCCCATTCTCTGGGCTTTTTTATACAAGGGGGTTAAATCCACTGTGTTTACTTTCACTTTTGTTGTTAAATTGCAATCCATCTATTATACATGTATTTCCTTTCCTACTCTTCCACTGCATTGCCTCTAGGTGGCATTGTGCCATAGCAGAATAACACAAATATACAAAAGGAAATGGTACTTTCTTTCATAATTAAATGTTGCATTTTCCCTTCTGCTTAAAAAAAAAAATCACTAAAAATACTGGTTACTCACAAAAGCAAAACTTGGGATTCACACCATCTAAAGAACCTCTTGACAACCATGAGTATAATACCTCATGTACAAAAACTCCTTGTCCTTAATCAGCTCCATTTTTGCTTGTCACAACTGAAGTGGAGATTTCGTGTGGTTACTGGATGAAAAATAGAAGTCCTGGGGCCAAGATGCTTGAACGATTGTCTCTCTCCACATTGGAATCATTTCTCTGGGTCCTCTACCCTCTGAGGACACATGAGTACTCACTGGAAAGAGGACCTTTCTCAGTGGTGATGCCCAAATTGTGAAATTCCTTCCCAGGGTATGTATGTTTGATGCTTCATTATTAACTTTTAGGCACCAGGTGACAACTATCCTATTCTCAAGGCTTCTAATGGTGTCTGATTTATCTTTTTACCGGAGTATGTTAATCCTATTTTGTGTCATATTTGTCTGCCTTCTGGTTTGAAAGCTTTGATGTTGCCATTTATGATGCTTGTTGCTTTATTTTGTTTTCAGGCGCCTTGAAACTTTACTGAGTGAATAAACTGAGCTGCTGACACTATGCAGGCACTGATCATTTTTCCCAACACTTCATACGTTTGTTAGAGGGTTCTGGCCTCAGGATTAGCACTGGTGTAGGTCCCCAGTCAATAAAGGAAAGCTGGAAAAAGGCCTCTGAGAAGCCTGCTTGTAGCTGGGTTAGACACAGAAACAAAAGACCGTGCCGGAAGCCAGCGGCTGCTTGCTCACACTGGTTCTGGGGAGCAGCAGGACTGACCAGGAGCTCAGCGATCAGACGGTCAGCATCACAGTTCTTCACAGCAGTTTGTGTAAGAACAAACAAAGTATACTCAGCTCCAATGTAAGTTTATCGAGACCTCGATGGCATAGCTTAAAATACCACAGGGACAGGGAAGTCCCCTCTGTTGGAAAGTGCCAGTGAGCAGGGTGGCAAGGAAGGCATTTCTGGTACTGAACCTGTGACCACACCAGGCTTGCTCTCATGGGTTTTTCATAACATTTGCCCAAACAACCCTCCACATTACATTTTGCCCGTGTCTGCTTTCCGGCATCCGTAGACCTCTCCAAAGCCACCACGCCCAATGATCCGGTGAACGCTGAAGTCATTCATGGTCAGCTGAGTCCCACAGTGCAGGGAGGGAAAAACAGCAGCAGAGAGAAAAAGAAATCAAGAGCAAAACAAGAATGTTAACATGCTGGGGGAGCCATCATTTTGCCCCCACTCCACAATAACACAGTGCAAGTAGCACAAAGCAGCGCCAAGGCTTCGGAGAAGCTGTGCCTGGGACTCCTCCATCTGAACAGCTTTCCACAGGCACTTTTCTCACCTCCAGGCACGGCTGTTTGGGGGTTCTCTCAGTGCTCAATGTTAAATCAAGACTAGAGATTACTTTGTGTCAGTGAGGGCTGAGCAGACTCACTCTTGTGGTCCTTAAGATATCGCTGAACGGCAGCCAGGACAGGGATATGGCCAAGGACAGGGATGCTACCTGAAGCTATTCCCCAGGGCCTCATATCTATTCTCCAGAGCTGCAAGTGTCCACTGCAGCCAATAAAAGGTTTTTTTCCTCACCTTAAGGGCCCTGTGGGAGGGGGGGCAATTTTCAAGATTCATGTTTCCACTGGCAGGTGAAGCGTTAATACCCCTCCTCACATGCCCCAACAATACATGGCGATGAGACCTGGGACCCCCCCCCCCCCCCCAAACCAAACCAAACCAAACACTTCACTGACTCCAATGGAACTCTGAATCTTTTAAGTGCCTGGCAATACTCTTTCATCAAGAATGTGGGAGTTGTAGGCAACAATGCACGGCAGGCTACAGGTTCCCCACTCCTAGTCTATTAGATTGGGATTAAGAAAGGCTTTGCTCCTAAACTCTCCCAGCCTTCAAATCTCTCTCCCAATAGCCAGGCAAAGCCCACGCTCATGCTCCTTCCCTGTAGCGTCCAAGACCTCCTGAGGCTGGGGATTGCTTTTGCACCGCATTACCAGCACTCCACAAATCCTGTCCCCTTTGCCACGCTAAGCTAAATTGGCCACAAGCAGGTCTATGCTTCGTGTCTCTTGACAGTTCCTTGCTTATCGCTGTGGCTCTCTGGAATGCCCTCCCAGGCACTCACATGGATGTTCAGCTCCACATTCTTCCACTGGCAGAAGCGTGTGAACTTGTCACTACAACGGAACAGGAGAAGGAGAAATGAGACAGAGTGTACCATGAGAACGTGCACATTCCTGCCTGTTCCATCTATTCTGCAAGCCAGTCCTATGCAAGTTTATCCAAAAGCGTGCCCCGGCGATTGAGTGCAGACAACAAGATAATCTACACTCAGCGATGGTGCACAAGTTGAATGCGCCCTGTTCTTGAACCACGGGGTTACCATTGAAGCATGGGGTACTGGAAAGTTTGTGGCCATGCAAACTAAGGCTGCAAAACGGTGGCCACTGGAGGGAGAACAGATGACACTGATTCTGCTACCCACTTTTTTTAAACCACACAATTCAGCCCAGCAACCCCCTTCCTAGAAATTTCGCCAGAATAACAGTGTAGGTAGGGAAAGCCATTTGTGGAAGGCCCCACTTATTGGAAGCAAAGGAAGTGGGAGAAAAAGAGTGCCATTTCATACATAGGCAAACTGAGGCAGCAGGCAATTAAAGGCAAAGACTGCAAGAAAAAGAGTGTGCTTGGATCACATAATTGCACCACACTAAGTTCACAGAACCAACAGAAAGCAGACTTTTAAAAAAGTGGATTAAGAAAACAACTCCCTGCATTCTGCCAGAGCATGTAATAATGCAGAGAAAGGCATTTATGGAAGAGCCAACTTCTTCAAGATTTAAAAGAAAGGAAGAAGGGGCAGCAGGAAACCCAATTTACACACAGGCAAATTGAGGCAGTAGGCAATTAGTCAAGAGAGAGTGTTTGAGTTACATATCACATGATTTCTTAAAAGTGTGGCCCAGCAAGCATGAAACAGGGGGAATTTAGTCAGGAATATGTATTCCAAGGCCTTTATTTGAGCCAGCAAAAGGATTTTGAAAACCACATGTTCACAATGTGACTGAGATGTATTATACAGTAAAGAGAAAAGGATATCATGCATGAGCCAATAAGATACATTTGTGAAAGAAAGGAAAACACAGCTCCGAATTTACAAACCTGCTCCCCATGTATCCTGAGTAACAACACAGGGAAAATAATTTCTATCAGCACTGAAGCAAAGTGGAGGTGTGGGAAGGTGCGGGGGGAGGGGGGATTTTTATACACACATGAATTCAGTGAGACTTACTTCTGAATAGATTTACATAGGATTGTTCCATATATCCCATCATTTGAAAGTATATGAATCACTTGGCAAACAGAAACACATAACCAATGCCAATATGTCACAATAACAACAACAACAACAACAGTAGTAGTAGAAGTAGTAGTAATAATAATGATGATGATGATGATGATGATGATGTGTCCTCTAATAATAATAATGTGTCTTAAGTTACTGCAGCTCCATAAATGAAAAAGGTTCTGGATTAAGGATAGAATCCACCCACACCTAAAAATGAATTAATTCAGCTCTGGAAAGAATTATATTCTTTTTAAAAAACTGTATTAGGGGAAATGACCCGCCACTTCAAGAGAATGATCGCCTACCCACACACAAAAGAACAAAGATGTTCAGAAACCAGCAGCAGCAAGAAAAAGGTTTTTTTTTTTAATTATCAGTGAAACTATATAATACAGTGACGGTTATGATGATATTCTTGAAACTGTTCCAAGCCCACCACCCCCACCCCCACTAGAGTTTGGCGGCTGCATCCTCCTCCTGTGCGAATGCAGCGCCTGGTCAGATGCCTCTGAGGGAGTACAACCCATTAACCCTTTCACTGCCCAGGAGTGCTCCTTACACACTGATCCCCTCCAATCTGGGCACTGATTGGCTGCCCAGCAGCGCTCCTTTAAGCAAATTATGCCCTTTCCTCCTCTTTGCAAGCTTGCGGTTGCGTGTGGCTGTGCAGGCACCAATGTGATGCTCACTGCTGCTGCCCAAGAGGAGCTCAGGCGGCAGGCATTAGATTTTGACAGCCATGGCAGGGATCCACGCAAGAGAAGCTCCCAGAAAAAGAAGAGGAAGGCAGCGCTGCCCTGCTAGGACTTCTGCAAAGACGACTTCTGGCTCTTGGGTAGTTTTTGCCACTGTACCTCCACTACCAGTCACCCTTGGCTATTTTGCCTTACTCCAGCTTTGCTCACAAGCCATGGTTTGTTAACCATGAACAACCCATAAAGAGAACCCATGGCTTGTTGTTAGGTTGTGAACAGTGGGTTATTTCAGCTGTGTTCAGGCCTTATGATAACCCCATGTTTCAGTGAGAAGCCATGGCTTAACAACAACCCACACAACCCATACTTAACCATTGATTTTGAATTACTGTGTTTTCAAACCCAATCAATGTGTCCCACAGCACTTACTCTGACGTGTGTGTGCACCGCATTGTGCCTTACAGAGCTTGTGGGTATTTACTCAGAGGTATGTCCCACTGTACTCAATGGGTATTACTTCCATGTAAATCTGCAAACTTCAAAATGTACTGTCACCACTTTCAAAGAAATGTCTCAGTAAATACAGAGGTCATACGTAGCCACAGCTCCACATTTAAATTTCAGCATCATTTTCCCCATTATTCTCCCTTGGATGAATTTATTGTTATCTAGGCGTTTCTCTCCCATCAGACATCCTCTGCCAAAGATTAACTCCAAAAAGCAAGCCACAGCCTCACACCACATCCTAACAGGAAACTCACTTTCTGAGTATGGCTCTTGGTATAACTAAAACAGCACTACCCACACACAAGAGGGCGGTATCAGCAAGAATCAGAGAGCCCTCCTCCCCGCCAGGGTTAGAATATTAATAATAATAAAACATTAGAAAAATCTGTAAAGGGAGAATTCTCCTACATACACACCAAAATCACAACATAACAAGACACTTCAGTGAGATTAAGCATAGCCAGTGGGCAGTGAATACTGACTATGGGCCTACCCCGTTACATTGCACCTCACAGATGTTGCCTTTTGTACAAATTGAAGTTTTCTTGCAGCCCTGCATCAAGCAAGTCTTTTGGTGCCATTTTTCCACAGCATTTGCTTGCTTTATGTCTCTGTGTCACATTATGGTAATTCTTGCAATATTTCAAACTTGCCACAGCACCCCAACCTCTGCAGCCTCCACCCCGATCAGTTAGCAGCCACCAACATTGAGGCTAGTCCCTCCAGCGGCAAAAAGATTACAACTTGCTGAAGGCTTGGATGATGGTAAGCAGTTTTTAGCAATAAACTATTTTTATTAAGCTATGTAAGACATAATGCTATTGCACATTGAGTAGACTACAGTATAGTGCAAAAGCAACTTTTCCAGGCACTGGGAAACAAAAAAAAAAAAAAATTGTGTGACTTGCTTTATGGCTTGACGGCAGTGGACTGGAACTGAACCTGCAATATCTCCGAGGTATGCCAGTAGTGGGGAAACATGGAAAACCAGCAAAGGAGCAGGGGAATGGAATAGCGTATCCAGCAAAAAGGCATGGCTGGCTAACTGGCTGGAACCCTGAACTGATGCACTGCAAAGGCCTGTTGTAAATTCCACTTGTAGAATCTACACCCCTCCGTACTCACCTCTCAATGAACCTCTGGAAGATAGTCCCACGCAGACGCAGGCAGATCTCTTCAATGTACGGCTGGCAGAAGAGGAAGGACAGACAGGAAGAAAGATCATGGACTTGCCCATTAACCTTTCCACCCACTGATCCCATGTCTCATTTGCATGGCCCCTGCAAGGTTTAGGGATGTGAAAACCCCTGGCCTGCAAGACATGAGAGCCTCAACAGCAAACACTGTAGAACAGATGGGCCCAGTTGGTGCCTGAATATCTCTAGGTTTGGGTATGTTAGGGAAAAAAGGTAAAAGGTTTCCTCATGACATTAAAATCCAGTCATGTCTGACTCTTGGGGGTGATGCTCATCTCCGTTTCCTAGCCAAGGGAGCCAGCGTTTGTCCACAGACAGTTTCTGTGGTCATGTGGCCAGCATGACTAAACACCGAGGTGCACGGAATGCTGTTACCTTCCCACCGAAGTGGAACCTTTTTATCTACTTGCAGTTGCATGCTTTCGAACTGCAAGATTGGCAGGAGCTAGGACAGAGTACGGGAGTTCACGCCATCTGCGGATTCAAACTGTCAATCTTTCGATCAACCAGCCCAGCAGCTCAGCAGTTTAAACCAGTGCACCACCCAAAAAGGGCTTTTAATGTTCCTTTTCTGGTGAACACAGGGAAGGTTCACTCACAGTGGGCCACAGATTGGGATACATAGATATTTGCCTTTGTTTGCCTTAGCTCCACAGATGCGAGTTTAGCCAGTCCTGGGGCAGCTGAACTGGGGGAAGGGGCAATGTCTGTAGAGAGGGACATACCTGGAAAAGGTCAGGTGGCACTTGCTTCTTGCTGAGGCGGCTCTGCACATACTCTGTGGCTGACTTGGAGAAAGGCTAGAAAGGGACCGATAAAAATGGATAAGCCTGTATGTATTCCTGTCTACCCTTCATCCCACTTAGGATACAGCATCAATGTGGGCAGGCACCTGGGGGTTTACCTCCATCTCCACTGTTGTTATTGTTGCAGTTGTGCTAAGGAATGTACCAGCCAAACCCTCCACAGAAGAAACACGGACATGAAAACAGGAGTGACACGAAAACAAGGAAGACAAGGGCACTCACAAAGTTTGGGTCAGGTTTAACAGCTGGAAGAAGAAAAATGGTGCTGGTGGCAGACAAAGAAATCATGGCACCTTTACAAGAGGCGCCGTATTCTCATTCCATGGGTTTGCTGCTTATGGGCTTGATGGCCACGTTTTGCTACCCTGCCTAGTGCTGTCAACTTCTGTGAAAACCTCATCATGTTCCTGCAGAAAGCTTGAAGCTTAGCCTCCGGCTATACTGCGAGGCTCACATCTCCCATCTACATGCAGTTCTGAAGCAACTTTTACGCCAGTTTCCGAAGGACTTTTCAGACTTTTGCATGGCAACATTTGGGGCACTCACATGAGAGCAGGACAACAGTTCCTTCATGATGTATGTGTCAAAGATCTGGCGGCTCTTAATAGCTCGTTCCTCATCAGAATCCAACTTCTCATACTTTTTGATCTGGAGAGAATGGACAAGGTCACATTGGAGGTGCAAGACAATAAAATGAGGCCCACCAGAAAAGAGAGAAAAAGGAGAGAAAACATTCACAAGGCCTGAACATGTCATGTCCTGCATCCAAAAAACTCAAAGCTTGTGCTGAAGAAAGGTCTACAAAACATAGTTCATTAGCCTGTTTCCATTTTGGTGTAAGGTGAAGTTTACAGCAGGGACTGGGTGGTGGAGATGACAAAAGCGGCATGGAAGCAATGCTTATGTGAAATATAAAGAAACTGTAGGGAGAAGCAAAAAACTCAAGAGTGCACAGAATACAGAAATATTTTTCTTTTTGCTATTTTTATTTTAAATGTATTTTCTATTCTAGTTAAAACAGAACAAGTCCCAGATACTGTACAAATAAAGCATTAGAATATAAGAAATCATAAAGCATATCAAAGCCTTCCCAGCCTGGGCACTTTAAAGCACATATGTTGGCCATTTGCATTGTTCCCCACCCCATAAGACTTTTCAGGATTTTGGTAAAGCTACAATGTTCTGCCCTAAATAGGGTTCCCAGATCACAACCCAGAGATTCCTTCAGACCCTTCACTTTTCCAGCTGAATTAGATGAAGGACTTGTTGTGGCTTCTTGCACTGATTTGCCCCCTGATCATCTGGCCCAACCCCTCCCTAGCTTACTGCAACGAACAAGACTGCAGTTATGCACAGGGGGCAGAAGCAGCCATGGACCCCTTGTGTCTGCCTGGAATTTAAAGATACTAAGGGACCCTCTGGGTAGAGATCTGGCAAACCTCATCCTAACAGCAAGACTCTGCACTGCATAGAGTACCTAACACCATCAGCTTCATCCAGCATCTGTTATACCCCACCTCCATCCCATGGGCACAATGCTCAGCGCTCTAGAGAATCCGCTGTGCCAGCAGTGTGCATTCTATTAAGAGATAAATGCCTCTGGGTACAAGCCCGTGTCTATTTTCTAGAACAGAGCTCTTCGTCATGAAAAAGGACTCCTAAAGGTCATCTTCTCCTTTGGTAAAGGACCCCTTCCTAGTTCAGAGGGGGAATCAACCCTTTGATTGGCAGACCGAGAAAAACAATCCTGGTTTGAATACAATGGTAGAATAGGAATGTTTCCTCCCAGTCAGAAGCTCACCTCTTCGTAGAATTCCACCAGTGGCTTGGCCTCCTCTGCCTGTGTCAGGCAGAAGTCTCGGAACAGCAGGAAGCCTAAGAAATACATACAATTGTCTGCATTAAGGGAAAAGTCTGCCTCTTTCTCCCATCTCAAAATCTGCATGCAAAAATAAAATTGGGACTACTCAAAAGTCTGTCTGTCTGTCTCTATAGACAGAGATCGCTATCTATTTAGAGACACAAAGAGAAAGTTCTTCATACCTTTGACAATTAGAGGAGAAAACCTGTCTAATAAAAAGATCATGCTAAACATTGCTTATTAAATGGTCCAGTGTCGATGTTGTTTAAAGAACACACGGCTTTCCTTGCTTCTAATCTGGCATGCTGTTTCAAACTGTGGCCTACATCTGAGAGGCTCAGAGGCAGATTGGACTGCCAAGTCATAAGCTGGATGCTCTGTGCAGGGGAAGCAGAAGTGAATGCAACCACAGTTTCACCCATTCAGTTCATTGTGTGGGACAGGTATCCATCACAGCAAGACAAAAGTATTTGCGCAATAGCTGGCAAACTGGTCACAGAAGGAATAGGGCAGGAGAATTTATGTGCAGCATCTCTGGTTTGTAGCCTGGCAAATCCACCACACAACTGATAGCGATGGTTTTCTTGCCTATGCAAGATATGGTATTCAAAGACATGCTGCCTCCAAATTTATCTATCATGGCTTATGGTTGGTGACAGACCAATCTAGCAGAAAGTATTTAAACCTCTTTTTTTAAAAGCCAGATGCTGTAAGTATGTCTTGTTCTTATGTACAATTTTGGGTCTTTCATAGGACCTGAAGAGGAAGAAATCAACATATCAGAAGCTTTTTAACATAATGCATCACCAAGTTACAGAAAATCCAACCTGGTGATTTCTGCCTGTTACAGCATTGTTGAGAGGCAGTGGTCCATATAAAACTGTTGTAGGCATCTAGTTTATTCTTAGAGCCATAGATGCTGAAAGGAAGGAAGGACGAGGGAGGGAGGGAGGATTCTGACTATCAAGCAGCTTTTCAATCTTATTTATGGAAAAGATGCAACAGTTCTATTGGCTGCATTAAAGACTACTGGGAATCACATGATGACCACTCACTTTGCCTCCATGTTGCCTGCCTGCTCCTATGCTTTCAAACAAAATACTTTTTCCCATAGTTTGTTCTCCCTGTCAGGAAAAGCTTCTCATGCTTAATTTTTGCATGTCAGGCTGTTGTTAAATGCGCAGGAGGAGGATGGCCAGTAAAAAGAAACAACTGCATTTCTCAAGCTTACTGGTTTTGTTGGTCACGGCTAATCATCCTTCATAGATTTGAAAATTCCCATAACTTAAGGCACTTCTGTGTAGCAATGGGAAGGAAACCTTGTCATTGCTCTTTATTTGTTTGTTTGTTTAACATTTCATGATAAAAGGCTGACAGTTGCTTCCCAGAGAGCGTGCGGGCTCAAAATCACATCTACATATCCATTTCCTATGATATTTCATTGAACGGTAAGGCAGCTCTTTTTGTACTGCTGTTCACGTACAGTTACCACAGACCCAAGTCTCATCTCTTTCATATTAGCCACAGAAAAAGGGTGGTTGGAGGCAGCTAACTCTGCAGCAGGGGAACGACGAGGGGCTTCTCCTCACATGTGCACCAGACTCTGCCTTCATTGCTGCCTCTCTCTGTCAGGCACTCCCTCAGCTTGCGTCCAAATGACTCCTGGCTCTAAACCCTGCCCTCCGGCACATGCAGGCACCCCAGGTGGGAGAGGTGACATCAAGAGGCTGATGGGACGGAAACAGGAGAGTGAAGAGCAAATGGAGAGCATGTGTTTGGGGGGGGGGGGCCGAGCGGGCCATATCATGCGGAAACCACAAGTGACCTTGGGTGTGGGAGGAAGCAAAAGCATTTCCTGTTGGGGCGGGGTGTAATAACGGAAAGGGGAACCAGTGCTGCAAGGAGATGTCTGGCTTGGTATGGACAACATTCCAGGGTGGCCTCACCAAGTCCCTAGCTCCTCATCACTAAACCCTTCCTAACCAGCATGCTGCTCATCTTTTAGCTGTTGTGCCTTCAACAAAAGAGCAAGCAGAAATTCAGTGGGTGAAATTTTCTCCATCCCTCTATCTCTTAGGGATCCAAAGCTTCCCCTGTTGAACTTCTACTCCTCCTCACAACATAAGAGACCTGTCAGAAACAGAGTGGGCATTCCTACTTTCTAGAGGGCTTCTGTATCTTTAAGATCTAAACAGACTGGAGTTCTACCAAGAGGTTCCCTGGTGCCTACAAGGATGAGAAAATGCCACTCTTAAAGAGGGTCTGGCCCACTGAGGGGCTACGGTGCTAGAATCCTTAACCTGTCCCTCTTTTCTTCCACTATCCCTCTAGCAAAACAAGTGCTGTCCCAACTACCAATGGAAAATAGAACAGGAACTTTCACAAACCACACACAAGAGGAAGAAGAATTTCTTCATTGACTTCAGCAATTCTCCCCTTCCCCAATTCACAGCACTCAACTCATCTCCCCAAGGACTTTGCAACACTAGCCTGGGATAGAAAACTGACCAAACACAACAGGTGAGAGGGCTTCTTCCCTTTATTTTAGGCAAGAAAATGCTGGCTGCTGCAGTAATGATCACCCTTGCAGACCTATGCTGTGAAAGCTGTGTCTCCCAAAACGTCCTCTCCTACACAATTGGTGCAGCTGCTTATCTTGCAAGTAGTCAACGTAGTGCAGCCTTTCCAAACAGGATACCCTCCAGATATTTTGGACTATAGATCCCAGCAGCCCATTACAGCCTGCTCTGCATGAACGTGGCCACTGTGCTCTCAGTGGCTGGATGGTAAGGACAGATTCAGTGTCTTGAGAATTCCCCTACCCGAGTGTCGTGGTGATAAGAGAATCATAGAATGGTAGGGCTGGAAGGGGCCATGAAGACCATTGGTCCAACCCCTGCTGTTGCAGGACATCAAGTTACACCATCCCACTCAGGTGGCTCTCCAGGTTCTTTTTGAATGTCTCCAGTGTGGGAGAGCCCACCACCTCTCTAGGCAGCTGCTTCCACTGTCGTATTGCTCCGACAGTGAGGAAACTTTTCCTGATACCCAGTCTGAAGCAGGACTGTCGCAGCTTGACTTGATTATTCTGTGACCTACACTCTGGTATCAGCAAGAAAAGATCTTGACCTTCCTCTTTGTGACAGCCTTTGAGGTACTTATAGAGTAATAACATCCACCCACCCCCAGTCTTCTCTTCGCAAGGCCAAAACTATGCTCATTTCGGGGATGGGCCAACATAACTAGCCATGGACGAGTCCTGACAGAGCTGCAGTCCTATAACAGCTGGAGGTTCACCAGTTGCCGAATTAATGATTTACTGCATCTTCTCTCTGCCACAAAGTACAGGAACCCTTTTCAGGTCAGAAGCTGGAGCCCTAAGAAGAGGGGCAGAGTCACATATAGTCACTCCATGACAACTCTGCAGATACCAGTCCCCTCAGCTCCACTTCCATCACAGCCTTTTGGCATGGCTCAGCAGGCTGGAGTCAGGCGAGTCTGTCCAAACTCATGACCCATGAAGAGACTCTTGTACTCACCAATCTTCTGCAAAAATATCTTGTCAAAGGTCACCTCATTCCTGTCTTCCAAGTATTTCTGCATAACACTGCGAATGCTGCCAAGAGAGAAAGCACATGAGGAAATTAATTGGGAAGCACCTCTTTAACTTGGTATATTCTCATCAGAGACTTCCTATAAAGATAAGAAAGATATTTGGTTTGTAGGTAATGACAACCCAGCATATGGACTGCTGCTGAATCACGCATTGTTCTTATGCATGAACCCTGCACTATGGTTTAATTATGGCTTTTTAACTCATGGGAAGAGAACTCATGGTTTGTTGTGAACTCTGGTTAACAATCCATAGTTAAACCACAGTGCAGAGTTCACATGTAACAACAACCAATGATTCAATGATGCAGTCTGGGTATGATGGGAGTTGTAGGCCAGGACTTCTAAAGGGCAGAGGTTTGGGATGGGTGCTTTAAAGAATAATTCTTAAAACAATATCATATCAGATCATCCGAACGTAAGACATTATTTGCTAGGGTTGGAAAGGACCTCCATTCCGCTATGGGTTATGACTAGCTAGTACTTTAAAGGAGAATGCTGCTTCTTTTTGAGACTAATTAGAGACAAATATTACAGAGGCAACCTTTCATCCTATGAAGAACATGATTTTTTTCTTTCATTCATTTGTTTTTAAAGAAAGAAAAATGAACAGGAACAGGAACCAGTGAAAAAGTCTTGAAACAACTAGAAAATACAAGTTTGAAGGAGGAGTAATTAAGGCTGCTGGCTGGAGAAGCAGAAGAACAAACACACAGGATCTCGGGCACTCTTCTGAATCCACCCTACTTTTGTTAAATGTCATGTTTGTTTGTCTTTCTAATTAGCTTTTTTTTTTTTTTTAAGAAAATGACTGTGAAAGAGACCAGCACAAAATTCCAAGCCAAAAATTGGGAAACAGTACACTTGTGTTGAGAATAAACCTGAAATTTCAGCGTCCAAATGTACACTGATTAATCCCAAAGATGAGTTGACAAAACTTCCATCTGGCAGCTTAGAAAGCTCCACAGACAGCCTGGCCCCTAAACAGAGAATCATGCCAGGTTAATGTATTACAAAGGATTGGAATTCTATTTTGGAGCCATTTCGCAGCTTTCTGAGATGGGTGATGACCTGATTTCCCCTGTAGATACCAACTAGTAATGCAGTAGTTCTGTGGAGTAACTTTACACTCCTGACTGTTTGAGGAACTTCTGATATGAATACTCACACCCACTTATGCAGCCAACGGGAAAGAAGTCTGAGCATTTTTATTGCCTCAGTCCCAACTGCATTTTATTTGGAAATTCCACTGATTGTTTTTCAACTTCCTGATAACCATATTTACCTGAAAAGATATCCCAAGATGTCAAGGGGATTCATTTCCAAGGAAATATGCTTGCATTTACAACATTGGTATGTTTTTAGACTGAAGCTTCTGTGAGGAGGACTAGTCATTTTTGGAAGATGCAGTTTATCACTTGAGAAGGGGGGCAAGCCAGCATTTCCAATGCCTACAAATCCAGTCTGTTTGACTGTACAGATCCTCAAAGCTGGTTGAAACAAGAAGCAGAAGTGCCAGAGGCACAGACTTTGTGGTAACAGTGTGGCCGTAGTGCCAAGCTTTGGGTCTATCTGGCATCTTTTGCATGAGGAACTTTGCACCATAAGAGGGAGAAAGCTTCATCTGAAAGTGCACTTAGTACAAGTTTGCACAATAATGAGAATAAATAACTAAGTAATATTTTCCTCATTACAGGCTGCAATTTTTTTTTGTGTTCGTATGTGGGGATTTACATTTTGAATGCTTCCTCATATGTGGAATGGTGGTGAAGAGAGAATCCTTGATGAAAACTTCTCTCATGAACCTGCAGACTTCCTTTTTAGTTTTGCAGGTGGGAGAGCATTTCACTAAGCAAACTGCCTGTCCCCCCATACCATTGATATGGTCTAATGAGGTGCAAAACTATAACTTGATTCTGCTGGATGTATAAGAAATTCTTCATCCTGGGTATTTTTAATCTAGAAGACAAAACGATCTGGAGCACTAACTTGAAAAGGCTGTTGCATCATCCTGAAAAGGTGTGGAAAGATGTTCTCTGTTTACTGCATTGCCTGATATGGCCTGCCAAGAAGCAAGAAGCTCTTTTGCTTCTGCTGCAATCTATGGGTTAGAACTTGAGGCTGAAAGCAGGGCAGTCCTGGGCTCTGATCCTGGCTTTTGGAGGATGGTGTTAAAGATGCCCTGGGAATTTAATGAAGGTGATAGATACACAAGTGCATTTGAGATGATGACACACTTACCTTCTCTCCCTAAGGAGGGGGTGGGGGTTTGATTCAAAAATCTGTTTTTAAAAAATTTTGGATTGTGTGCAGAAGCCCTTGTGCTTTGGATTTGGAGAGATCTCTTTCCAGGGGATTATGAAACTGGCGTTATTTCTCCTGTACAAGGTGTGTGTGGAAATTGTTTTTCAGGAGCTCGGGCTCCTGAAATTAGTGAACCTCAAGGGAAAAAAAGATCCTATGACTGAGATGGGAGAATAGTGGGAAGAAGACAGACAGATCGCTATCTTTCTAGTCGTGGCTGCTGCCTCTGTAAGGGGGCTGGGATGATGCGTCTCGAACATCTCCATGACAACCCTCTGCAGGGGGCAGGGCCACTTGAATGATAACGTTAATATTATTACATAAATTGTCTTGTGCGCAAAAAGGACCTGGCACTCATTATCTGGTTATTTTTGCAGTGTCCTGGTAAGGTAGGCAACTCGGGGGCAATGTTCCCTTTCTGTGCAGTACAGATGTGAACTTGGGTCTCCTAGCTTCAAGGCAACTGCTTCATGCCAAAGAAGCACAGTGGTACTTAGACAAAGCTTGAAGACTAGGAAGGAAGGAAGGAAGGAAGGAGAGAGACAGAGACAGAGACAGAGACAGAGAGAAGCCTGGTCACCTGTGGTGAACAAGCATGTACTCCAGGCAACTAGAAAGGGAAGGCTTCAGAAAAGATCGCTTATTTAAGCCATAAATGTGTGTACGTCTGGCTGAGCAGGCTAGGAAAAAATACTATTGTGGGCTTATAAATATCATTTTATTCATAAGACGAATTTTGGTCCTTTCAAGGACAGCCACTGAAGTTGAAATGACAAACACTTTCTGAGAGGGGGCCAGGCACCTGAAGTTTTAGGAGAGCTGGTCCTGGTACTCTCTGAATTTCTTCCTTAGTAAAATGAGACACTAGATAATGGCAGAGAAAGGCTATAGAGAATGTCTGCTCCCTTGAGTTCTTCTTGTGCTGACACTTTATTTTTAGTAATAACTGCCTCAGCCAGCTGTTGACAATGCTCTTGTTCGTTTAAAGGCCATGGGGGAGGAAGTGGGAAATTACTTGCAAGTATGCCTGGGCATCCAAGCTGGTTTATTATATTTTTTTCTGTACACTCCCGTGTATTAGAAGATTAGAAGGAGTGACTACAGCCATTCAGGGAACATCGGGGAACTTCAGCTGCTATAGGACAAAAAGGAAACAAATGCACAGAAGTGCGTTCGGTTCCCTTAACAGGAAAAACAACAGTGTACTATAGCAGCCAGCAGAGGAAGAGCTTCCCTTATCCTACTTAGAAGCATCTTCTCCTCTTTCCCACCCCCTCCTCCTGCCAAGCGGCATTCTGCCCTTTCACAGACGCATGATCGTTTGCGGTTCTGCCACATTTCTAACTCCTGTGAATGACCTTCGAGAAATGGCAGAGATGTACCGGGTACTACGGAAGTCAGGTCATAGGTTTCCCTGACTTTTGTTCTGTGCTGTGGTTGCTTATGCTGCAGCTGATCCAGCTGATCTACACCCACAGGTGACACCATTTCCTGGTAGCCGACTGGAGACATGGCTCTTCTCTGAGGCCGGGCTGTGACTTGGATGGGAGTGGATGAGACTCTGTGACACTCAAAGGGCCACCTAGAATGACAGCAGAGCAGCAAAGAACAGTGTATTGGAGGCTACTGAGGAAGGCTGGTGAGAGGGATTTGGAAGGTACTCCACCACAGCCATGATGGGAGACCACCTGCTTCTTGACTCAATTCTGCTTTGTGTGTTACACTTGACCCAAGTGTCCTGAGATCACCTTCAGAGTCATGAAAATTCCTGGATGTTCTTGGGATAGTTCTATTCACTCAACTGAACCTGCCTTACAGGGTGGTTCTGATGATGAACAGGCAAGGAATGATAGATGAAGCACTGAGTTCCTTGGATGAAGGTGGGATATAATGCAACAAATTCATCAGATATGAAACCCTGCCCTCTCATCAAGGTTTCCCTTAGATCAAAGTTCTTCTGGTCTGAGTTCTATTACATTCACCCCATCTTGGAATGACTATGCAGACAAGAGTCCTCCAGTCCAGATTGTGAGGACTCAGAATTATTCTAACAGCCTTCTCTAACCTGGTACTTTACCAGATGTGTTGGACTTCAACTTTTAATAGTTCTGCCCAGCAAACCAATAGCCAAGAATGGTGGGAGCTGTGCGTTAAAATACCTGGAAGACACCAGGTTGACAAAGGCTTGAATGGCAGGAAAGTTATATTCAAACCTTCATCCAGCTATACATTTCAACTCAGTAGCTATGTGGCCCAGTAAAATTAGGTCTCATCTACCTCAAGGAGTGTGAAGATAAAAGTACAGTCTCCTTCTCCTTAAGAGGAGAATCAGGATACAACTAAAAGAAGAAGAGATCTCCCTGTTATCACAATGATGAACACAGCCTACCCAGTGCAGCCGCTGCAAGAACTTTGTTGAAGTGCCTTTTCCAGAATCTCTGTCCTATTATTCCAGTCCTGGGCAGTCTTCTGAGGATGCTGCTATACAACACAGTCCAGGAGATAATCCTTGCAGAATGGCAGCTGCACCCAGGTAGCAGTATTGTGCTGTATATTAAACCCCTGTGCTTGAAGAAGTAGGTAAAAAGCAGGAAGACCCTGGGGTTGAATGCTCAGAAGAAATACTCACAAAAGGTAAAGTGTTGTAGGGCCACACCACTTATGAGTTCCATGACTCTAACTGATTTATATAATGTTATGCTTGAGTGTAAGAAGCCTTTATATGAGAAATATGACCTGTTTACTATGAGCAGAAGTGGGTCTGCTCTGCCAAAATCACATCCTACAAAGCAAGCACAGGAATTAGTACTGGGTACAGAGCTCAATACCCAGAGAAACCTGCCCTTTTGAAGAATAAGAAGAAGAAAAAGAAACAGTTTCTAATCCTTCTGATCTTCAAAGACAGTGCATACCTACAAGAGTTGGTTAAATAGTAGAATGTAAGCCAGGGAATGGGAGAAGAACAGCATTGCCTGAGGATAAGGAGTGAAGCTTCATTGTCCTGCATTGCTTTTTATTGCCTCTTCTGCACAGAGCTCCAGAATAAATTATACAAGAAACAAATATGCAGATAATTTGCATAAAAGGCCAGCTAGAATGATGCTGGGACAGGAAACACAGTGTACTGCAGCCAACTGAGGAAGGCTAACAGGGAAGAGCTCCATAGATAGAATGATGGTAGCCTCTCTTCCCTGACCCGATTCTACTTTGCATGGCATAACGGAGAACATGTCAAATTAGGCCCAAGTGGCTCAACCTTACCTGCCTCACAGGGTTGCTGTAGAACAAAAAGGGGGACCAAATATTGACACTCTGATCCGGTGACTATTTTATGGTTCCTCTGCCTCCTAAAATGCAAATCTCACAAGCACAGCTGGTACCAAGGACAGGCAGGGCTGTCCTCAGCAGGGCCCATTAAGAACAGCTGCTCCTTTATTCACCTGCTCATTCAGCTGCCTTGTGTCCTGGCCCAGGCAGCGGTGGTGGTGGTGAGAAGCAGCAGATGCCACTGTTCACTTGATCATTGGCTCTCTGCCTGTCAAGCAAATGGTAGCAACGATGAGAAAGAGGAAGACGAGCAACTGAAACCAGGGACCGTCAGAAGGTAGACTCCACCGAGGGGAAGGGCCCATCCACTGAGTCTTGCCCAAGTGCCCACAAAAAACGGTTGCTAGCACAGCTCACAAATAAATAACTCCTTCTGCCTTTAGAAACACCTCCTCTAGTTCCCGCTTTCCCCAAATAACAGCTACTGAGCTAGAAAACTGTAGGCTTTGCTAGTGTGTTTAGAGGAGAGAAGGAAGCAGGAAAAGCCAGTGCTGATACTGTCAGGATAAGGATAAACTATGCCTAGTTTGGGCATAGAAAGAGATGAGGAAGAGACAGCTAGGACCTGGAAAAGGGAAAGCCAATATGGCTTGACTCTGCAATCCCAAGCTGCACTCGGCTGCAAATCCGGGGGGGGGGGGGTCTGCCAGCCAGCAGCTACTGGCTGAAATGGGGAGCAAGTGAAAAAGGTTCAGAGTGCCTCTAAACAAAGGGCTCCCAATGGTACCAATCAGAATGAAAGAGTGCCACAAGGCACTTTTATTCCTTAATGAATTTTCTGCAGTCAGATAAAAAGATGGGAGAAACAATGTGAAAACATGAGAGGTTTCTGAGTGCAAGGCAATGATGCCTGGATACCCTCCATAACACTCCTTGAATGAGGCAGTGTGGTGGTGTGATAAAAGCTCATTGGGAAGCTCCCTCAGTTGTTTGGCTGCCTCTCTTAAAATGATTTCCCCCTAAGGCTACAGAACTTCATTTAAAGTTTCCATGTGGGTGCTTCCACACTAACACTAGCCATGTGAAGAGTACAAAGGCTGCTGGGATTTTTAGACTTTGCCATGGTAACACATTTGCTTCATCCTCTGAATGAGTGCAAAGGCTGCCATGTTTTGCTCCAATGGGTCCTTTAGATCATCCTCAGAGGCCATCCATCATGTCTTCAATGGCAGAAGAGCCCTGGGACAAGTTCTGTCTGAACAGCTTTCTCCCTCTGTTGAGAGAGCCCAAGTTTAATGGCTGGAAAGGGAATGGATAGCATTGACCAGATCTCATATCGAAGAAGAAGGAGAGGAGGAAATGAGAAGAAGGCCTAGACTTGCCCACGTGCTTTAGGTGCAGGATGCCTGTCAGGCCCAACCCTGTTGCCCTTGGTAACTGCTGCCAGGAAGCAGAGTTAAAGGCTGGTTAAGCTAAACCATGGGTCTCTGGCCCAAACGGCTGGAAGTGTCTAAGCCCCCTTCTGGGTCACCTGAGGACTCAACCCATACATTAAGCAGAACCCCTGCCAAATACATTTCCTCCTTATCTGCCCTGAGAAAAATGCTGCATGTCGGTGACCTTGCCAAGCATTTGCACAGGCTTGCAATGTTGTTTGTGCAACTCCAGTTCCCACTTGAATTCATGGCAGACACAAGGTGGGTTCAGGCCTGGCTGCTCTTTGTGATCCCATGACCAAATTTACGCTGGAGGAATGGATTGCTAGGTGCCCCCCATGTTCTTGTGCATAAGCATTACAAGAAATCCTTTTTGCACAAGCAACGGGGCCTGTTGCCTGCACAGCAATATCAAAAACAGAACAGCATGGTTAGAGTATCACAAAATTGAGCCCAAGCACTGCCAGAGCTATACTGTATGCTCTTCAGAACATAAAGATGCAAATGTGAAGATTTGCAGATCTGTTGTCTAATATATCACCTTGACCCTCTCTGGGGGTTAAACAATTGCATGTTACACATATGTGCAGAGAAAGCATGGGGGGCTGTGACATGCAAATACAGAAAACTCTCGGTGGAGAGGGGGTTTGCTCCATAGGGGCTTGACGGCTGCTGCTTGTAGGGGTGGGGGAATTAGTCAGGGATCTGGGCCAAATTAGGCATCAGGAAAGAGACAGGCAACCGATCATCGTGCCCCACTGCGGTAACATAACCACGGAAAAGGAAAGATGCCACTTCGGAGAGCTCTTCTCTCCTTTATCCCTATCCTATAGGGTCTGGGTGCGTCAAGACTCCTTCTATAAGAGGCGAGGAAGTTAGCCTGCTCAATTCAAAAGAGCAAATCTCTCATCCATGCGCGCGCATACACACAAGCATATTTACACATGCAACCCAGCCCTAGCTAAGCCATGTCTCCTACTGGGCCCCGCACCTGCCCCCGGCTCACCTCGGCTCAGGTAGGACGATCTTCTTGCTTGCTCTGGCCGCAGGAGTAGATTTACTTTTCTCCATAGCCATCAAGTAGCTCACATCGGCGAGCACAGCCTCCAAGTCGGCCATCTTGTCAGGAAATATTTCTTCTGCTTTCCTTTCTCACAATCAGTTCTCTGATTATTCCCGCGGCCTCTGCGGCTCCCTCGGCTCCTCTTCCTTGTTGGCGCGTGTGCCCGTGTCTAAGCGTGTGTGGAAGGGGGAGAACAGGGTGGGGGAGGGAGGGAAGGAGAGGGGATCTGGCCCCCCCACCACCCCTCTTACAGACAGACCCACATGATGCGTGTGCAAGAGAAGCAGCGATTCTTCTTCCGTATTTCTGCGGTGCAGTTGCTGCTGCACCCTGCTTACTCTCTCCTATTTGTTCCTTCCCTCCAGAGCTCGCTCGCTCGCTCGCTCGCTCTCTCTCTCTCTCTCGTGTGTGTGTGTGTGTGTGTGTGTGTGTGTGTGCACGCGCTCGCGCGTGTGTCCGCCTGCTGTTGCTCTCGCCGCCTGTCAAAAAGGATCGGCGGCGCGGCGGCGGCGACAGTGTGGAGGGTCGCTGCTTTTAGGCTTGATCGCTGCGTGATCTGTCAAGCGTTTTTCTCTCTGTGTGCCGTGGCGATCAGGGCGCGAACAGCGAACTGCTAGGAAGGGCGAGCGCAGAATGAATTAGTATCAATGCACTGATAGAATAAACGCTAAGCGCTTAAGACGGAGGCCGAGCGGATCTGAAGCTCATACGCTACTCCTGCTCCTTCCTCCTTCTTGTATGTGGTTTTGTTTTTCTGCAGGGGCAAGGAAATCCGGGGCCCACCTTCTGGCTTTCCCTTCGCTGTCTCTAGGTCCAGCTTAAAGCAACAGCACCCGGACAAGAGGCAAGGAATGGAAGCGCCACTGAAGAAAGTTAATCGCCCGATGCTGCCCTCTGGAGACTGCGGGGGGACTTGCAACGTGCTTCCCTTAGGCCTTTCCTCCCTCCCCTTCTCCCCCCTCCCTTTCTTTTTTTAAAGACTATTTCGATTCAAACGCAGCCCGAAGCAACACGCCGCAGCGGGGATGGGGGTGGTGCTCAAATCGAGAAACGCTCGGAGGCCTAACGGGTAACTCCACCTTACCATAACTTTAGCTGCTGCCGCTGCGACTACACGACCTAGATCCAAAAGGCACTTCCTCTAGCAACTTACCTTGATAACTTAAGTAATGGGACGGAAGAAATTTAGAGAATCATAATATATTCGAAAGAAACTCATCTGATGGGTGAGAAAAGAATTGAACCATCTATGTGGAAGGCCCACTAATGAGTATTGCAAATAATAGCAAAAAACACTTATTGTGCAACCCAGAAAACATACCATATGCCACAAATCTATGTTAAAGTATCTTACCCTTAAATACTAGATGTTAAAAGTTTCAACTCCAGGGTCAAACATCCGAGATCTTGATCTTGTGGTGGAAAAAACTCTTGCGGTCTATAGCAATTGATACTATATGAAAGATAAGTTAAACAGTGTTAGGCAAAATAATATCCGGGTTACCTTAGCAGATTCTGGCATGCACACATCCAGCACTGGAAAGTATAGATATTTCACATATGTATGATTGGTTCCAGGTGGAGAACTTGCAAAAAGATCAAAAAGCTACATCAACTTTTTGAAATGCTCGCCCAGGTGCAGTTTCCTTCATTCTGGGAAGTTCTGATAAGGAGTGGTTACAGTTCCATTTTTCTACCTCCGAGATAAATAACCTTTCTGAGCACATTTGGATCTTTGAGCAACTGTCCTGGACATGACCACAAAATGGATGTGCCACATCAGCCTGCAGCAGCTCGCCTCTTCATTTCTCTGAGCCACACATACACTGCCCAGAGGCATTTGCGAAAAAGAACATGGGAGCAGCCAAACACTTTCCTGCTGCTCTGAAGCAGTTGCAGCTGCCAATAAGAACTTGCCATCTTTTTTGAGGAGTGGGAGAGGCAAGGCACAGAGAAAAGGGTCCTAGGACACACTGGAGCCTTTGGGTGCCACATTGCCCCCTCCTGCTCTGTGGAATGCTTCAGGGGTGTAAGTACAGAATCTGTTTTTTGAGGGGTCCTTGTCTTGTCCTAAGGCAAGAATTTTCCCATGTGTTATGCATCCTCAATTGAGGTCCAAGCTTTATTTGAACACTTCCAAGTTAAAAATGCCTACACTCAGGAGCCTTTCAGTAGCTTGGTTCCATGTTCTTACCTAGTGGGAGACTGTTAAGGTGTTGTTCCTAATAGTTGGCCAAGGACCCCATCTTTAATTGGATCTTGCATCTCATGGCTTTGACACCTTGTTCTCTTTGAAAGAGAGACACAGCAAATTAGGTCCTGCCAGATTCCTCTCAAATATGTATTTGTTTAAAATCTCCAGGTGAAAAAACAAGCTCTTCTTTTCCTAAGTGTTACTTCACCTGTTCCTCTTGATCAATATGGACATGGTGAAAGGGGTTAGACTGACTAATTTTAAAAATCCAGCTATTAGCCTGTAAGATCTTAGTATGGTCTCATTAACACTTGTTTGGCACTATCACTAACTTGACAACAAAACCAAGAGCTGAAATGGATAGCCACAGCTAATAGAACCTTTAAGAGAATATCTACATCCCTTCCTACCCACTCTCCTGCATTTTTTCCAGTGGAATCCATTCACACAGTCAACAAGCCACTCATCCAATGTACATAAATCAAAGGTAGCCTTGTGAACACCAATCTTGTGTTTATCCTGCCCACCCTCCCACCACACTCTTTGCTATGTACATATTACATGGTTTCCTCACATCCATAAAATTCTGTGAGGTGTGATTCTGTGCATGCGTAGACAAAAGAAAGTCCTACAACTCCCAGCATTCCTCAGTTATCGTTGCTAGGAATGGCAGGACTTTTTTCCCTTCTAAACGTGCCTAGGATTGCACTCTTAGATATCTCTAGAAAGTGGTTGATTATGTTCTTCATAATGACTAATGCTATGCTGAAACAGTAGTGCTTTTTATTAGTTCAGGTCACATGGGTTGCAGTGTAATTTAACAACCATTCCTCTCTTTTGTTTTTGGCTTTGCATACCTCAGTGACCATGACTATATACACAAACTATATGCCTGTTCAACTGAGGTGTGTGCTCCTCTGAAACCTAAAGGTGCTTTGTTTCCCATAGTCATTGCCACATTTGTGCCCCACCTTTTTTCCCTTTGGCAAGGAACCCAAGGTAGTTTATGTGGTCCTTCTCATCTCTGTTTATCTTCACAACAATCTGGTTGAGAGTCAGTGACTGGCCTGAAGTTTCACAGTAAGCTTCAGGGCCAAGATGGGACTAGAACCCACACAGGTTCTCCCTAATGAGTAGCATTTATCTATTATATTTATATTCTACCTTTTATCCTTTTAAGAAACTCAAGGTAGCTTACATAATTCTCTTCCTCCTCCTCTCAATTTTATCCTCACAAAAACAACCCTGTGAGGTATGTTGAACTGAGAGTCTGTCTGGTCCAAAGTCGCCCAGTAAGCTCCCAGTCCCATGCTCTTGACCGCTATACCAGAGTGGCTCTCCATTTCTTATAACTATGCATTATCTTACCCTTCAAGCTTAGCCATCAGTATTTAAGCAGGGACTATCATTAGTGAAAATTAATTTGATGTTTATTTTCTTCAACTGCAAAATATAGGTTCCACTTTTCTTGAATTAACCTTTTTGTAATGAAGAATATTTCCACATTTTGCTTTGGGGATTTTGAAGCCGCAGTCAAAACCTAAACATGCCCTCAAATGTCTGGTTCTATACTTCTAGGGTACTATTTGTTAGGAAACCAAACATGTCTATCACAGAGGCGCTGCATTCGATATGAGAAGTGGGTCCATAGGCCACAGCAATTCGCCATCTGTTCATGCTGAACTAGACTAAGAACATGCAGTTAACTTAAAAATTACCAGGTTGCACTTTTGTGACAATGTACAACCGCATTGTAGCTGAGTAGGTAGAGCAGCTGTTTTGTGCAAAGTAGGTCCCACGTTCAGCCTCCCACCCTGCCTGATGCCCCAGAGAACTGCTGTTCGTCTTAAGAAGAGCTCTGCTGGATCAGGGCAAGGTCTATCTAGTCCAGCATTCTGTCCACACAGTGGCCAGCCAGAGACCCACAGGAAGGTCCGAGTACAGCAGCCCCCTTCTGTGTCAATAATTCTGGGTTAGCTGCTCCAATTGTCTGACTGCTTGCTATATTGCATATATTTAGTACAGGCAGAGTCGTACTCTACCTCTGCCTCAATAACCATACAGTAGTCCCTTTTTTAAACCCAGGGTATAGTTAACACAGTTAACTTTCCTTCACTGAATTCTATAGAGGTGCCTTTCCTCCTTTTCTTTTATTCCCCACTTGGTTATAAAGGAATCCCTGAGCAAAAAGCATAATCTACCCATCCTTTTCATTTCTATACAGAGCCTGAGTTTGCTGCATCTCCTTCCAAATGGTCTCATATGGTCTTCTGTTCTCTCTATGCTGCTTCCTTTTTTGGTTATCCTCACTTGATGCCATCAGCTGACCTGTTCCGCTGTCAAAAGATCCTCTATTAAGTAGAAGTCACAGCTCTCTAAGCTAGTAGCAGCTTAGTTTCTGTGGTGCCACAGAAGAGCTGGCTAGCACCTCAGCCCAGAGAATGGGATCCTGGAAGACCTTTGAATCTGAAACTCCAGTGGCCATGAGCATTCTGTGTGAAATGTGATGGGTATATTATTTATTTATATGCCATTTTATGTAATAACAAACTGTTACAGCACACCTTTGGTTATGAGTGAGGACATACTCATTCAGTGGAATACCTGCCTGCTCCTGTCTTAAAATAACATCAGAGACCCTATTTGCTGGCCCAGCAGCAAGAGCCATTAGGCTAATGGGTGCAAAGTACAGGACTTTTTCAGTGGTGGCTCCCCAACTTTTAATCCTTCTTCCCAGGGAGATCTGTCTGGCCTTCTCACTACTGGCTTTTAAAAGTGAAAATTTTGAAGACACATTTATTCTAGACCACATTTGGTGTTTAAAGATCATTAGTTGCTGCTACCGTTACAAGTATATGTGTTCATTGTAATGAGAGGTCACTGTAGTATTGTAAGCTGCCTTGTGTGGGCAATGAACCCGGAACAGTAAGTTAAAAGCTATGCATAAATAAATAATCTGCAGAGCAGCTGAGCAAGCATTTTCCCAGAAATTAGTATCCAGGCTAAGAACATCAGAAAAGTAATGCAGAATCTGACTGAATATCCATCCAGTTGAGTGGTTGGCTTCCCTCAGAGGCCACCTAGATGCCTCCAGAAAGCTCACAATTTGAGCATGAAGACAAAGCCTTACTTAGTTGTTTGTGCTCCAAACCTGATTTTTGAGACAGATTGCATTTTTAAAATTACATCTAGACTGCAAAACTTAATGGTTTTTAATTTGTCAGTAATTCCTCAAACTTTATCTCTTGGCACTATTTGACTCAGTCCTTGAAATGCTCTTTCTGGAAAATAGGTACAGGCATAGGTACTTGACTTGCATTTTCTTAAGTGAAGAAATCAAGAGTTTTTCATGTATCCAGCAGCCTGCCAGCAAGAACCAAGCAAAGCACAAGGAACAATGGAAGCAATTTTGCCCACTGTTCCCCTAAAAATAATTCAAATAGAAGGGTGTTTTTCTATTTCTGGAAGGAAAGATGCCTTCTTATATGAAGTTTATATGGTTGGTGTAATGAGGTATTAGAATCCATAGAGGGATCTCTTCCTGCAGGGTTGCACAAAACTTTAAAAAGC